AACGGAGCGTGTCCGTACATAAAGGACTACCAATTTCACACAAAGGCAGACAGCTCCTTAGAATCGGGGATCTAAAATTATGAGAGCATTAGTGCCAATATTGGCATTCGGCAAGCTGCATTAGAGGATTGCAGTGATTGTTTGGTTGAGTCCATTGTTGGTAGGTTGAATGATTAGAGCTAGCTGGCCAGAGGTCGAAGGTCGGGGGAAATCCCGTAATGCACTCGCCTTCCAAATGGCCAAATGAGAGTCATAAAACGCAGGGCCACAAATAAGCCAGAGCGCCAGAAGAGCCACTAATTGCAGCATTAAGGCTCTAGACCACCGATGAAGGCATCAGCCGGATCAAAGACCCAGTTGACAGAGCCGTAGTGTATTTAACTTCTCCACCTGCATATGCTAACATGTAAACAGTGCTGGCAAAGAGCAGATTACAAGAAGTAGCCAAGTCAAGTTCTTTTACTATTGTCCAAAAAAAAAAAACTTTATTTACTCATGACCACATTGTAAAGTAATAAAAACTTTCGATTGTTTTGAGTACTATTTGGCTTTAATTTTTAAAGTCATCATAGAAAGAATTAAAATTCGAATCTGTCAACTAATTTAAAAGCGAATTTGTATTGTCTAAAATTATTATTGCAATAATACCTTCCAAAAAGTTTAAAGAATAATAAATAACCAATTAATTTGCCATTATTGCAATGAAAATAAAATTTATTTTGCAACCATTTTAGATAATATATACAACTACTAATTTTTGACAAATAGATTCTATCCCTCAACCGTTAAAAAAAATGTAAAATAAACAATTCGATTTGTAATCATTTTGAATGGACTGAAGAAACATGGCAAATGAAATAGTTGCGGTTCAGAGCCATCAGACATATCCAAATTTGGCAGGAAAACAGACATGTTACCAGCAATGCTTGTAACTACTTTTCACTGCCCCCTCTCTTTCTATTCCTCTTCTTCCGTCTCTTTCATGCTGCTGTTACAACACTGCGGCGACTTAAAGCGGCAAAAAGTGAGCTACGTGCAGATGCCTCACCTGTGATAGAGGTGATTAACAGGATTTGCAGGCAGCAGGGCAACCAATCTGCTACATGTACAAGTCCTTTCTGCGTTCGGGTGTGTGTGTGTGTGAACATGGCAACCGTAGATGGCACACATGGCGTATGCGTAACATCAAATCTAGAGGTTGGCTCCTGCGGTGGCTTTTAATTGAAAGACCGGGCCCAACTTAAATTTTGGGACATCGAAAATGCCGTCGTCAACTGTTGGCCAGAGAACATGGACAACAACAAATTAATCCGAAAAACTTTGAAATTGGCAAACTTTTGGGCGATTAATTAAAATCGCTTCATGCCATTGATGAAACAATAATAGGAAAAAACCAATATTTGACAATTGCCAATAAGCGCCAGACAGAGCCGAAAAATAACAATAACATGGGGGGATCACATCAACACAGCAACGAAAACAAGGAGCGAGAGCGCAACAATTAAAACAAATCGAGGGGAGAATTGCAGGGGCTCTTGTTTTTGCAGATATAAAAACCATCCACTCCCCCCCTTCAAAAAACATACCACTACAAGGATGCAAATTGGTACTCTCCTCGCTTAGTTTTGTTGTTTTTCCGGCTGCTGCCAGTGCAAGGACCAAGTTTTCCTCGAACAATTGCCGCCGTGCTGGGAAATTCAATTGAAAACTGAAAGGTCACAAATTTATGCAATATATATCAGCACTAGCGAACGCCCCCACATATGCCAAAGGTATATCGGCCGGTCTACTATATAGATATATATTTTTCTGTCTGTTCTGGCCAGGTGAGCAGCTGAATACTATCTGGCCACATTGCAGTTTGATTGCAAAAATGTAATTGAATGGCAACAGCAACCAGTCGAGCTGTTGTGTTCTGTTGTTCGGACAAAAAAAAAAAGAGCCAGTAAAATATTAAATAATAAACGAAAAAACAATCATTTGCATAAGGCTCAGGAGCATGGGTGCAAACTATACGAAAACTAACACCATAAATTATGAAATTATATTTTCATTGGCCCAGCCTTTGTTTGTGTTTTTGTTTTGCAACAAAAACATGCGGCACAACACGTGAACCGTATTTCACAGCCATATTAAAATAAGTCGAGGTTAGGCAGCTTCCACACAGGAAAGTGATAAAGTCCTATAATAGTATTTTAATGAAAATGCACCTGAAATCCTTACGCCTATAAATCATCAAGATAAATTTTGTTAAGATAGGCCCCATTAAATGGGTTACGGTCAAGTGAAAGCCAGACAAGATTAGATCTTTCAAAAGAGACTATCGCTAAAATTATATCTAAATTGATAAAAGCCTGATAACGAAACGTGAGTGAAAATGTGATATTTCACTCACGTTTTCTTTATCGTAAATCATGAATGTTTAACAATGTTGGGTAAGGTTATTGTTAACTGAAAGTCAGACAAGATTATGTCCATAAAAAAGATTATCTTAGGGATTTATTATCTTCAAAGAAACTGCAAAGTTTCTTGCTGTTCAGATCTGTTCAAGAATTCTTATCAAAGTAGTAGTTATCATATCAAGTAAGAGCTAATTATAATCTCTAAAAATCTCTACAATTAACAAACACCTGACAAATATTTGATTAAGACAAAGGGCTTTTCTTAATGTTGTTAAAACAAAATAATTAATGGCGTTATACAAAAAAGAAGGCGGTTTTTTTGAAGCTTTAAGTCGACACCAAAGCAAAATGTACTTTGCTCTCATCAGCTTGACCTAAGAAATCGGCTTATTGGGCCCACTTTAAATCACAAAGCGAGTGCCCACACCTAAGACAAAGCCACCTGTAAGCCCCAACAGCAGATAACACACAAAGTCCACCTCTCCACCTGGTGTTTTTCGGATAACAAAACTAGGGGAAATCCTGGCCAGGAATAAAAAAGAAGGACGAAGGAAAATAATTTAATTCCATAAACACTTGTTCACACAGTTCACGCAGATCACGCGGTCGCCTTCGTAAGCTGCGACTTGGAGCGACTTGGGCGAAACTTCATCAATACAAATTGTGAATTCCATACAAATAGTTTGACAAACTTGCCGGCCTCCCAAACTTGGAAATGCTCTAAGGACGAAGGACGAAGGGGATCGAACGCGGAGGAGAGGCCCAGATAAATGAAAGAAGTTTTGTGGTAGGCCCGGCAAGAGCATAAAAGAAATCTTATAAATCCAGAGCGGCAACAACACTTGCATATATCCGAGATACTTGCACAGATAGCTATAGCCATACCAAAGCACATATAATACACAGAAAAAATATAATATAAATTCGGTAAAATAAAATAAATATTCTTAAGGTGTTTATGGGATTGTAAGGAACATCATAACAAAATCTGCGAGTCTTTGAATCTTGTAGTTTTAAAGAATTAGTCAAGCTATTCACATATATAAAGAAAGTTATTATACTTCTTTGACAATATCATGGCCAAGTTCAAATAGATTCAATAAATAAAAATAGGAACCATAATATAAATGTCTAAAAGTTTTATTTTAATTTAATTCATTAAATTCACTATGATTTTCCTTTATATATTATTATTTTGCTCACTTTAAATTCCAACCAGTTGTTGGCTTAAAATTACAAAAAATTTATGGGAGCAAATTTGAACTTAATTTTTCCCGTGCATGTAAAAACTAGATTGAGACAAAAGAACTTGTAGAGCGCCAGGGAAAAGTGGGAACAGGAAATGGAGCTGCTGGAGCACTGTGTTCATATCTTAGTTTTCAGCATTTCCGGCGCCAACTATTCGGTCACGTAGTGTGTGCTCTAATGAATGTAGCTGTACAGCTATATCTGGATGGCTATATAGGATAGGATGCGCGTGCAGCATATTATCGCTAAAGGTCGCCCAACTATTTTCACTTGGGGCACTTCTTTTGGACAGACCACATAATCAGAGCCATCGCACATCCCCACCAGACACAAATACAGACATGTCTGAAAATCTTGCCCAAAACTTTCGCATCCGTGCGGAGTGGGAAAACCTCAGAGTGGAAATGAGGGAAAAGCCACCCGAAAACTTTTCATCCTATTTGGGTTCGGTTTTTGGTCCCGACATTGTTCCATTCTCAACGCACATTGATTGTCAACATCCAGCAGGGAATCGAACTTTCGCTTTAGCCGGCGCAGTGGGACTTACAGGCTGTTTAAGTTTTTGGTTTCGTCAATCGGAATTTTGTTGAGTTCTTAGTTGAATTAGTGGTCGATTTTCGGGTTGCAGCACTCAGCTACAAAGTTGCAGATTGAGAGACTGTTATTATTAGAAATATCGCAAGGCTTTCTTAGAATCAATTAATGAACTAGTAACCGCCTTCAATAAATTAGTTACTTAACGTGGTTCAATTAGATTAATAAGAATCTGATAACAGTACTTAATGAAAGAATGTATTTATTATACAATGCTTGTTATCGCAAGGCTTCCCCCTAAGTATCTCAAAGTTGATAGCAGCAAAACAAATACGAACGTCATCTGAAAAACAGTAAAAAACGAAATCGGGGAATACCAAGAAATAAATACGTTCTTGAAAATATTCCAAGAAGCAACAAGCTATTATCAAACTTATTTGTATTGCTCTAAAAAAATGTATGGTTCGATTAATTAAAAGTCTGCTTACATTAGTAATCTTATATTAATAAACCTCTAATCCTACTATAAAACCCGCATTTCCCTATTTGCCAAACTAGTAAGTATTGTTTTGCATAAGCTTGTGATGCGCAAATACTGTTTTATAAACCTATTTATCCAATATCTAATCGCATGTGATAAATATTAATCCTCATGCATTGTTTGCCCTTCGAAAGGCGCTATTTGCATGGCAGACCCCCCGAACAACTGTTGACACTTTGCAGTTTATTAGCCACACAACAATTGTTTAACATTTCCGTCCATGGAGCTCCCTTCTTATCGCCGCCAATCTCTTTGTTTTTCATCCACATTTGCAGCTGCTCCTGGCCGCCATTCTAGCTGCTCGCTGTTTTGGCAGTGGCTCTTCTTGCGAGGAGGCAATGGAATCGACGGGGCAGGGGCTCAGAAACAATAGATATGGCTATAGAAGCACCACGGACAACAACTACGACGATTACAACTACAAGTGGGATGTGGATGTTGATGGCATTGCAGATAGCAACGAGGACGACAACAATGACAACTATAACTACAACAAAGCACCGGCCAAATGGCAGCAGCAAAAACTCTACGGAAATCCCATCCACAGCATATACGACAGGCAACAACATCTACAACGGCAGCAGCAACAACATGAGCAGCAACAGCAGCAGCAGCAGCAACAGCAACTCGAACAACAGCAACAGGGACAGTTTGATGATGATCCAGAGAATGCTCGCAATGACTTCCGTCTGCAATTGTCCGACTTAAATGCGGCCGTTCAAGGTGTGGGCAGGTTTGTTGTTGCCCAGGACCATGACAGCAGCAACAGCAACAGCAACCTCAACGACAACAGCAACATCAACTGGCTACAGCCACCGGAGCAGGAGCAATTGTTGCTGGCACGTCGCAGTCGCAGCAGCAACATCAACCAAAGGTAAGACAGTGATGAGAAAGGTAACATTTTGCTTTACTTATATTTGTAGAAAAAAAATAATCAAATAGTGCAACTGTGTATGGCATCTTATTTATTTTTTTTTATACATTTACTTCCAGTTTAAATCAAAGCGTTATATTTTTAACTATAGTGTTCTTAACTAGAAATTTCTATCAGAAAAAAATATTTATTTTAAACCTTAAAGAATTTAAAGTTCGGTTCAAGTCAGTAAATTATTAGCATTTTTAGGGTCTTAGGGTACTCACAAATGCAACAGCCTAGAAATAGCCAACACTATTTTGAGTCAAAACCAAAAATCGAAACGAAAATAAGGAAAATTAGCCATGGTGGCGGCTGGAGGGGATTGTTTCACTATTCGACTGCATTCATTGGACTCACAATCCGGCAAATTTGGCCGCATGTGATTGGAGCCGACAAAAGGGAATGAAGTCGTAGCACTTGTGCCTGTTCCTGTGCCGGTTCCTCCTCCTGCTCCTCCCGTTCCTTACCCAGAATCCCGGGCAGTCTGACTAATCTTTGTTCTGGCTTGCTGGTTGCATATCAACTAAATGTCAATGCCGACATCCCATGACGTAAGCGTGAGCAGAAACGTAAGCGCTTAAGCTGATTCCTCCAGTCGACTGGGCTTTATCCCCTTTGTCGGACTGAACGAGATCAGGAGCTGCAAGGATCATGTGCATTCTGAGCCAGGGATTACCTAATCGGCATCTAGCATTCACCAAAAATGGATAGCAAACGATAGTTTAAGCAGCACAAAAGAAATGCAACCCAAAATATGACTGAGGATTGGCGGAGGAAACACTGCAAAAGAGATATGTAGTAGAAGCTCTGCTTGTTAAGAAGGATACCCTGCAGTATTTGGGAGTATTCTTGCGTTAGTTTGTTTTCCTTTGCTTATCAGAAATATACTTTAACTAAGGATTTCCTAATTAATAGCTTATATTATCCTGTCCTTATCAAAGTCCCAGTTAACCAGTAGCATATGAAGCTGAATTATAATGCTAACTTATAGTAAAAGCTAAAATAAATAGATAAGCATCTAGCTGCTTGTGAATTAAAACAATTTTAAATAAAAGATTTTGACTATTACTTTACCTTTAAAATTTTAACAATCTAATAGACCTTTGTTTAAATTTTATATTTAAATAGTTTTGTCAACTTCCATTAAAGGTCAAGCCCAATTTTGTAAACTATAAATTGTATAGATCTATTTCTACAAAATAAGCTTAATGTCAGCCCAAATCGATTTAGAGTAAAACCCTATAAAGCAGCAAGATAAAACCCTCAATTATTCACTTGTCGCTGTCACAGGACCACAAAACAGTATTAAACCCCCCTTTTTTGTGCTAATTTAAAGCAGCGCTCACCTCAACTATTCCAGCTGCATTCATTTCAAAACATTTTCGCAAACTTTGCGACAAAACTATCAAAGCCGTTGTTGCCCTGAAAGAGCGCTTCAAAAATGCCAACGCCGCTGGATCTGAAAGCTAAAGCTTCGGGGCAGGAAGAATAGGAAAATGGGTGGGTATGGGAGTGGGAAGGGGAATGGGAATGGGAACAAGGGTAAGGGAGCTCCACTATAACATCGACAACGAAAAGGGGAAATCCGCTGGCAGCCAACGACATTCGCGAGGCGGAGAGCTTTGTGCCGCGCCACAGGCTCGGGACAACGCCATCACCATGAGCACCTCCTGCCCCCAATCTCAATCTCAATCCCTCGTCCCATCCCAATCCCATCCAACAATCCTCAGACAAAGCCGCGCGCCAAAGCGAAAGCTGAAAAATTCATTGGCATTTGCTGCAGTTGAATGCAAAATGATGCGCTTTTGTTGGCCAGCTGGAAAAATTGCAGAAAGAAGCGGCGACCATGCAAATAACAAACGTCAAAAATGAATTTATTTTTTTAAAAACCACACCACCGCCGGCATTATCACATTGGAAAAAATCTTAAAAATGTTGGTTTCTATTTCAAAAACACTAAATATTAAAACATTACAAAGTATAGACTATTTTTTTTTAAGCTTTGTTAGAAAAAAATTTTTTAATTAATAATTTGTCTTCAACTTAATTTTATATATCTTTGGGCGAGCCAAAAATAGGTATTTTAGCAAAGCACAAATTAAGAGAAAAGCCTTTCAAAGCATCTGAATCTTGTAAAAATGGGTTTGTAATATTTTTTGCTGTGTAAAACCGCTTTTTCAGTCATTTCCGCCTGCCTGCGGAGACATCAGACAGTTGTGGAGGCAAAAGTAGCTCCAGTGGGTCATGAGATGAGAGGGGCGCTAATTCATGGCCAAAACTAACAAATTTCCATGCATATGCAATTTCAGGGCAACCATGGATGAAGCAGCCGAAGCTGGTGAACCAGGTCAGGCGGAGCACACTTACAATGAGTCGCCATCTGGCGCGGACATCGAGGGCGAGGAGGATTTTGCGGGCCAGGATGAGGATGCGGACGAGCTGAGTTTCCTGCTGCCCTACGGTATCCAGAATGTGCGCAAGCGTCGCGTGCGCAGCGTTATGCCACCGGTACCTTTTCTGGGGCCCAATCCCAACTCAGATGGGGTTAGTACTTAAAAGAATTGGTCCTTATTCCTTTAAGAGTTAAGCAACAAAATCTTTTGAGTTAAACTTAATCATCCGCCTTATTTCCAGGTGGTCACCTATCAGTCGCTGTGTCCCACGAATCGGGTGACCGTGAAGCTTGAGAGCGGCGACTACCGACCCAATCACTACGTGGAAGTGACCTGTGCCCACAGCTACTCTCCCCAGCCATCAAGATCCCACAACTACGAGTACGGTTACAGGGGCAATGAACTGCTCCGAGCTCTGCTCTCCGAGCGCGGTGAAAAACGAGAGGTGGGATAAAAAACTAAAGAAAAACTTAAGTGCATAATTTAATGTATGTATATTGCCCCCCAGATCTGCTCGGCGACGGGCTTCTCGTGCATCCAGCTCAACCGCACCATCCACCTGATCCGGCTGAACGACGCCTCCGGCTGCTGGGAATCGGAGACCCGGACCGTGCCCTCCGGCTGCGAGTGCATGTGGCCGAAGCACAGCTACGGCGACATAGCCTTCTACCACCAGGCGCAGAAGAGGCGGGGCGGCGTGAATGGACTGCGACCCCAAGTCCCCATCAATGTGGATTACAAGCCGGGCGTTGGCTATCGCCAGCTGACCCTGAGGACGCGGAATCCCAAGCAAGCTCCTCGCAGTCGACGCGAGAATTTGGGCTACGAGAGCTACGAGTTCAACTAGTTTCGAGGCGGAGTTCGCCCAACTGGTTGCGTGTGCTTTTTTTGTGGTTTAGCAACTAAGTTTGACCCGCATAAATTATTTTTCGCTTTAGCCTTAGCATTTAGTCAAGAGAGAGCCCCCAGTAATGGTGTATAAAAATAAACGAACTACAATGGAGCAACAAAATGTGGCATTCTATGATTACGTCGGGGGGATTACGAAGGAGGATTACGGAAATTAAACTGCGTTCGCCGGCGGGCTTACACTAATCCACTTGATGTGCAATTCTGTAAATGCATTTCGCTCAACACCTAACGAGGATGTCCTTCGCATCGTTCGATGCTTGGATTTATTGCCTGCGGCCTTATCGTAAATTAAAAGTTAAGCCCCATTTAAAAACATTTATAACAAACACTCGTGTATTGCATAAATCAAGGTAAATCCCCTCTAATGAATGGCGATGCCTGGCTCGTTGCTAATATAACTTATCGAGGTCTTGTGTGGCCACTCTGTGGACAAGTTTCACTGCAATGTCAGCTACCTGGGCATGCAAATCCTCCGCGGACTGGCTGGCATCGAGCTGGTGCCAATAGTTGGCCTCCTTGGCGCAAATCTGATCGAAAACCTTTGCCACACGCCCCTGGAATTCCACTTTCTCATAACTGCAATGGGATAAGATAAGATATGGGGTTCTTATCTTGTGGGGTTTTATAAAGTGCAACTACTGACCGCTCCTTGCCGTATTCCCCGCGATTCGTGAGGTCATCTGCGGGTGCTCTCAGGTAGAAAACTGCATCTGGTTTCAGGAGCCCCCTTTCCGGGGCATAACACCAGTCAAAATCCAGTCCCTTGGCCGCACTATAGGCCACTCCAGAGTAGGAATATCGATCCACCACCAGTGTATTGCCCTCAAGGAGCTTCTGCTTTATCTGGTTCATGTGCTCCCAGCGATTGGCGGAGAACATCAAGTGGATTACCTCGTCCGGCAGATCCTTGCTGTTAGTCAGATAGGAGTTTATCACCTGGCCAATGTGGGAACTGCGCTCCGGAAAATGCATGGGCAGAACGGGAATGTCCCTCGATTTCAGGAGCTCAACTAGAGAAGATTGGAAGGTAAATGGTGGGTTTATTGGGTTTCTGAAGTTTCCTCAACTTACCTAACAGCCGGCATTGTGTAGTTTTTCCAATGCGATCGCATCCTTCGAATACAATAAAGGCCCCGCGGTTTTCTAGACTCATTTTTTGCTACTTTTTTGCAAGATGCATTTCGACCAGGGCTTCACAGCAATGAAAACACATTTTGGCGCCAAATTGGAAAATACCATATCCCACCAAATTGATATCTTCTAAGCACAATTAGGTCAAGCAGTGGAAAGTAAAACATTAATAAAAATATTAAAAACAATAATTAATTAAATAGTATCTTCCTCCATCTCAACCTAAGTATTTTTCGGCAGGAATTGTCTTTCTTATCGATACTTAGCCTTGTCACCCTCCTCATTCGCGTGTGTATCGACATATCGATACTATTATGAGTGGTTAGCCCATCTCTAACACAAATTACATTTTGTTTTAAACAATTGAAAATACACGTAAAAACACAAAAACAACGTTGCGGCATTTGCGAATTAATATATATTTAGTCCTTCCCGTTCGGCGCCATGTGCTAGCTGCAAGAACAGGGCCCGTTTACGCGTTTGAGAGCTCGTTTTCGGATTTGCCTGCGCTGCGCGACCCAAAACAAGAAAAATTCGCACGCCGTTGCAACGAATTTGCAATGCGCTGCCGTTGAAAATCGAAAGGTATAAAACAGATTCCCCGACCCATGCGATAATTAACACACTTAGCCGTTGAATTGCCAAATTAAAATTGTTTAAACAAAAGCCACAAACGACTGGCCATGGAGAAGAGGGAAAATAACGAAGTGAGCAGGACGTTCCGGAGTCGCAAATACCTCGTGCTTTTGGCGTAGCGTGCAAAGCAACGCGCTGTCATCTGGCCGATAGGTTGTGTGTTATCGGCTGCTGCCCTGTTATCGCGTTATCGCGCAAGGACCACGAGAGCGGCGGAAAACCTTTTGCCTTTTCCGAGTGGGTTGGTGTGTGGGTGGTGTGAAAAAAGTGCGTGCGGTCTTGTTTATGGGCGAAAAAGAGCAGCGGCTGTCCGGCCGGAGTTAGCAAGTCCTGTGCAGAATCCTTCCCAGCGAGATTAGGTCACCTTTTCCTCCGGCTGCTCCGCTCCTTAAAATCCAGCTGTCGGTTTTTCTTTTAAACATTCCACATTGGGCCGAAAGGACTGCTAGGGACGAAAACCCATGATCAGGGTGAGATATAGAAGCGCCACGAGATAGCCGCCGCTGAGAGAGATGGCCAATAACAATCATCCGCATCCCGGGCATCTCAGCCAGGCGGCCCAGAACGCCTCCTGGAATCCCCTGCAAGTAAGTAGCAGCCTCGATATGGACCAAAATGAAATGCTGACCTCCATAAATCCGCAGATTCCGTCGTACATACCCCGGCAGCCGCAGTTGGCGCACATGTCCAATGAGCGGCCCGGAATGGTGCGATCCCCGCTGGCCTGGCACGTCTCCGGTTCCGTTTCCGCCCAGCCGCCGCCGCCGCCTGATGCCATTTACAATTTCATGTCGGCCAACCACAAAAACGTAGGCCAAGCAGCCAAAAATCCAGATCTTAGTTAATCCAAAAAGCATGATTGATCCTTCGCCTTTTAGCCAGTAGAAGCCTCCTTTAGCCTCGTTTAGTTTAGTTGAGTTGTTATCCTAGTTTGCTTTTTTTGTGCCTCTGAAGTCGAAGTCGTGTATTTGTTTTCGTCGGTGATCATTAATTCTAAGCTTTACTTTTTTCTCAGCTGGACCACCACCATCAGATGAATCCTCTGCTGGCACCGCCCTACTCTGGAACTTTGCCATTCAACTCTATGGATCTGTCTTTGCAGTCCGCCCGCAGTGCGGCTCAGCCGCTGGCCAAGCAGTCGCCGAACCAGCAGGCACAGCAGTCTCAGCAGCAGCAGCAATCCCTAATGCACGCCCCCAATTATCCTTCAATGTCAGTATAATGCCCTAATTCCAATTTATGGCGGATAATCTCAAGCTTTTCTTTACGATACAGTCAAAATCTCACGACCAATGCCACGCAGCAACAGCAACAGGGACATCTGGCAGCCATGGCAGCCGCTCATGCTAGTTTGCTGCAGTCCAGCCTGGGAACCTCCTCGGGAAATCTCAGCAATGGTGACTGCGAGTCCTTGCTACCGCCACCGCCGCCTACAACTGTCTCTGGGAACAGCAATCACGCAGGAAGCAACAGCAGCAGCAATAGTGGGAGTAACAATCACATAACCAGCCCGCACTACATGCAAACTCGCGATGAGAACTTCAAGCTGGCGCAATTAAAGCGCAGTTTCGACCACGAGCTCTCGGGAAAAAGTCTGCCGAAGGACAAGGATTTTGGATACCCGTCAGCGGGATCAGCTGGCAAACTGCCCACGCACAATGTACAGCAGCAACATGCCAACAAGAAACGTAAGTCGGATTGTGATTTATGAAAAATGATATTAACCGAATATACTTTTTTTAGCCTCACCTCTGCGAAACTATCACCAAGCGCAGCAGCCGCCTTACAACTTAACACCCAAATACAATGGACCACAAACGCCGCCTACGCCTCAATCTCCGCTGGCTGCGCCACCTCATCAAATGCAATCACCCACCATGGACTACAATCAGCTGCACCTGCACCATCAGCTCAATAGCTCGGGAGGAGGTAGCTACCAGCACATGCAGCAGGACCAGACGCAATCACAATCACACCCCCAGCACTTGCACTACCACAATCAGCATGTAGCCAGCCAAACTGCTCCACCTCCGCTCCTGCCACCTCACTTGACCAGCGGCCCGTTCCATGGGCAACCACAGGATGCGGCCCAGCAGCAGCTGTCATCCTCAAGTCAACAACAGACGCATCATTCCCGTAACGCGCAATTGACGAATCTCGATCTGGGGATTAAGCTCAAATCAGACTCGTCGGAGGAGCAGCCTGTTATAACTGATCTGTCCTATCGCAACTCGGAAGCAGACAAACCTGCAGCCAACCCATTGCCAGATGCCCCCGAGTCGCCCTACCTGACCACCTCCAATGAGGAGTCGCTGGAGTCCAATAGCAACAGTAGCAATAGTCGAAAGCGGCGCAAACGAAAAGCCAGTATGGTAATGAGAGTTACCCCGAACGAAAATGCGCCTGAGGGAGGAATCATCAAGCCGCAACATCATCAACAACAACAACAACAGCAGCCGGTGCACCATAATAATACCTGCAGTCCTAAACGGTCTCCCAAGAATGGGGGCAGTGATTTTCAGCCATTCAGTTTGCAAACCCAATCGCAAACGCAGAATGAGAAGGCGCCACAAGAGAATGGCCGCCCAGGATCACCGGCTCCGGCGGAGAACAGTAGTAACAGCAATAGCTCCACGCTTTACCACGACAACGACAACCCCAAGACCAAGAAACAGCGGCAGGCCCTGCTGCAGCGGAATCTCACCGAACAGCACCGTCTGCAGCAGGAGGATGAGCCTCCCAAAAAGCACACACCACCCACAATGCCGCCACCCAGTCCGCAGAGCAACAGCAGTAGCAGTAGCTCGAGTAGCTCCAGCGCCAACACGCACAGCAGCCACAGCAGTCATGCAGTTAATGATAACCGAAGGGATCCGAAGCCTGAGATCAACAATAAGGCCACCACGGACACACCTGCATCTCCTGCCCTCGTCGAGCAAGGCGATATCGATGCCAAGCCGGCAGTAAGTGTGCACGAATGCGATGAGGAGGAAGACCCAGCCACGAATAAAGAATCACCCGGACTTCCTGCTCCGCTTCCTACTCCAGCTGTTGCAGCTCCTCCAGTGACCGAATCGCCTAAGAAACCCTCACCCGCTGCGAACTCTGAGCCCTGCCCTTTTGGAGAAGTGGAGGATAAGCTCGAGGAAATGTTTGCCGGCATTGAAGAGGAGACGGAAAGGATATGCAGCCCGGAGAAACCAGCGGGGGAGACGGAAGAGTTGGTAACACACGATTTGACCGCCCAGCTGGCTCTGGACAGCGCCAAACCAGACGAGGCGCCAGCGGAAAAGATGGAAACTTCTGTGCTAGCAGTTCTGGCACAAGCACCAGCACCTGCTCCCGAAATTCGACCCGTGGCTACTAAGGCGGCAATGAAGTCCACGCTTCCCAGTCCCGTGCACAGTCCCACGCCTCAATCTCGCTCCACGTCGACGCCCTTGGCTGCAGTGGATGACAGTAAGCCCAACACCCCTGTTCCACCTAAAACACCCGCAGCCAGGAGACCGCCACCTCGTAGACTTTCAATGGGCATGGATGCCTCACTGCTGCGTTTTATGATCGACGACCCGCCTGCCAAAAAGCCAGGTCGCAAGAAGAAGGTGATCCCAGAGCTGGAACTTGAAGACGATGACAAGCCAAGCACCTCGGCGGCAGCTGCCGCGGCCTTGGCAGCCCGCCAACTAAGCGAAGCTGCCGCTAGTGCTCCTAAGGGAAAAGCTGCCGGAGCCAAGAAAAAGAATGCCATGGGGAAGGGCAAGAAGGTACCAGCGGGGAAGGCTAAGAATGCCAAGCAAAATGGAAAGAAGCAGGGACGGAAGCCCGCCTTTACCACCGATGAGGACAGCACACCAGCGCCCACAAACGGAGGAGGAGCAGTCCCTGAGTTAAGGTTCAAATCTCCCTTCATACTCATCAAACCGGACGGAAGCGTGAGCATCAAGAACACCCACAGTGCCGAGGACGTAAACGAGAAGCAGACGAAGGCTAAGAAGGCGCCGCACGAGCGAAAAAATTTAAGGGGGATGCACAGCTCTACGCTGAGCAATCGCTATGATGCGGATACCACCGACTCCACCTGGATATGTGTGTTCTGCAAGCGCGGTCCTCATAAACTCGGACTGGGTGACCTCTTTGGTCCGTATCTGGTGACTAGCGACTGTGACGAGTATCGTGCGGCTTTGCAAGCTCCCGGAGTACAGGACATTGATGGGCTGTTTGTCAACAAACGACGGCGCGAGGACATGGTAAAGCTGCATGAGCGGAATCTGCCTGTGGTGCCAGCCACGCTGGCCCACATTATGCAGGCACCTAAGATTAGCATGGTAAGATATTAAAATAAACTATAGAATAAGCATTCTAACTTATCTTTGATTTTCAGCACAAACGAAAGCGCAAGCAGACGCACGATAGCTCGATATCCTACAGCGATGACCCCAATGAGTCACGTTCGCAATGCTCATCGGTGGACCCGCTGGACTGCAGTCACGAATCCAAGTTTGTTGAGACGTTCCGCGGCATGGGCAAGACATCGGAGCACGGCTTCGAAGTTTGGCTGCACGAGGACTGCGCCGTGTGGAGCAACGACATCCAGCTAATCGGCGCCCACGTCAACGGACTGGATGCGGCTGTGTGGGACAGCACGAGGTACCAGTGTATGGTTTGCCAACAGACGGGGGCTAGTATATGTTGCTTCCACCGAAGTTGCAAGGCACCTGCTCATGTGCCGTGTGCACGATCCGCGAAGTGGAGCCTAAGTGAGGACGATCGCAAGGTATTCTGCCAGCTGCATAAAGACGAGTCTGATGTCGTGGAGCCCATGAAAACGGAACCACTGGCGCCAGAGGCAGCTGCAGCAGCTCCTGCTCCTGCACCCGCTCCCCCGCCCCCGTTCAACATTCATTCGCTTCCCTGAGTACGCGTGCGCGTCCAGAAATGCCGCCTGGTCGCCAAGCGTTGAGCGTTGAAGGCACGATCCCCAGACTCCCGACTCCGAATCCAAAACCCAACCGAATCCGCAGCTCACTGCACATTTTACTTAAGCTTTGTACATAAGTTTCGGACTGCCGTCGTAGCCAGGAGGCATTTCGTAATCCGTGAAGTGATTTTGTATAAATCCGCTGTACATTTTAAGGCTTGACGCACCGCACGACGATATCAGAGCGTTCGCCACGTTATAGTTAGGTTTCCCAACTGCATCCTTAGTTGTTTATGTTTAAGTGAATGCCTAAATTATTATTTCGCCTAGTACTATGCACTTTACATTAGTACCTTTTAGTTCTAACTAATTTAAAGCCTCCAACCCATGTCCATTGCCCACCCATCTGCATCACATACGCCAATTGATAATTGATAATTCGGTTTAGTTGAATTCAGTCCGTTTTGTATAAACGAATACTCCATGCCATACCGATAACCAACTGAGTAATCAAGATAACTGAAGTAGCTATGGGAGATTCCAATTGATATATGCGATGTGAAGTTGCAGTAAAGTTACGTATAAATAGAAAATGTATGACACCAAGTAAGCGAGAACATTCGAAGCCCAATTACAAAATGGAATATTGTAAAACAATATAATATGCATATAATAATATTAGAAATGTTAATTTAAGCGAAAAGTTAAAGCCAGCAAAATGAAACCTTGTATTGTATTCGTATTCGGTAAGGTCTGTACGTATTGCTGATAATTTTAAAACTCTAAAAAGGTATAAACAATAAAAACTTAATCTCACAAGCAACAGGAGTAGGGCGAACTCGTACCGGGTTTTTGTAAATTTTTCGTTTTATTTATCAATAAATATGCAAAAATATACACACACATACATACGAATAGAGTATGGTTTTTGAACTGAAGTGATCTCAATAGCACAGTTCTCAACTTAGCTTAGGCATAAATAGTTTACTAATTTAGCTAAAAGATACGTTTCTAGTCCTAGCTCGTTAATCTGGAAATCTCGTTTAGAAGCGACGGAGCCGCCGGCGCAGTTGCTGCGTGACATCGTTGGGTAGTCGGCCCACACTGCTCTGTGGAACATCGTAGGACGTGCGTCCGGCATAGAAGGCACGCTCCCGGCTCTTACCAGATCCGGATAGGCTGCCCTTGCCCGGGGCATCCGTGAGTTGCAGCTGACTGGCCGACACATCGCTGCGCTTCTGGGCCAACTGCAGTCCGGGTATCAGGCCATTGCCCAGCGTGGGGAGCTGCACGTTCAAGTGGTCCACATGGCGTCCGGCTATCACTGGTCCCTGAGCAATATTCCCTGGGGACACGGCCACGGGCGGAGCCAGAGGCGGAAACTGCGGCAATTGCTGCTGCTGCTGCTGGTAGGGCACGAAAATGTTGGGCGTCAGATAGGGTTGCTGGATGGTATGGATTGTGGGACGTTGCTGTTGCTGCTGGAAGTGCTGTTGCTGCTGGGGCTGCTGATATTGCTGGTAGACATTCTGCTGCTGTGGTTGTTGGTACTGCTGTGAGATGAAGCTTAGTTGCTGCTGATGTTGCACAGGGGTATGTTGCTGTTGCACAGGGGTATGTTGCTGTTGCACAGGGGTATGTTGCTGTTGCACGGGCTGGCGTTGCTGTTGTGGGACTTGTTGCTGCTGGACAGGCTGGCGTTGCTGCTGTTGAACATGTTGCTGCTGTGCCGGCTGCTTTTGCACACGTTGCTGCTGATAGTGTTGCTGCTGTTGTGGCAAACGCTGTTGCTGTTGCAAAGTGGCAGCAGAAGCAATATTGTTGGTACTCGCAGGACTTTGACCGAACTTGTTGTTTAGGAAATCGTTGAGAGAAACATAGGAGTTGCCTTGGTTATTAGTGACTGGTGCCTGGGTGGCCAAGTTGGAGATGATGTTGCTGGCGGAGTTGGGAGCAATTCGCTGACCTTCTGCACGAGCAATTACGATCCCGGGCGGCGAAGCTAGTTCTGATAATTGTGGTGCCTGTTGAGGTCGTGGCGGTACAGTCAGACTGGAAATAGCTGAAACGTGGAAACGAAATGCGTTTAAAAATTAATTAGAATCGGCTTAAATTTGGAAAAGTTATGGACTCCACAAGTCCAATGGTGTGTAACCTTTTTACAAAACATCGGAAACTTGGAATTAACTAACATGAAAATGGTTCAAAAATTTGATCAACGTTAAAATGAAAATTTTGAATGCAGATTTTTAGAGAATCAAAATACGAGTCTTTAAAGGTATGCCACTTTGGAATCGGATTAAATTTGGAAAAGTTGTGGACTCCACCCGTCCAATGGTGTGTAACCTTTTTACAAAACATCCGAAACTTGGAATTAACTAACATGAAAATGGTTCAAAAATTTGATCAACGTTAAAATGAAAATTTTGAATGCAGATTTTTAGAGAATCAAAATAAGAGTCTTTAGAGGTATGCCACTTTGGAATCGGTCTAAATTTGGAAAAGTTATGGTCTCTACCGTTAAAATGAAAATTTTGAATGCAGATTTTTAGAGAATTAAAATACGAGTCTTTAGAGGTATGCCACTTTGGAATCAGATTAAATTTGGAAAAGTTGTGGACTCCACCCGTCCAATGGTGTGTAACCTTTTTACAAAACATCCGAAACTTGGAATTAACTAACATGAAAATGGTTCAAAAATTTGATCAACGTTAAAATGAAAATTTTGAATGCAGATTTTTAGAGAATCAAAATAAGAGTCTTTAGAGGTATGCCACTTTGGAATCGGTCTAAATTTGGAAAAGTTATAGTCTCTACCGGTCAAATGATGGGTAACCTTTTTACAAGACATCGGAAACTTGGAATTAACTAACATGAAAATGGTTCAAAAATTTGATCAACGTTAAAATGAAAATTTTGAATGCAGATCTTTAGAGAATCAAAATACGAGTCTTAAGAGGTATGCCACTTTGGAATCGGATTAAATTTGGAAAAGTTGTGGACTCCACCCGTCCAATGGTGTGTAACCTTTTTACAAAACATCGGAAACTTGGAATTAACTAACATTAAAATGGGTAAAAAATTTGATCAACGTTAAAATGAAAATTTTGCATGCAGATTTTTAGAGAATTAAAATACGAGTCTTTAGAGGTATGCCACTTTGGAATCGGATTAAATCTGGAAAAGTTGTGGACTCCACCAGTCCAATGGTGTGTAACCTTTTTACAAAACATCGGAAACTTGGAATTAACTAACATGAAAATGGTTCAAAAATTTGATCAACGTTAAAATGAAAATTTTGAATGCAGATTTTTAGAGAATCAAAATACGAGTCTTTAGAGGTATGCCACTTTGGAATCGGATTAAATTTGGAAAAGTTGTGGACTCCACCCTTCCAATGGTGGGTAAGCCTTTTCAAGACATCGGAAACTTGGAATTAACTAACATGAAAATGGTTCAAAAATTTGATCAACGTTAAAATGAAAATTTTGAATGCAGATTTTTAGAGAATCAAAATACGAGTCTTTAGAGGTATGCCACTTTGGAATCGGATTAAATTTGGAAAAGTTGTGGACTCCACCCGTCCAATGGTGTGTAACCTTTTTACAAAACATCGGAAACTTGGAATTAACTAACATGAAAATGGTTCAAAAATTTGATCAACGTTAAAATGAAAATTTTGAATGCAGATTTTTAGAGAATCAAAATAAGAGTCTTTAGAGGTATGCCACTTTGGAATCGGTCTAAATTTGGAAAAGTTATGGTCTCTACCGGTCAAATGATGGGTAACCTTTTTACAAGACATCGGAAACTTGGAATTAACTAACATGAAAATGGTTCAAAAATTTGATCAACGTTAAAATGAAAATTTTGAATGCAGATCTTTAGAGAATCAAAATACGAGTCTTAAGAGGTATGCCACTTTGGAATCGGATTAAATTTGGAAAAGTTGTGGACTCCACCCGTCCAATGGTGTGTAACCTTTTTACAAAACATCGGAAACTTGGAATTAACTAACATGAAAATGGGTAAAAAATTTGATCAACGTTAAAATGAAAATTTTTAATGCAGATTTTTAGAGAATCAAAATACGAGTCTTTAGAGGTATGCCACTTTGGAATCGGATTAAATTTGGAAAAGTTGTGGACTCCACCCGTCCAATGGTGTGTAACCTTTTTACAAAACATCGGAAACTTGGAATTAACTAACATGAAAATGGGTAAAAAGTTTGATCAACGTTAAAATGAAAATTTTGAATGCAGATTTTTAGAGAATCAAAATACGAGTCTTTAGAGGTATGCCACTTTGGAATCGGATTAAATTTGGAAAAGTTGTGGACTCCACCCGTCCAATGGTGTGTAACCTTTTTACAAAACATCGGAAACTTGGAATTAACTAACATGAAAATGGTTCAAAAATTTGATCAACGTTAAAATGAAAATTTTGAATGCAGATTTTTAGAGAATTAATATACGAGTCTTTAGAGGTATGCCACTTTGGAATCGGTCTAAATTTGGATAAGTTATGGTCTCTACCGGTCAAATGATGGGTAACCTTTTTACAAGACATCGGAAACTTGGAATTAACTAACATGAAAATGGGTAAAAAATTTGATCAACGTTAAAATAAAAATTTTGAATGCAGATTTTTAGAGAATCAAAATACGAGTCTTTAGAGGTATGCCACTTTGGAATCGGTCTAAATTTGGATAAGTTATGGTCTCTACCGGTCAAATGATGGGTAACATTTTTACAAGACATCGGAAACTTGGAATTAACTAACATGAAAATGGGTAAAAAATTTGATCAACGTTAAAATGAAAATTTTGAATGCAGATTTTTAGAGAATCAAAATACGAGTCTTTAGAGGTATGCCACTTTGGAATCGGATTAAATTTGGAAAAGTTGTGGACTCCACCCGTCCAATGGTGTGTAACCTTTTTACAAGACATCGGAAACTTGGAATTAACTAACATGAAAATGGGTAAAAAATTTGATCAACGTTAAAATGAAAATTTTGAATGCAGATTTTTAGAGAATCAAAATACGAGTCTTTAGAGGTATGCCACTTTGGAATCGGATTAAATTTGGAAAAGTTGTGGACTCCACCCGTCCAATGGTGTGTAACCTTTTTACAAAACATTGGAAACTTGGAATTAACTAACATGAAAATAATTCAAAAATTTGATCAACGTTAAAATGAAAATTTTGAATGCAGATTTTTAGAGAATCAAAATACGAGTCTTTAGAGGTATGCCACTTTGGAATCGGATTAAATTTGGAAAAGTTGTGGACTCCACCCGTCCAATGGTGTGTAACCTTTTTACAAAACATCGGAAACTTGGAATTAACTAACATGAAAATGGGTAAAAAATTTGATCAACGTTAAAATGAAAATTTTGAATGCAGATTTTTAGAGAATCAAAATACGAGTCTTTAGAGGTATGCCACTTTGGAATCGGATTAAATTTGGAAAAGTTGTGGACTCCACCCGTCCAATGGTGTGTAACCTTTTTACAAAACATCGGAAACTTGGAATTAACTAACATGAAAATGGGTAAAAAATTTGATCAACGTTAAAATGAAAATTTTGAATGAAGATTCAAAATACGAGTCTTTAGAGGTATGCCACTTTTGGAATCGGCTTAAATTTGGAAAAGTTATGGACTCCACCTGTCCAATGGTGGGCCAAAAAAAATCTGTAATAATATTCCTAGCTCTAATCCTCACCTGGCGCCGCTGCTGGCTTAACGTAGCTGCTGCTGACCGAATGATGTTGCTGCTTGACTGCCTGATGATGCTGTTGGCGTTGCTGTTGTTGCTGTTGATGTTGCTGTTGCTGCTGCTGTTGATGGGAACCCTGCGACTGGGCACTTTTGAAATTCTGCAAAATGGACTCGTCAACAATGGCACGGGTTAACTTATCGAAGGAAAGGAAAGCGGAGGCGGGGGAAAGGCTGGATGTGGATTGGGATTGAGAGGCGTGCGCAGCGATATCGCTGGCGGTGTGTGTGGCATAAACGTGTGATGGTGACTGTTGGATGGGCTTGCTGATCTGCGGTGCCTGGGTGTAGGCATAGCCACCATTATAGTTGGAGGCCAAGGCGGAGATGTGCTGGTTTAGCGAGAAGAGCGAGGATGTGGGTCGCACTGTAGTGCTCCTTGGCGTGGTGGTTCCCCGAGTTCGTTGCACGGGCGCCTGAGTCTTGAAGTTGGAGTAGCGATTCTTGCCGCGATTCAGGGTGGCTGTGGATCGGGAAGAGGTGGCCGCAACATAACTTCTGGGAGTGGTGGTGCTGCTGCTGGTGATTCCCGAACTAATACTGCTGACCGAGGCTCGTGTTGCCGGTGTGTACACTCGATTGCCGCGTTGCACCTGGAAGCGTTGAAGGTTGCTGTGAACGCTCTCCCAGCTGGCCTTGTTTGGAGCAATCTTGGTCTCGCGATCAATGTCGCGCACTGTTAGCTTCTTATTTGGACCCGGTTCGGCACCGCCACGTACTTGTTGGAACGAGGAAATTGTGGTGGTTGCCCTAGGCGATGTTGTTGTTGTGCTCGCCGTTGTAGTTGTTGCCTTTGTGGTGCTTCTGGTGGCCTGGGATAATCTGGACAGACGCAGTCTACTAGCTGCCAGGCGTTCCAGGTAACTCCTGGTGGTTGGAATGCTCCTTGGAGTGGTCGATGCCGCTGTGGTGCGAACTATGGGTAAAGGACGAATGTGGGCCCGCTTTAACATGGCTCCAGGGCGATTCTTCCGATAGCCACGAACGCGTTCCTGAGTGCTACTGATCTCCGTTACCACCTCGGTGGAGGTCTGCATGGCTGGCGTAATGGGGCTACTGGTTGTGGTACTAGTAACCACTATTTCGTTCCTTTCCAAGGACTTCTCTTCATCGTGGGATGTGAGTTGCACGCCCGCCAGCAGCAACTTGGCTGCCTCATGGTGCACATCATTCTTCTCAGCGGTCTCGGGACTCAGCTCCACCTCGGTTAAATCCTCACTAATGGGCAGACTGGCGGTAAGAGCAGCTGCCTGGCCAATGGACTCGATGGGCGGTACTTCCCCGGTAGCCACCACTTCAGGTGGTGGTGGTGCCAGAAAACTAAGTGGTTCTGCGGCTAAGGTGGTGGTAATTTTAGGTGCCACTGTTGTGGTGGTCACTTCCTCATCCTCAGCGGGTGGCAAAGTGGGTGCTATCAGCAGTTGTTCCACTGATTCGGTGGTTGTCGAAGTGGTGCTGCTGCTGGTACTTGCGGTTTTGGAAAACTTGTGCTTGTGTTCAATGGATTTGTGATCTTCGGTGGGTATCTCATTGGGCTATTATTGTGTTTTTGTGTGGTTTGTGGTTTTGAGTTGCGTATGTAAGCGATAGTTGATAGAGTAGCAATAGAGATAGAAAGATAGATAGATATAGATAGAAAGAGTTAAGATAGAGGTGAATAAAATAGACTGGAAAGGTAGTTCCCAGAGTTAGTTTAAATCGCGTGCTGAAACTCACCGTAAATCTGACAGTGCTGGCTGTTTGTTTGGGTTTAATGTAGCCATAGCCCGTGGATGAGCTGCCCTTGCCGTTCTCGCCCTGCATCGAGAATCCGCGGCTCAGGAACCGGAAAGGCTGCTTCACTTTCGGCGGGGCCATGGATTGATAGCCGGAAACGGAGGGATCCACATCGGTGGACACCTCATCCAGCAGATTGTTGATATTCGACACAAGATCAATTTGCACGGCCTCGTCCTTCGTATTCCTAATGTGCTTGATGTAGTCGGGAGCCATCACCTCTCCCGAGGTGGATTCCGTGTCGGTTAAGAGGTCCAAGCCCGCATTCACACGCTCGGCAAAGTTCTTCTGCTTTTGATAGTGATATTCCCGGGGATACTCCGCCACGATGTGGGCATTCGTGTGATCGAACTGGATGCCAGGATCCGAAGATAGTTCCCCCAAGCTGTTCACATAGATACCCTCATCATCATTTTCGTCGGTGGCAATGCCTGTTTTCACGGCATTCAGTGGCTCACTCTTAACGGCTTCTCCACGTCCAACCACTTTTGTATCCTGGGGTTCATTGGGCTTAATAGCCGCTGGTTGACTCAAAACCCCACTAGCTCCACTCAGATCCTTGCTGAGACTGTAGTGCGGATTCGGCGACTGAGACTGGGTTTGCTGCAAGGCCTTCGAAATGGTCTTCATGGGGTATTCCATCATGTGACGCACTCGCTCCATCATCTCGTGGGTGCTGCCCACCGATTTCTCCTCGTTCATTTCGTAATATCTCTCTGAGTCATCGCAGTTCACATTCCGGTACCAATCGCACACAAAGTTCTTCTGGCTGAAGAGGGTTCCATTGGGGCAGAGGAAGCCAAATCCTTGGGGGGATCGGGCCGTGTGGGCACAAATACGGAAGGCCTGGCAGCGACTCTCCACATCTGCGTAGTAACCTATAAAGAAATTAAAGATAAGAGAGTTATATGGGGAGGAAAGGTAAACTATTTCAGTTAAAAACTGTCTTTTTCATTTTAAATAGCATCGCAGGCTTGAAGTAAGTAATAACAAACAATTTATAACTTTCAGGAAATAGGAACTAAGTATAAGATACTTATACTAAGGAAATAAATGTAGGAATATTAATTCGTTTAAAATATAACACCCACCTTCATGTCTTCCCTTGCACACAAAGCTGGTCTTGGGCGGCGCACTTAGAATGGGGTAATCCAGGCCTGGTTCGCCGGGAATCGTGTGCCGGAGGTCGTACTGCTGGTCCGTGTACTCGCTGGACTTGTCCGCATCCTCGAAGTGCTCCCGACTGCTGCTCTGGCCCTGGGCCACGCCCACCAGGAGGACGAGAGCCAACCACAGACAGGATCTGGGTGGCCACATGCTATTGAAGAAAAAACATATAGAAAAACATTAAAAATGGATTAATGGTGACATATTTGAGCGGCGCTTTGCGACACTTTATTCATTAGGCTGATTGATAAACCATGAATCGGGACGAAACTCATTGATTCAAATGTGTGTTTTGGCCCATTTGCATACAAATGCGGCGCACAACGGAAACACGTAAGGTTCGGTTAGATTTGCATATGACATAAAGTAGCGAGGCGTGTCCACAGCTCTCACGTAACCGAATAACCGAATCGCTAACTGATTTATGTGGCCCAAACAAACGCCTTTTACAGCCGGGACGGTGACTTTTTTGCAACACTGTCCGGATATTTTTGCGTGGGGTCAGTCGACAGATCGAGCCATTTACGGCCAAGTGTGTCCATCAAATGGCAATTAAATTCGATTGGGCTTATCTTTTGCGTTCACAATAAAAGGAGGCAGCGGATGGATGACCCTGAAATTTCCGCTTGATCTAGATGTTAAGCCTTTTTATGATCGATATCGGATCAATATATGAAGTGTTTATAACTTCTTTCTTTGGCCCACCAGCCATTAATCATTGGGTATTGTTTAATGGATGAGCAACGATTATTAATCATACGGGGGCCTTATTAGAATGTGGCTAATTCCGAATTAGCCAAAGCAAATCGAAACTGAACGCAAACAAAAATCAAGTATTCGCAGCGCTTCCAGTTAAACACTTGAGCAATCAATTCTTGATGGGTTTTCGATCGGCTAGTCCGCTGAGGTCATTTGGGGCTATTATGTTTTCCGAATGATATGTGCTGACAGCGGACTGGGATCCAGCTGTAGAAACAGATAAATTTCATATTTCATGCAAATTAATACGAAAGACTTAGGCAACGAACTCTCGACACGGTCCAACTTCACTTGTCTTCACCCTGAATGATTGCCTCTAATTGTTCGCATTGATTGTTGTGTAAGGAAGCAAAGCGTAAAGAAAACACTCCACTCGAGCCGTTCAATGAAAATACTCAGTGGCAATTGTTGGCCAAAATTTGATTTGGTTAGTGCAGCTCGAAGCCATTCAAAGCGGGTGAAAATGAATCGAAATAGTGGCTGCTAAAAATATGCGTACAATTAAACGACGACCATGGTTTGCCCAATTGTCTACCAATTTGTAGTGATAACTCTATCGTTATATAAGTTTTGGCTGATGATGATGTAACAATTGAAAAGGCATAATTACAAGCATGGTACTTGCATTTTACCTGGCTGACATTCCCTGGCAGTCAATAACCTTCCCGTGAGTCAACAAACTGTAAGCTGCCCACTTCTATAATGACTATCTAAGCGACATCTAATTGAATTTTAATGATCCATCATCTTCAGCCAGAAGCTGCTCGGCCATTCAGTTCACACACACTCAGTATGCAAATGTCGTGGGGGAAATGTAAAATGACCTCTTCGTGAGATGTACTTATGGTGGAATTGGAATGCCCCCAGTCTCGTTACAAAAACCATTTACAATTCGACACTTTCAGGGTCAATATCAAGACCACAAAACAACCGACAACAAGGAAGCATTCGGTATAGAAAATGTTTTACTTCTCATTGTTTTCAATGATCCATCAAAACACTGAAATGCCAGACAAATGATGATTAAAATGAGAGCCCCCAAACAAGAAGCCACCGAGAACAGGGAAGGAAAATTTCAGATAACAGACTTTGCATTGAAAACGAAATAAAAGAGAATGGATAGACCCATTAAATGAGGTGCCTTTAACCGAAATATATATTAGTTGCTGTAATTCAAATGCCTCGAACATTACTTTTTATGATCTTTGGCTGAGTTTGGTGCAAATTAATTGACAGCACGTTTTCGAGCCGCGCCGAAGTGAACCATAAATCTTCAACAGATATCACGAGAACGGGTTGCCCCGGTCGGGTATTTAATTATAGCATATCTCCTCCAACTTTGACTCCATGGCGCCGACAAGCCCATGATCGTTGGGTGTCATCCAGCAAAATTGATGACTGTCCCAGGAATGGGTACTCATAGGTGTATTAATAGCAGGATCTCCTCGGGTTTGGGTCTGCCATGTCAATCTTATTTAGTGGAGGCTTCTTCTCACGATCTCGCCTTTGAGATTTGACAGCCCGCATCTTCGGAATTTGCTCAGTTATGGGCAGATGACGTAAATCGAGTGCGTAACACAAGAGATTGAGAGTGAGCCACTTCTGACTGTCTCGTCGATCTCGGGGTTCCGTGATTCGCCGATTTTATATCCGTTTAGCTATTTCGATTCAAGAGGTCGAGAAGTTTGCTATGTAAACATATCATTTACGGATTAACCAGCATTATTTATACATCAGTAATCAAACAAGAATAAGCTGCTTAGCGAATAATGGGATTCTAAACGATGTGGGATACAAAAAATTTAAGAAATGTGGGCCAAACATTTTCTTATCTCTCATGAAATGAATATATAAAAAATGTACAGTAAGTTCGAGGTAAAAGGGTAATGTCCTGTAGATTAATATGATATAATTATAAGCTCTAACTATTTATAAAAAATGTGAGTCCTCAAATATAAAATAATATAAAAGCACAACATTCGAATTCTATGATTTTCAAATACTTAGTAATTTATGCCTTTTTTATGAAGGAAAAGTTGTGGAGTAAATTTTCAACATAAATGTAGCTAAAATAATTCTTCAATGCTTTTTAATGGATCAGCAAATCATAAAATGCTTGAGAAACATACTCATATTTTCTTCCCAAGATTTGAGCCATATAAATCGTTTCTTTCCTTATTCTAATTTATCAGAAGATCTAAATATGTTAGAGTTCACAAATGAGCTTACTGCATCTTAAGCTCAGTTTGTTTGCGACTTAGTGGGCGTGTGACATTTGTCATACTCAGTTTTTTAATGAGAATGTATATTTATTGTTCGCTTTTGGCAGATGATTATATTTGTTTGTTCTCCATGCAGTCACATTTTTACCTTATAAATCTTTAAACAGGCGATTAAATTGGACCGAAAATTAATTTGTTTTCAGGTTTTTTGGGAACTTTTCGTTTCGTAGCACAGAAATACTTTCAGTAAACAACTTCACAAACACACTAGCTGAAGCGAGGCTAAAGCATTATCCCGCCAGTCGGTTGGGGTTATCCTTTAGGCAATCGATACCGGCTGCGGAACGGAAAAGCAAGACAAACTGAACCGTTCGAGACGCGAACTTGAACTGAACTCGAACTTCCAAAGGTAATCGAAATATTTTGGGCAAAAAGAGTTCGGCCAGCAGCAGCAGCATCCAAAATCAGCAGCGGCAACCAGACATTCAGACCCCGAAATATGCGTCAAAGAAGAAGATACAAGCCCGACCAAAAACAAAAACAGCAACAAAAGCCGAATCGATTGCGTATGATCACGGTGACGACGATGATGATGATGATGATGATGATGATTACAACGATGTTGCCGCTGGAAAACCGGTGACAACCTGCTGCTGCCGAAGATACATAACAGTAACAGTTGGAGTCCAAAAAAATAAAAAGTCACAAAAGAAAGGGGCCAGCAAAATGCTGTCAACTATCTTCCTTAAGGGCGTGTTTGCATGGGAAATTAAACAACAGTGGGGTCTCCATATTAAGTAAAATAATATTCTATTTTTAAGTTAAGGTTCAAAAAGTAAGTTTTTATTGTATTAAAATAAATACCTTCATATATCAAAAAGAAAAACTTGGAGTTAGGAAAAGTGTTGGACTTGCTTGCTAGGTCAATACCATAAAATATTATTACTTAAACTCGACTATCCTTGAAAATGAACTTGTAAAACGTATAAAATCAAATTTATTAGGAACTCTGTTAATTAATGATATATACTAACCTAAAACAACATATTTTTACGTTGCCCCACTTCTTGATTGATTTTTTTATTAAAACAAATTTTAAAGTAAACAAAAAATGAAATAACAAAAAAGATTTTCTTCCATGAAATTGATTTGCTTATTTTAATGCTTTAATTGTATGGAGCTAGTATATATCTTTAATAAATTGATATAATCTTCCCCAAAGGTTCTTCTTCATTGCTTTCACTGTGTTCACCCAAAAACGCTTTCGTTTTCATTTAGTTTCGGTTTTCACACGGCCTGAAAAATGCGGCAAATCGGGTTATAGCCAGATTCCTTCCATGTGCCGCATAATTTATCGAATAAGTTGATGTATGTACATACCGGCTGAGGTTAATAGATATATAGGGGGTACGTTGAGAAGGAAGAGGTGTTCGGCCGAGGGGCCTGACTTCCGCATATGAACCTTAGACCGCGTTTGAGTATCGTGTGACCCAAATCTAAAATTTTAATTTAACAAAAGCTCGATCAATTAACATTAAGCGCTGCTAAACAGCTGCACTTGAGGCGCGTTTTTGGCTCGCTGGCTCTTTTGGCCAAATGATTGATGGATGGCAGCGGCGTTGGCGGTGTCATGTGAGCGTGGATCCGAATCCGAAGATCCACAGATCCACGCATATCAAACGCCTTGGTGCGCGTTCTACAAATTGGATTTTGAGCGCCATCCAACAAGCGGACAAGCTGAAAAATTGTTTGGCACAACAAAAATAACAATATCTGCCCCTGATCCGCTTAAATGTTTTTTCCCATGTTTTTTTTCGCCGATAAACGTGTCGAACAAGTGGCCAAATATTTGCCGTGACTGCACTCAAAAATATATTTATATAGAACCTGTTAATTATCGTAATTTGTGTGACTGTAAAATTCTTTGAATATTAATATTTATGAATATAATCTTATCCAAAATGATCTTAATTTATTCGTCATTCTATGTATCTTATATTACATTTTGTATTTTAACATTTTGTTTCATTCATTGTGTTTCTCAAAAACATAGTTTGCAATTATGGGATTCATTTTAATTTGTTTGTAAAAATCTTTAAGAATATTATCCTATAAATAATTATTTAAGGGCGGAAAACAAATATAGAAACATTTTTGTCAAGTGTACTATTATGTTTACAGGTCCGATCTGGGGCGCCTTAGCTTACAGAGCAGCAACTGTGGCAACATTGAGAAGTGGGTCAGCAACTTTCAGTGCCACATGATCATGTGCATCCCTATAAAAAGTGCACTGATGATGCAACTGCAACCGATCGTCAGTTGAACGCCAGTTGAAATGCTTTCCGCAACTGCAGTCACCATTATTTTTGCGACTCTGATCGCTGCAATAATCCTGCCACCGGGAGTTATTTCCAATCCCTTGGATGATGACTCCGTGGACCGACCAAACACCGACTATGCGGCGTTGTTTAAAGCCTTCCTGGACATGGGAAATGCCCTATTCGGAACTTGGACTCCCGCAGGAGCAATTGAGGAGTTCATCAGAATAAGGGAAACCAAAGGTGTTGGATTTTAGGAAATACCACCATCTTTCCACTTTCCACAGATGCGTTGCATAAGTTTTGCATGCATCAATAAACATTTAAACAAGTCGACAGACAGCCAGAGAAAGAGGGTTTCGGGGTGGTGGCGGGTTTAGTGAGGGGTCAGAGACAACAATTTAATTATGCACGCTTCAGTTTTGGCCGTATCACCCATCATTACCACTCTGTCTGGTCTCGTCTATTAGATATTCAGATTTTAGCTTAAGCTAATACCCTGCCAAAAGGGAACTACCTATACACGCTTTCTTTATTTGCAGCTCTTATATAAAAAATAAAACATCCTTGACAATCCAACTTGATCTGTCTTTTTTAATGCCAAAAGGGTTATATTTTTTAACTAAATCATCAGTGTTTTTAATTTGCTTATCTAAAAAAACTGTCTTATTGCTTATTTAAAAATAAATGATTTTCAACTTGGAAATACTATAACATGCTAAAACCTTTACATTGGCTTTTTATTGGCTTTGGGCAGTAAAAGCAAAGCATAATTTTAAAACTTGGAGTTACAAAATTTGCAAATATATTCCTCAAAAAAATATAGAAATATCCAAAACTGACCCAGAGTATTTCCCCACTCGGTGCTTGAACCCCTTCAAACTTCTTCAATTTTTTATATTTTCTAAGTCTTTTGACTGTGTGTTATCTCAAAACATGACACTTCGTATGTTTTCTTTCATTGGCAAATTAGTTATTTTTTGACAAATCCGCTGAAACAAAGACAAAAAGTAAATAAATAGATAAATAAAACCGAATAAAAGCAAACACGGGCTGCCTGCCATTCAGCATTGTCGGACATCGATCAATTTGACTAATCATATTTATTTATATTTCTACCGACGCACAATCCCAAGTCCGGAGTATTTATGCAAACTACCACCTACGAAAACGGCGCTCTTTATGCAATGGACCATAGAATTCAAGCACTTGGCAGTGCCAGCAATTGATTGAATCGGCTGAATGGGATGATAAACGGCCTGCCGCTTTGAATGGGTACAATCAAAATAATCACCTGGCACATTCTTTCAATTATTCATTTATTCGGCATAATAAATGAAGCCAACAATTTGTCTGCGGCAGGCTTCCAAGTGTTTCCTTTGTGCTGCTGCCAAGTGTTTTCTTTCCATAAATTAAGTAATCCGATTGTCGACCGATCGCCAGTCATTCATCGTGCTCCACTATAGCCCGTTGCTATCAAGATTCGGATATATATTTGTCTGATATTCAACCTGCGGCTCGGCACTTTTCGGCGAAGATTCAAAATCTTTACTTCCTGCACGTGTCAAACAAATTATTGAGTCTGCACATCATCATTTGGCCTGCCTTTAATTGCGGGTTATCGTGGCTGTCAAGAAAAAATTTGAGACTAAACTATTATTAAAACCGAATTTGCCAAGCCAATGGCCAAGAACACAATTTACTTCGCTGTGGCTGAGGAAACTTGGGATCAAATAGTTTAGTTTTCAATAGTTGGATCACGTGCCACACACTGAAATAAATCTCTTTTCAATGAGATATCTTCTTTTCTATCAGAAGGGAATAACCGTTTAACCTATAATTATGGTCTATCAAGCTAAAAATAATGGTTTTGTTCTATAAAAAACCACTTAAGGAATGATCGATTGTCTTTTGCTTACGTTTATTTTTTCGATTGGGATCTTTTAATGAAAATGAGTTAATGCTAACACCCAATGTATACATACAAAAAAAGTGGCAAGTAGTACATTTTTTATAATTTAATCAATTAGGAATATTTAAACTGTAGAATGTATTATACGTAGACTTTCACTGTAACTTTGCAGTCAAACTAGTTCAAGTTTGAATTTTGGGAAGGCAAGTTCGAGACATAAAAAGAACATACACAAATATAAAATAATTGTGAATAAGGTGTATTAATATTCCAAAGAAAATATGAACAACGTTATTAAAGTAGTCCTTGTTTTTATGTGCAGACATTTGGCATTTGCCAGATGAAGTTATTCTCCCATTGGACACTAATTATATGCAAATCTGAGCGCATTAAGCCCGCAGAGGAAAGCTCCAATCAAACCCAATCCATCCATTCATTCATCGAGACTTTAATTTGATTATCCGCGGGGAGGGGGGACATTCATACCCAAATTTTCGAGTCGCAATCGGCGACCACTGGGTAACTGGTGACCGGGGAGCAGTGGAACAGTGGATCGGTAATCATCATTAGTTGGCTTCAATCATTTGTTTTCCGCTCAAAACAGTGGGCTTAGCATGCAAATAAGCCGCGAGGAGGAGTCATTCCCACAGAGTCCGAAAAAAGGCGAAGACTGATGGGCGTCGCTTCTAAACGCATGTCAAACATCGCATTACTCAAAATGTTTTCAAAATTATTCGAATAAATCAAAATTAACACACGCACACTTTATAAGATAATCGAATGTGGCTGTGAACAGCCAAGTTTCACTTTCATTCGGAAGAAATTGCCGAGTTTATATGAATGCGTTTAGGGTTTAAACTTTAAAATGATGTAAGAGAATGCCTGATTGGAGGTAGGCATTTCTAAATCAAATTACTTGCATTGATTTGGTTAATTGCTCGGGCCAAATGTGTGTGTGAAGCTCCATTTCCGTAGCCGCCAGATAAATTCCAAAGTTTTGGGACCCCAAAACCCTAACCAAAATCAAAATAATCAAACGCCTATTACATCACATCTACATACTATATATGCAAATGGAGCTGAAGATGCCGGCAAACGGCGTCTGACAAACACATGTTAATTTCCACTCATCTCGGATCTCGGAGGTTCAGTTCGGTTCGGGTATCTTGTTTCTATTTCAGCGTCCCCATTTCTCTCCACCGCTCATATTATTGATTTCTTTTGGCAAGCCAAATTTCATAATCACACGCTACTACTCCGAAGCGCCGCTGCCGGATTATTATCAGCGCCATAAATTAATCAGAGGCGAGAGGGATCTTACGGGTATATGGATCCCCAAATCTCAGAGCCCCATTCCCCATCCCCCAGCCTCGGAGAAATGCATATGCAAATGGAGGCGCAGAGTGCCGGGCTCGAGATCGCTTTGATTTTGCCGGAAAGTGGAGTTTGGCGATCGCGGGGGGCAGAGAAGTCGGGGCAGGTGATGTGCAAGCGAAGCATTAATTTAATTTTATGTATTTATTATGCATTTGCCGGTCACACGTTTATTTTTGTATTTTTCTTTTTGTTTTAATCGCACGATTGCCACAAAAACTAGCCAAATGCCAGTGGAGAAAGTGGAGGAACTGCACCCGGGCCTATCCCATCGCACACTAAATATTACTGAATTTTATAGGACAGCATTCTCTTTGGTCAGTAGAATAATAGAGGGGCAACTACTATTAGGAATTTATTATTCTTTAGATAAGATTTGAGTTCATATTTCCTGTGCCTGATTTTAAAAGCACTAAGAGTTTACATGTGTGATAAATAAGTTAAGTGTCAAACGTGTTACATTTTTAAATTACTTCCGAAGGTCAGAAGAGAATCAAATCTGTAGTTATAGTTTTTCTAAGTCGAGAAAGGAGTACCAAAGGTTTTAAAGATATTTATTTTTTGGGGGATTTGAATGGAATGACCTGACCCCCCATTTCGCACAAACATTTGTCATCGATTAGTCAGCCACATCTGTCGGCACATCATAATCTGATTTGGGCATTTAAACCGTTTACAGTTTGTGACTTGGGATTGCGAAATATGTTTTTTTGTTTTTTGCCAAATTAACAATCGTTTATGTATTTATAAGTTTATGGCCGCCTCTCACCCTTTATCGCCAGCAGTTGATTGTGAATTTAGGAAATATAATTTTCCCTAATTTTTATGATATTTTATGTAACGGAGCTATTGGGGTTTTCTGGCGGTATTACATATTATACCACCTGTCACAAATATTTTCAACGTAGGGCAGGGCATGGAAGGCGGGACCATAAAATAATTTATGGTCGCATAAATCATAGTTTTTAAAGGCGATTGGTTGTCAATAAAAAAGTTTGGGTGTTGCTACTCGACTGGATATATCTGCTGCAAAGTGTAGTTTCCCAAGCCAAACAAACTCTCAGTTCCAACTTTATTTCACTGTTTATTAGTATAATTACATTTTACATAGTTTCATTGAGGGGTCTTTATGGTTTTTATGACATAACATGCTTATTTGTCACATTACAGATAGACAAAACTTAGTGAGTGTGTGGGGTAGGCTTAAGACTAATAAATGTGTTCTCTCATCTTGACTCGTATGCCTTTATTTGGTGTTAATGAACAGATCTTTACGCTTTGTTGTTACTGCGAATACATCTCACTTTAAGATTAATAATTTCAATCAATTTTGTGAAGATTTTGCAAAGCAGACACAAGTCCGGTCCACTTCAGACAATTAGTTTGATGATTACGTTTATGATTGCATACCATTTGGGTCTGCAAAATCTTCTGACAAAATGAACCATTTGTGTGGCGCAAACAATGTGCACGATATCTGTGAGTCTAGTAATTGTGGGAGCTGCTGAAAGCTGCCCTTATCTATACATTTAATACTGGGTTTGACTTCAATTTCAACGGTTACAGTTCGCTGGGGCTTAAGCTTAGGTTAGGATCGCAAATCGCGAGGCAATCATGCACATTGTGGCCGACGCGATTGCTTAGACAAAATACATTTTACATAACGCAACTTAACGCTTAATCAACTGGTGCTGTTTAAGGGCAAACGCATTTAAAACTATTGTACGCGAAATTTCGAATGGTGTGTGTAATGGGAGCGGGATAACATAACTAACATAAAACGGATTCAAAAACAATCAAGAATAATGGGGACAAAACATGACAGATTAAACAACACGATTCATTATTCATAAGGATGTTCAGCTTTTAGCTTTTACACCTGCCAAAAGCTGAACATTTACAAAAATGGCTTATTAAACATTCATAATTATAATTATAACGATTATGTAAATTGTATTTTATAGTGTATGTTTCGACGTGAACGCCTTTTGTGCCATGTCCTGTCAATCTCCAAAATCCAGCAAACTTTGCGTTCAATTTGCAAACTCTTTGCCGTTTTGTCAAATTGAAATATTTGCTGAAAGTTTGGGAAATCGACCATTCATGGGGTATACGACTTTTCGACATTCGCCGATGCTTATGCTTAACACTTATACGTATACTAGTATAATAGATTCATTATTCGACGAGTTTCATCAAGCATATGACCACAAGCGCTTAATGGTTGTCTTGCTTTGAAAAATAAATCAAAAATTTTCTCTCTTTCTTCTCTGACGGCCTGGTTTATCCGTGAATGGATATCCTTCGAATTTAGTCCTGCACCGAGGTTCTCAGAAATTTTGTATTTATTTTTGAAAGCGCTTGCCGCATGCAGCTAAGAGGTATCAATAGTCCTTTGTTCATCAATTCAATTCAAGTGATTATTGAGCTTCAACTTCAACTTTAATCTTAAGTTTAGATACTGCAAACATTTGCATCTGTTCATGATATTGTTGGGTTTCTCATTAAGTCTAGTTATTGTTCGATTCTCAATTTGGATTAACAATGTTGCGGTTCTGTTCAGTGTTCGCTTTTGTTCAATTTCGGTTACAATCAGTTCGTTTCGTTAATCAATTTTCAACAAATAAATAAAATAATAACACCAGTTTGCACAACTTGCACATAAATAAATAAATAGGTATTAACTAATAATTTGCTATTTCAAAAAGTACTGTTTCTTGCATTGCTTCTCTTACTTTTCTCTTTTTTTCTTCTTTTTTGAATTTGCACACAGCTTGGTTTTTGGATTTTGTTTAGGTTTGCTTTGTGGACGGGTATTTTAATTGTTTTTTGCTTTCATCTTGCGTATGTGCAACAACAAAAATTGCAGTTAATAGGGTTTGAAAATAAATTTCAACTGTTTAAGCTTATTTCATGGCATTGTTGAGTCCCAGTTTGCTGAGGATTTTCAATGCATTGCTTGCCGCATCGTTCTGCGACTCCTCGGAGCTCTTGCCAACGCCATGGCAGATCTGTGGTGGGTTCGTGGAGAGCGTCACAATGGTCAGGAACTCGTTGTGATTGCCCTTGGGATAGTCTGAGAAGTTGACCTGAAAAATAAATGTGTTTTTAGAATCGGCCAAATGGGGTCTTTAGCTTTATAGCCTACCTCAAAGTCCAACAGTTTACTAAGATACAGCAGCTGCTCTTTCATGTGCACTCCCACGCTTTGTGTACTGCTCGCACTTTGTGTGGTGCTGCTTTCTGCATTGTTGCTGCTGTTGCCGGTGTTGCTGCTGCCTGTGTTGCTGCTGCCTGTGTTGCTGCTGCTGTTGTCCGTGTTGCCACTATTGCAGGCACCTGCATTGCTGCTGTTGCTGCTGACACCGCTCGTATTGCTGCCGGTTGAGGTATTAAGATCATTCTCACTGGCCACCTCCGTGGCTTGTGAATCGCTGCTGCTACTGTTGCTGGTGTTGCTAGAGTTTTCATTTGTGCTGCCGCTCTCCTCAGCCGCTACCCCCACTTCCTTATTGACCTCCTCCTCTTTGGACTCCACGTTGGCTTTGACCACCACTACTGGTTCTCTCTTTTTCGCTGCTGTAATGGTTAAAATCTGTTGAAAAATATACTATGTCATGATACAAATGGGTCAAGCTCACGTTTTTTGTTCTGGCGCAGTATTAAGATCCCTGGCATGGGACCGACTGGCGTTGAAACCATGGGTACTTCACCCTCTGCAGTTGCCTCCACTGCGGGCGCCGTCACAGCGGACATCGTTGCTGAAGTGCTGCCCTCTTCCGATGACTGTGTTTCGTTGCTTGGGGTGAATTCAACAGCTTCCAGAAGTTCGAAAAGAGCTAAATAAGGCATTTAAGTAAATAGGATTGGCAGGAATTAATTAATATTAGCATACCTTGAGCTGCGTTGCGCTTAGCCAGCTTCTTGCTGTTGCCTGTTCCTCGGGCTGTGCTGCCGCTGGCGGAGACCTCCATGACGAACTCCCGCCGGCGAGCGGTTTCATTACCATTCTTGGCTATCAACTCGAAGATGGGCTCCTTCTCCTTGCGCGTCTGCTGCAATTGAATCAACTTTGTGATGGGATTATCCGCATCGTCCAGGTCTACAAGCTTGTCCTTCGGCGGATTGAGGCGCTTGCGTCTCTCCGGCTTGCCCATTTGAGTGGCACCTTCTGTGCCGGGCACTGCTGATCCCTCTCTGGTTGCTGCCCCACTCTTGCCGGGAGTCTTCACCTTAATCCTCTTCAAAGGCGTCTGTTTTGTGGGCGTTAAGGGTGGCAGCTTGTGCAACTCGGTTAGCATCTTTTCGGCAGCCCGCTTCTTTGATACCTTCTTGCCATTGCCCTCACCTTCGGTGACAATAGAACCCACGATGCAGGCCGTGATGAAGTTCTTCATGTGCGCCGGACCCTCCTCGCGTAAAACCTTGAAATGCACGGTCATGTTTCGCTTGATACCGATCTCGTGCACCTGCGAAATCGGCGACTTCTTGTCGCCCTCGTCCATCGAGTCCTCCAGAGCCTCTTCGGACGCGGAAATGGCCTGTGTCTTGAGCACCTGCAACGCCCTTGCCGCAGCATCATGCTTAGCCTGCTGCAGTGTGCGTCCGATGCCCACGAACTTCTGTTTGCCGACGAACAAGGTGATCTTGCTGGGCGGCGTCGGCACAGGGGGGAATGGACCATTGGGTCCGTGCAGCACATGGGGACCGAGGGGCGGTGGCAGTGCGAAGCGCGACGGAAACTTCGGGGGAAACGGTCGCTGACCGGGACCATGAAAGAAATGCGGATGCATCGGCGGCGACGGAATGGGCACGAATCCATTGCCAAGCCTCTGTCGCAGCGCATAGGCGGGAGGTGGAGGTTGCTGGGGCATTCCTGGTCCCGGCGCTGCTAACAAATGAGCTCCGCCAAACTCCGGCGGCACCATGGGATCCGAAGGAGGAATCTGAGTGGGATCCAGCAAGTAGAAAGTGCGCTGTCCCAATTTCATGGCCAGGGCATTCAACTCAACCGTCGGTGTGATGTGGGTGCGCATCGGACCGCCCTCTTCGCTGCGCCTGATCTTCGGCGGTGGATGCTTGTACGTGGTGTCCTCGATGGCCTTGCTGGCGGCCAAGTGCTGCGCCTTCTTGATCTTGAACCCATCCGCAGAGTACTCCTCGTCGCCCAGCATGAGTGTAACCGTAAAGGTCTTGCAGTGGGCAGGTCCTCGCTCTCCCGTCAACCGATACTGATGCGTAATCTTGTTGTACCTTGCCAGCTCGTTGACGAGGCACATCGGGGTCTTGTCCTTGCCGCCGCGCCCCGAGCTGCTCGTGTCCTCGTTGGGCAGTGTGCCCGAGGCGTCGATGTGCTCCGTGCTGCTGCAGTCGTCCACTGAAGGAGCTGGCTCCTCGATAGACTCCTGTTCCTGAACAGCTTCCTCTTGGTTAACTGGCTCACTGGCTTTGACTATATTGACTATATTGTTGCTGGCGTTATTGTTGATGGTGGCGATGGCGGGAACTGGCGTCTCTGCCACCGTGACCACTTCCTGCACCGCTGCTGGAAGCGGCACCTTCTGATTCCTATACGTATTCTGCAGAATTGCCTTTGGGGCATAGTTGTTGTTGCTGTTAAGGTTGCCGCTGTTGCTGTTGGCATTGCTGGCGTATTGGTTATACTTTGACGGCTTCGCCTGGCTCATGTAATAGTGGGGCGGTGGAGCGGCATAGCTGCCCAGATGGGCGGCCATGTGATGCGGCGGCGGCGGATGCGGGGGCAGTTGGTTGTAGGCGAGGGCAGCCGGATTGTACGCCTGCGGCGGCGGTCCAGGCGGCTGGTTGCCCAGGATACCGTTGCTGCTGCTCAAGTGCTGGTGCTGCTGGCGGATCTTCTGCATCTGGTTGCTGTTGCTGGCGAGGTTGCTGCTGTTGTTGCTGTTGATGTTGCCGTGGTGATAGGCAGCCCCAGCCGCAGCGGCGGCGGCGGCGGCTTGGTTCGACGGCGTCTGCTGCTGCTGCTGCTGAGCGTGGAGATGGTGATGATTCAGACTGCAAAACGGAGGAGAGAGCACGCAAATTGGTTAATCGATGGCCACAAGTAAAAGCTCCTGGGGCGGATGCGCTGGCTTCTGCGGTTAGATCAGCAAACAATGCACGCCAAGAGGATTATAGAGGCCATCGAGACAAAAGTGTACATCGACTGGCGCACGGGAAAAACAAAAACACCAATGAGCGAGGTCCTAAAAGCTCCTTTCCCCTCTCCATCCCACCCCATCCGCCGTGCTGTGTTGTTGTGCCTGCGGAATCGCAGACAACAGCGGCGAGGCCGAACAATGGGCGAAATCCTAACAAAGCACAAAAGCCGCATTCTCTTACGCATCGTGTCATTTTTCGCCAACTGTCAGTTTCAATTGAGACGCACCTACTGCGACACCCAGCTCCCTACCCATCTCCTCAATATCCTCGCAATCGGGGGTAGGACAACACTCAAACGCATTTACCTACAGCCTCATACATTTCACAAGACGGAGAAATATTTTCGGCAATTTATAATCGCTAAATCAGTTCGGGAACAAGCCTTCAAATTAACATTGATATGGGCAATTTGTGATTAGCATCAGTTGATATGCGAGGATATAAAAATGTTCTAGGTAATAAGGGAAAGCTAATTAATTGGATCGTGTTGGATTTAATGGGGACTTTTCTGCGGATAACATTCTTTCCAAGATTGTTACTAACAAGTATAAATATGATCAGCATGATACCATTTTAATATATTGGATATATCAAAGATTCACTTGCCACTTTTAAACGTAATCCGCAAAATAACTATAAATTTTCACCTTTCACTTGCAAATTCTATGGGTAAATAGATTTGATTCCTGATCTTACATAAATTAAGATCGCATTTTATAACTATCCAGTTTTATTGCTGGCCAATTTCAATTCTATGGCTACAGTCTTTCTGCGTATTTCACCTCTCACTTGGCACTGATGAAAGTGTTTCATGGTCGTTGGGAAATCGTACGTTAAAGTACGTTAGAATCTGGGATCGCCAGCGAACTTCAAGTTTAATATAACCGTCGGTAAATTCCGGTGCGACCCGATCCGAGCGGCAGGCAAAACGCAACTGAAGGCGGAACGGGATGAGAAGTTCACTGAGAGTTTGGCAAAACATATGATCGCAGACAAAACGAGCAGCCTGAACTCCTAGAGGCCGAGTCTAAGGATCCTCGCAAACGTCAAGGATAATTGCAGCGCAGTCGGCAGAGCAAACCCGTTATCATCATCAAGCGGAAGTCATGCTGAGCGCGAAAGAACAAAGAGCCACTGAAATTATAATTTATGAGTTGAGAAAATGGGATGATGAGTCTCACACCGATTGTCAGTGACAGGAATTAACATAATTGCCGCAACGCATAAAGCACAGACAAGCTGGCGAGCCAAGGCTTCTGAGGCTTCTCCCTGAGATCCATCAGAGACAGGGAGCTGCCTGTTCCTTTCTTGAGATCCACGGTATCCTCTTGGTGAGATCCAACCGAGCGAGGAAATTGCGACCCTTTTACAAAGAAATGGTAACTTCCTATTGAGCCATTTCCTGTGATATAAATTATCTAGGTTGTTGTACTCTCTCTTGTTTTTAAAGGTTTAGCTCAACAATTTGAATTTATTTTGTATCTTGAATTAAATTCATAAGAAGTGCGAAGTTATGAAATTATTAACTCAAGAAATCTAACTGAGCGTAGTAATTCCTTTTTACTTAGGGGATGTTTATTCTCCCTGAATTCTAACCGATTAATGGAGGCAGATCCTTAATAGATCTTCTGGTTTTTCCTAAGCTCCAACAGATCCAATTGGCTGCATTCCTTGCAACTAAGCCACGGAAACATTATGTTTGTAGAAATAATACCTGATAGTTAATTATGTTTTGAACAAACTCCATCCTCTTAAAGATGCAACTAAAGGAAACACTTATATTAATAGGACCTGATATTTCAGTGGGTGATGTAGCTCACACTTCTGATTGATCAACAAATATGCAACTGAACACCACTATTCCTTACCGTGCATGAAGATGGTCGCGATGTGGAAGCTGCTGTGGCGCCTGTTGCTGCTGCAGACTTTGGGCCAGGTGCTGCTCCATGCCCGGATGCAGTTGCATGTGGCCGTGGCTGTGACTGTGGCTGTGATGGTGGGCGGCCCGGATGTGGGGCGCTGGCCGGGCAGCATGAACGTTGTGCTGCATTTTGGAGCCGTAACCTTTGTTGCAGCTGCAAGGATAGAAGAATCATGGATGAGACATAGGTTGGCATAAGCAATGTTTTCCCTATCCGCACAAAAGGCCTGGAGGTGTCTCTTTGTGCGGCGATTGTACGCAAACAAGTTGCAACTGCAGAATGCAAATGCAAAAGGGGAATGCAACTAAAGCGACGACAACGGCCTAAATCAAATTGTGACAGGCGGCGGGCAGAAGGGTTCACTGATGTACTTGGTTCACTGCCAAGCAACCACTCCTTGTTGCACTTTTCTGGTTCTTCTTTCGCGTTGCGGGTAGTTTTATGTTTTGGTGAAATCGGATAAAATGCAGCTGCAGTGCGCAGAATTCAGGTTCCGTGCATTGCATCGCATTGCATTGCATTGCAGGGGGTTCAAGGACCCAGATCCGTGCATTCCGTAACCCCATTCCCTTCGAGAAACGAGAGTGGCATAACGATCTGCAGTCGCAACTCACCTTCTTTCGTTCCCAAAATGATTTTCTCGCTCGCAGAAGTCACGGCAAAATCACATCAACTTATTGCAAAAACTCCGATTTATCGGATATATCCATATAGGGCATATGTTGGCGGTAGGCCTCGATCGCGTGCGCAACTTAAAAACACTTTACAACTACTTTAACACTTAAATTAAATTGATAAACCTATTTTGCACTGTGGCTGCGGATGAAACTCGAAAAATAATGGCTTGTGGGCGAGCGGGAAGCGGGGAGGGTTGCGTTCGACGGTGTTGGAAAGCGCGCGCGCAGAACGGCCAGGGCTGGACCGCAAGGATTTTGGTATTTTTGTGATATCGAAAGCGATAACTTTAATGGTCACCCCAATAACACTTAAAGTATCCTTGTAACTAATTGCTATATTTTCCTGCTTAGTTTAACTAATTATATTTAACATCTGCACTAAATATAATAAATAATAAATATAACTACGGAAATATTAAATTAATCATTAGCGTAAAAAAGCTACGTTGAACGATTGCAATGCAACGACGAAAAACAGATCTTTAACGGAAATACAAACACACAAAATATTTTAAATGTATGTCGGTTGTAATAAAATACAGGGTATATTAGGCCGCGTCATACAAAATTTCCATTTTAAATCGATAACAAATCAGACAGTACATATTTTAGTATTTTATAGTTTTAAAAATGTGTTATTTTTGGGCGCCCAAGCCTGCGGTAACATTGCGGAATTACATATAAAATAAAAGCTTATTTTGTTTTACAGAATTACCGCAATAAAGCCACTCTAACTATGCTGTTATGGATATATTTAGATTGCCTGACTCCTTACATATTCCGGGAATTCCGCAGGAAACCCTCAAGATCGCGGGTGCAGGTTGATGGTGACGCCACCTCTTCTGTTCAATTGTTTTGATGATGTTTTGAAAGTGACTCATCCGCCGGCTGTTTTCACTTTTCTTGTGGCCCCGAACCGCATTTAAGGCATTCCGGTGTAGACAGCGGACCAGAAAACAAGTATACGCAATTCCGCGATTACGCAGCACACGCACACCCACAATCTCAAAATGTTCGACTTCAATTTGGAATTTGCGCGAGGAGGCGCCCGTTTCACCACGGAACTGTTCCAGCTTTTGGCGACTGGTGGGCTGAAGGACAATGTGGTCTTCTCTCCCTTCTCCATCCAATCGTGCATTGCCTTGGCCTTCGCCGGATCGCAGGGAGAAACTGCCGACGAGATCGCCAAGGCCCTGCACTTTGTGTCCAACTTCCCGCCAGAGGTGGCCCAGACTTTCCAGTTCGTCTTCGAAAAGTATCGCAACAGCAGCCTGCTCAGCGTGGCCAACAAGCTGTACGTGCAGGAGGGTAAGCAGCTGAAGCCGGACTACCAGGCGGCCATCAAGGAGCAGTACCTCTCGGAGGCGGAGTCCATCAACTTTGCCCTCAGCGATGCCGCCGCCCAGGCCATCAATGCCTGGGTGAATGCCAAGACGCAGGGCAAGATCACAGAGCTCGTCAGCGCGGACTCCTTCTCGGACAACACGCGGCTGGTCCTGCTCAATGCCCTCCACTTCAAGGGCAGCTGGGCGCACAAGTTCAGCGAGGAGCGCACCGAGGAGGATGACTTCTGGGTGGGCGAGGAGGAGCAGGTCAAGATCAACTACATGAACCAGAAGGCCAAGTTTAACTACGGTTACTTTGAGGACCTGGGCTGCACCGCCCTGGAGATGCCCTACCAGGACTCGGATTTGTCCATGTTTGTGTTGCTGCCGCAGGAGCGGACGGGCCTGTACGACCTGGCCGCTAAGCTCAAGACCGTCAATCTGGTGGATCTGGCCGACAAGATGACCGTGGAGGAGGTCCATGTCAAGTTCCCCAAGTTCAAGGTGGATTACTCCCTGGAATTGGCCGAAAAACTGAAGCAGGTAAGGCAGTTAACGATTATTGATCGGGAAACCCTGTCCCCAAATATTTGTATTATATAAACCATGAAGTACTGCCCAATTGACGCAAAGCCCGCTCTGAACTATGAAGTACAGAGAAATTTTCTGTGGCCCCTGCCATTATTTTACCAAGTTAAACCCAATTTATGGTCAACTTTCGTTTTTACATATTTGACATAGTTCCTTGACCGAGTTTTATGATAAATGGCTTCCTTATAAGTCAAGTTGCGTGTATGGGGTGAAATAATGACCTATTTTTAGCAGTAGACCACTAAATTCCTTTGCTAATCATGCTTTATAAAACTAGAAATAGTCTTTTAGACGACACGTTGCAGCACTGCAAACCGCCCCGAATATATTTATTGACTTCTTATCTTAAATATTCCCCTGATTGTGATGTATGTATTATTTTTAGTAGCTTATCGCAGCTAAGGTGACTAAGATAAGCAAAATGGGCGACCATTTTGTGGTGACATTTTCTGGTTCGTGTTAAAGATCATGTATCAGCCCATAAATTAAAGAATTTTAGTTGCAGTCGGATGTGACACACCTATGTGACACCGACCTATCTTATCAATCACAAACCCTTGAGCGGCTATGACCTCATTTTTTATTTACCCGGCACTTGTTTATTTGTACTTTCAGCTGGGCATCACGAAAATGTTCACTGATGGAGCCGAGTTCAACAATCTGTTGGAATCCCCGGAGGGCATCTTCGTGTCCAAGGTGCTGCACAAGGCCACCATCGAGGTGAACGAGGAGGGTACGGAGGCGGCGGCTGCCACTGGCATGATCATGATGACCCGCATGATGACCTTCCCCCTGCAGTTCCAGGCGGACCGGCCATTCCTCTACGTCATCTGGAACAAGAAGAACATCCTCTTCGCCGGAGCCTTCGTGAAGGCGGCTTAGAAGCTCAACTCTCACTCTCTTTTCTGTTGTTTGTATTGTTTTTATCAAAAAGTATTTTTAAATAAATAAGCGATCCATGTCAGCAATGTTTTTTTATTGGGCAGCAACAAATTTGGAATTTAATCTTTCTGAAAATCGCAAGGCCAAAAATTTAAAAGGAACACCTGTTTAAAATGTGATAAATAAACAATTAAAAATATCGATTTGCATCTTTTAAATAGCTTCTGTCATAATGTTGTCATTGAGTAATGGAATAGTTAAGAGCCAAAGATTAACTTAGATAATAACGAAATATATAAAAAATTAAATATTTCTTTGCTCATTTTGTTAAATTTGCGTAATTTGTAAGATAATAATTTTGTATAGTTTTTCCTATTGTTATTTCTGTATCCGTTATTTTTTGAATAAAAAAATAAAATCGTTCAAACCTGTTAATGTATAGAAATGAATCTTCGTAATTATGATAATTCTTAAATATATAAATTTAAAAGTACCCGCCAACTGTGCAGCGCTGCCACCTTTTTTAAGTTTTGCAATCGATGACCAATTTTCGCACTATCGATAGACAGCCGGGAAGGGCCTAAAATTGGCCAACTGCCAAGACCGCTGATTTGATTTGAGTCGGCGCAGAAGAGCGCGAAAATGAAAAACGAAGAGAACGCAGGAGAGTCGAACGGTAATTCGGTCGCAGCAAAATAAACTTTTAGAATCGCCAGCGAGAGCAGTCTTAAAAGCCTGAGAAAAACTAAAAAACAGCGGCCTTTGACCACCTGACTATCAAAACCATTTAGAGGAAAGGATAATCACAACACGATGAGCAGGAGAAGTGGAAACCAGGACGTGAAATCGGAGAAGATGCAGCGCTACTACGCGGAACGGGAGACCACAGGACCCGAGTTCGGTAAGTTTTCTTTTCCCTCGATTCGGTACACAATGGAATCAACCGGGGCTCTCGACTCGCAGAATCAACCCCCAAATCAGGATGTGTCTTCTGCGCTTAGGGGTTGCTATTCTGTTCAGCTGCGAAGAACGTAGATTTTAACGATTTTTCCCACAAATCCTTCCCAACAGACGATCGCCTGATTAAGCTGGTGCGAGCTAATCCGGCCATATACGATGTCAGTCATCCGCACTATCGCCGCAACCCAGTAAGAGTGGATATATGGGATCGTATTGCCAACGAACTGGGTGCCTCCTGTGAGTATATTTCATTATTTCCACTGCGTAGATTGCGACTTGAACTAAAACCACCCTCCTTTTCACCCCACTAACAGCTCGATTCCTACAGACCAAGTGGAAAAACATACGCTACAACTATCTGCAGGAGGTCAAGGCGATTGAGACTGGCCAGACGAACCCGAATGTGCGCAAGCGGCGCTTCACCGAGGATCTTTCCTTCCTGCAGAACACGGCCCAGACCTACAATGTGAAGAAAGCGCAAAACTTCGTGGCTCCCCAAAACGGCGGCGGCAGTGACAACGACAGCAACAGCTTCCTGTATCCCGATCCAGAGCATCTGAAGATCGACGCCTCCGAGGGCTACGACATCATCGAACTGGACAACAGCGAGGATGGCTCCAACAGCGACGACAACGAGATTGTGCCGGAGCTGCAGCTGGTCATGGAGGAGCCCAAACTGGATCATTCCCTGCAGACGACACTCAACGGCACCAGCAGCAGCAATCACAGTCACGAACATGACTCGCCGGCCTCCTCGCCCCTGCTCACGCCCATGGTGGTCATGGGCAATGGCTACGACCAGGAGGTGCATCCCAAGCCCGAGCAGAAAAACCTCAAGAACAGCTCACTGTCCAACGGAGAGGTGACCATCGAACCCATTTACAAGCCGGCGGCCACCAGGCGCACGTTACCCAGCGATTTTCTAAGCAATCCTTTCAAGCGCAAAGCCACCGAAACGCCGCTCCAGCCCCAGGTAACGCCCTACAGCGATCCCATCGAGCTGTACTGCCTCTCGCTGGTGGACACACTCCGCAGCATGCCTAGGTCAGAGCGGGAACGAGTCAAGTTCGAGTTCGCCAGCATTCTGAAGGACGCGAAGTATAAGGACGAGTCCTAAGGCGTCGCTATCCCATAAACATTACGTACAATTCTCTATTAGTCACCTTAGTCGTAAACAACGCACTTAACACTCATTTTTATACACTCCGTTTATGTATTATTAAACTTACATATTTTTTGTTCTGCGTCTTAGGCTAAGTCTAAGTTAATTTGTATTAAGATGAGGCAATATGTGTCCATATCTACTCAGTTGTATCAACAAAAATACGAAATAAATTATGCACAAAACAAGATATCAGTTTGATTCATAATTCAAAAAAGAGAAGATTTAATTTGCAGCTCAACGCAGCATTAAACAGTTTATTATCAATTAATAAAAGTAGTGTGTAAAACGTATACTCTATAGCGTGCGATCTTACATCGTCTACGATCTGAGCAGCGTCATTCCTGTCGATCGGTTAGTGCAAACTAAGAATCCTCTACCTGAGCCGAGGCCGTCAAAGTCCCCGGTTACAATACATCTAAATATTAACTGATTCTTCGAGTCTTTCTACAACAAGAACTGGTTAGTCTATATATCATATATATAGTGCATAAGGCATATACAGCATTATTAATATGATTATTAATATGATAATAATATGAATCAACTAAAAGGTTAGACAAAGTAAGTGAAGAAAACTAACATGTAAAAGATTGATTCCATTAAGCACTAAAAACAAATGGTTCGCCATAGAAGCGTCCGAGCTGCTACTACTTAATATAAGTTACAACTCGTGACGTGGCGTATTCAAAACCGAGTTCTGCGTCTGCAGCTGGCGTCGGTTGGCCTCCTGATCCTTGTTCCCATCGTTGCTGTCCAGAATGTCGGACAGATCGTACATGGGCTGATAGGAAATCAGTTCGGAGCCACTGGGAGCTGCTAAATTCAAAGAAATTAATATCGAGAGGAGGATAAAGAGCCATTATTGAACCTACCCTTCTTCTCACTGCTCATGCTGTCATTGGGAAATGAAAGCCCATAGTTGTCCAGCAGATCAGAGTCATTAAAAAGCTGTAAAGTAAAAACGAAAATATTGTTAGTTGTTTTGGGCACAACTTTTGGAAAAATTCGGCCTAGCAAGTGTGGACGCTTTGTGCTAACCTTTAGCAACAGCTCGTCCTCGGTCAACTGAAAAATGGGCGTCCTGCCAGACGCCTGATCATGAAAATAGAACGTATGTGAAATAAGCCTTGAGTCGGACAGACGGACAGCTAATCTTTAGTTGTACCACCTATGGATACTTACACCCATGAGCATGTTTTGATCAATGGCCACCCCGTCGCCACGAAGCAGATCCTTCAGTGTTTCCAGCTCATCTTGCATGTTGTCCAAGTGTCCGTGGAGATCGTCACTGCAACAGTAAGAAATAGCCTCTTGATTATGGCTGTTCTGGCTTGGAGTTGAAAGCATCTTGTCTACTAACACTGAGGGAATCCTCAGAAGTTGGCCATTGTTCGGATCTCGAGTAGGACCGTTCTCGCTGCCAGTGTACTTAGCCACAGCCATGGCCTCCTCCTCGGTAGCTTGCGCCTTGGCCGCAGCCGCTTTCGATGTCGAAGCCTGATTTGCATCCACCAGAGAGCTGTTTGTCGGCACATCGAAGTGGCTGGCAAACTTGCCACTGCTCACGGTCGATTGGCCGAATTTCTGCTGCTGATCTAGCTTGGCTGCCTCCTCAAGGCCAGCAGGGAGCAAAGAAGAGTCCTGAAATTGATTCATATTAATTAGAAATTGTCTACAGCGGGATATTAATTTACTTACTTCGAAAATATCCGTCGGCATATTTTCACTGATGAAGTTTACGTTGTACAGATCAGAGTTTGTTGGTTGCATTAGTTCCATCAAACTAGAATTGTTTTCTGGCTCCGATTTGATCATCATTGGCTGGAGCATTACATTCTCTTTCGTTTTGGGCTGTGAGCCATTGCGCTGTGCCTTGGGAGATATCATTTCCACCTCAATAATGTCGTCTGCAGGCCGACGCCGCAGCTTGTTCTGCTCCTTAAGCTGCTGACGTTTTTGCTCCTGCTCCCGCACCATGGGCGTGGTGAGCACATTCTGCTCTTCGTGGTGCGGCGGACTGTTGGGCACCTCCTGGACATGAGAATCTGGAACCTCTGTAACCGTGTAGACAACATGTTGGGCCGGCGAACGACTAACACTGGAGGCAAGTGGAGAGGCGGCTCCGCCGACCAAGAGATTACCGCCAGCAGACCCGTTGCCCTGGAGCAGCAAGTCCTCGACGCTCTGATTCGAATAGTCGACGTTGTGCGAGCTAATGCTTATATTCGAACGCGGACGCTCGACGGTCAGTGGGGAGGCGCTCTCCTGGTCGTACTGCGATGCTGCGACGTAGCCAGCCGGCGAGGGATTCATCACCTCGTCGAGCAACTCCTCGCTCAGCTCGTGGATGACCGGGCCGCCGCCGCCCTCGCTCTCCGTCTCACTGGTGCTGCGTGCGCGGTCGTTTTCCGGCGTATCGTTGATCATCAGTTGCATGTGACGCTTGACGCCTGACATGTTGCGCGACGGTTGTACGATGGAGATTAGGAACTGGATCAGTTTGTTGACTATCTGCTGCTGCTTGGCGTGCTTCTGGCGCAGGCTGGCGATCTCGCGCCACAGCACCTCGTTCTCCTGCTTCATGGCAGAGAAGCGGGAGTCCAGGTTATCCTGGCGACCGCGCATCACCTTCACATCGCTAAGGATCTTCGACACGGCCTCCTGCTTCAGCACACTCTTATCGTCTCCATTCTTGTTGTTTGATATCTTCCTTTTGATCTGGTCAAGCAGATAAGGGGAGTTGCGTTTGAAGAAGGGATGGGAGAACTCGATCTCATCACGATCGAAACGCAGTCCGCCGTTGTCAATGGAGGTGATCTTGTGGAATCCATCTGTAGATTTTACAAAAAGTCTTAACTTATGTTTCTATTATATTTTAATTAACTTTACTTACACATATTCAATTGTCTGATAAAGCTGGCCATGTTGTTGTGCTTGTAGTTCAGGGGCAGCAATTCCTTGGCAAATTGCGCCTGATTTTGTATGACAAAACTGTGGCCATCCTGAAAAAAAGTGTGAAAAAATATTAAAAACCGGAAGCGATATGAGAGTCATGCTGATATGTGGTTGCCACAAACATATTCGTGGTAGGCCGCAAACTGAAAACGATAAGCGTTTGCTTATATGTTTTTAGTAACAACTATAATTATCTAATTATAATTATATCTATTGATGAAAGCAAAAACACAGCTGTGTTCAATATATAAGTAATTTTTTTTAAAATAAATATTCTTCTAAGAATGTAAACTTGAAACTTGATATATATTTAAAACAAGTTAAGAAAATTTTAAACAAATTCTCGCAGTTTTTGTTTGCAAATACTATTTTTTTACCCACTTCTATATGTTTTTGATTGTAAAAGGTATTGGAAGGCTCGGCTTATCAGTACACTCTTCGGTAAGAGAACCAATTACTCTTATCTTAAATGGAAAACCGAATGACCAAGGGAAATTATTCAACGGACAGATGGAGATGGAAAATTTTCAAGAGTTCACGCACGTATGCATGCAAATGGAATAAGCAACAACAACACAGGGACTTGCATACGTGCGTAGCGGCACAGCAACAACAAAGCTGAGAGGAATAAGCGAGAAAGAGAGGTTGAGACACCTGCAAGCAACGTCATTGTTGCCATGCTGATTAGCGGGATAGTGGGAGGCCCTGGAAATGTAAATAAACAATATGGCTGCACAACGTTACCTTGGTCCAGCAGATCAGCCTATTGGTATCCCCGTCGTCCACCAGGCGCCAGAGTTTGGCCAAGAATGCGGGCACACCGCTGCCAATGGCACCCCCGTCCCCAAACGAGTGCATGCTCCTGGGGGGCAGCTGCTCCTCCTCGTCGTCTTCCTCCTCCTCCGATTCGTGCTTGAACTGCACGGCTTTAGCGGATGAACGCGACCTGGACATAAAGTGACCAGCAGCCTGGAAAGGAGTAGTCAATAAATTTACGCTGGAAGGGAGTAAACACACACGCTTTTATTCCAGTTCACAGTTCACTTTTCCACGCGTTTGTATGTGAGTGCGGCAACATTCGTGTTCAACGTTGTTCGTGTGAGCGTACAATATATGTACACATATGTCCAATTTTATGTGAAAGTTGCAGCTCAAATGGAATCGAATATTTTCAATTACGGCCAAATGCGTCATTCGAGCCACATACTTACACTTACCACAAATTGAGCTCTAGTTCTTTTTATCCTACTCCGCCTACCCACCTTAACAGTTTTGTAGTTCGTTCGGCTTCAACGGAGTAATACTCTCTGTTAAGACGTTTACTTTGCTTTTTGCACTTCACTTTCAATTTGTACCGTTTTATTTCGTAAAGTTCTCCTGTTTTTAATCTGTTTTTACGCGTTTTATCCACAAGTGAAAATTTGATGAAATCTCCGTAAAATTGCTTTTGTTCCCAGAGTGACCAGTTTGGAAAAAACCCACAGAACTAAAGTTCGCTGCTATTTATACCATCTTGCCCGCCTGCTCGTCTCTTCTGGTATTTTTCTAGTATTTTCTGGCGCGCAACTTAGTTATTCAAACGATGACCCCATTTCCTGAAATGATCATTAGGAATTAATTTAAAAATTAAATGGATTACTATTAACGCTAAGAATTTAATGTTGTTATTACACATGAACAACTTTGCTTATTCATTGGAGCTGGAGACAAAACTAATTGAAAGGCGAATGCTTTTTGAGATATTATTGAGATAAAATATTCTTGAGATGGTAAAACAAAAACTTATTTATGGACTCAGTACAAGCACACTTTATTTTAAAATCAATTTAAAAATAATCATTCGTAATAGCAGCCCTAAAATACATGGACTTTGAAAATTAGAAAATGGCGCAGGTATATTATTCACTTGTTTAGAGATATTTCTATCATGATTATACTACCAATTTTGTATTTTTTATCAAGTTTTATTTTTGCTGAGTCAAAATAGTTAGTCAAAATATAATAAGCAGATAATAATATTAGTGTATAAATAATTAATAAAAGAATTAAAATATTATTAATTTCAATTTTACCGTAAAATAATATTAGGTATTTGTGGTATCTTCGCTCTCTATTAGTATTTTCCAGCACTAGACCGCCGGGCGTTTGCCAACACAGTGGGCATATGTTGAAAAATGGCTGACACAAATTAATTTTCAAGTGATTTGTTTTGTGCATTTTCGCTGGTCTTAAGGATGAACTCAGCGCCAGGATACTTAAAGCAGAAAGCCGAATCTATTAGAGCATAATGCTAATTTAATGCATAGACCGAAACACACAGAAAGGTGGGTAAATCGGGCCCAAAAAGCGAGTGGAAATCGTGTGGAAAAGTACAAATGTGAAAAGACACATACAAAATACAAAAGGGCCCGCTCTCGTGTCCGTACGTGTGGCTGCGTGTGCATGTGTGTGTCGGCGGGGCAACAACAAATTCGACGAAAAAGGCGCCACATTAATGAGCTCGTGTTAATCAGACAAATCCATCGATAAACCGAATGAAACCGGAACAACCAAAAGCCGGCAAATCGAACTGAATGTCCCTTTCTTTCAGAATAGACTGCGCACAAAAAAAATCAGCCCATCGAGCACCCACCACCACATACACAGCCGCAATGATGAACAACCACTATCACTTGCAACACGATCACCCGCCGCCAAACGTGGCACATCAGTACTTGCAGCAGCAGAGTGTTGCCGGAGCAGGAGTTCCTCCCCCGGCCACCACCTATGGCTACTTGCCCCAGTCTACTGGCCAACAGCCGCAGTGGATGACCACCACGTATCAGATCCTGCCGCCCACCGGAGGTCCCGCCTCGGTGGCCAAGCGCTACTACGCCACCAGCGGAGGACCTCCGGCCACTCATCCCAGCACAATCCAGATCACCAACAGCTTCGCCCAACAGGCCACGCCAACGAAGCAACAGGCGGCAACCAGTTCCAGTCCCTTTAAAGCCAACAACATACGCATCATATCGACGGCGCCGAATGTCTACAGCCTGAACAAATCGTCGCAGGAGCCGCACTCAATCTACGCGCCCGTTCAGTCGTATTATTTGCCAAGTGGAGGAACCCCAGCGGCGGGACAACTCAACATAATGGCTGCCAGTGGAACGGCCAAGCAACTGCAACCGCCGCCGTTGGTGCCGGTGAGCAACTCTTCCTCGCCGCCATCCACTGTCTTACTAGACCGCATCAACATTTGCATCAACAACCACTACGCGGAGACACCCGCCTCCTTGAGTTCATCACTGAGCACGGCCCAGCAGCCGTCGCCCATCATACCGGCCATCCAGCACAAGGCCATCCTGCCCCTCATCGACAGCAGCACGGCCGACAGCAGCAGCTGCAGCAGCAGTTCAGTTTCCAGCAGCAGCTATGGTGGTGCCACGACCACCTCGGCGGCCTTGGTTATTGTGGATGAGCCGGATTCCACGACCACAACGCCGCAGACGCCACCAACTACGCCGGAGACGATGAGTTCGCCTGGAAAGTCCTTGCCCTCGCCTCCACTGCTGGCCACGCAATCGCTGCTCAAGGCCGTCAGCCAAATGAAGCCAAGCTTCAAGGCCGTCGATGCAGCACCGCCAACACCGCCAACTCCTCCTTCACCTCCGCCACCGCCACCAGTTGTTAATTCTCCGCCGGCAATCACGTATGCTCTGCTGGAGGACGTCTTTATCAAGTGCAACGACGGAAGGTTTTACTTGGGAACTATTATTGAGCAGTCGAGTGAGCAGTTTCTCATTCGTTTCGATGATCAGTCGAAGCAATGGTTCGAGCAGGGAAAGCTGCGCAAGCTGGGCGGAAGCAGTTCGACGAGTGGTGGCGGAGTAGGCGGTTCCAGTTCGGACACATTGAGTACCTCTACTACTGGTCCCATGTGCGTGGCCTGTAAGCGATCGGACGTCGAGGATGTGGTGGAAATCTGCGAGCGTTGCGGACGTGGCTATCATCGCGGATGTACCACCGAAATCGTTACCGGCAGCGGAATTTGGAGTTGCAAGCGATGCGCGAAGCCCATGAAAATGCAACAGCCGCTGAACCATAAGATCACAAAGCCGGTCGGAATTTGCCGCCAGTTACCTTACCATGTGAGTATGCTTGGTACCTAAGCCCGGGTATAAGGTTGCTAATCTGGTTTCTCCCGCAGGCGGATAAGCTCAGCTGGGATGAGAAGCATCGGGTCAACGAGGAGCAAATTTACTGCTATTGCGGCAAGCCGGGAAAATTCGATCACGACATGCTGCAGTGCTGCAAGTGTCGCAACTGGTTTCACACCCAATGCATGCAGAACTTTAAGAGGAAGCTGCTGCGCGGCGACACGTACGGATTGACTTGGTTTCCTGTTATATATATATATATAACCTTAAACGTACTTCCAGGTTCTTTGTGTTCTGCTGCACGGTGTGCAACAATGGCGTAGAGTTCGTCCGACGTATGCAAATCGACTGGGTGGACGTGCTCCACATTGCGCTGTACAATCTGCGCAAGCACCAACACCAGAAGTACTATCACCTGCTGAAGGACATTTGGCCCTTTATACTCGAGAAACGTAACCAACTGCCCATCTGCGAGAAGTGGCGCACCCTGACGGAAACGGCACTGATGGAGCGCATCAAGCTCACCCTGAAGGACTATTCTGAAAGATTTGTATGCGGCAAGGAGTACAAACGAGCACCGGTCTTCTATGCGCTTCGGCACAGTGGCCCGCCAATCACTCCCAAGGTGTTTTTGCAGCCCCACGAAGAGCTGTCCGATGAGCTGCTGGTTAAAAATTTCAAGCTGGTTTTGTTGCCCGTGGAGAAGAGGGAAAATGGAGAGGAATCTTTAAAAAGGGCTCCAAAAGATGTGTACGAGTTCCATACGGACGAGGATGAGCCAGTCGAGACGAGTGAAGACGAGATTTCCATTAAGCAGATCATCGAAAAGTCTAAAAAGGAGGCCGACCAGAAGGCTGATGAGCAGAATGAGCTACCACTGAAGCAGAAAAAGCCGGTATCCGTCGAGACGGACGCTCTCGACCTCGCCGACGACAATGCTAACGATGGCGATCCCGGCAAATTGCCAGCACCCATTCCACCATTGATGGACGCCAACAGTAGCCGAAAACGCAAGGCTTTCCGTTTGTCCAAGCGCTATGACAACAGCCGCAACCACTGTGATCTTTCGTCCGACGAAAACTCAAGTAGCAGTCGAGGCACCAGCTCACTGGACCTCATCATACCTCCGCCGGCAAATTTTCTGGGACGCAACAATCCCTTCCTCATGGCCACTCCCAAGAAGACGGCACAGGGAAGAAGTATCAGTGTGGGAGCTGGAGTCGGGGTGAATGGCATCATCAACAGCATTTTCAAGCTTAAGGGCAACTCCAAGGAGCAGCCGCGCATGGTGCGTGCCATTAAGCGAAGACTGAGTGCCAAAGACATAACCATAGGGCCCAATCAGGAGGTGCGCAGGCGCCGTACTCGCCGCCTGACCACGGCGATTGAGGTAGACTCCGACACTATTTTATCACAATGTTTATTACATTTTCCTTTCCACCAAACAGGTCATCAGCACCAACACGATCAATCCCATACCCAGCCACTACGTTCCTCTCTATGCCAAAGATCTGCAGCCTCCGGCGCCGCCAATGGGAAAGCCAACACACGGACGACTGTTGCGCCAGCGTCCGCAAAAACTGTCGCCCAGCCAAAGCCGCCGAAACTCCACCAGCTCGACGGCAACCACCGGCAGCAGCAACGGGATTGCAGCTCCGGGACATTCCATGCTGGATCTAAAGCAGTCGGTAAACAAGTATTTCGGCGGCGCCATGAATCGCATAGATGCCGGCGAATCATTTGCCATTCGGGCCAAGCGGCGCATTGGGAACGGACAGGTTCAATACCTTGTGGAGTGGGGAGGAGATGCTGCGATCGGATCGATGGGAAACTAGACTCTTTGGCATACCGACTCATGTTTACTTATATATTTATAATTTTTTTCATTGTCATTATCATTTTTATTTTATTTTCTTACTATCGCTGCCAACTCCGGGCCTCTTTATTTGTTAACGTTTAAAAGTTTAATACCAATCCACTGCCAAAATAGCAAAAGAATGTTCAAAATATTGGTTCAGCATTAAAGCGGTTAAATGTTAAAATGTAAAAAATTTAAATGAAAAAGCAACTGAATACAGGTTATATTTGTGCAATGGCAGTTAATTGTTGCAGCAAAATTTAAGAAAATTTCCACAAAATTGGTAAAAGTATTACAAGATTTATCTGGAACATTCGCTGCTGAATGAAAACGTATTAAATAATGTCTATTAAAGGAGAACGATTCAGTTAAGTTCAGTTACGTAATTTAGCTATATGCCCATATATATTTTTAAAAAATATATGTTGAAAGGGAAACTCTCACACAAATCATGTTATGCATACAAAAAATACTTGATATACACACAAGTTTAATGAAATTTAAAACTAGTTTAATAATATTCGCCGATAGACTAGGGAAAACTACACAATAATGAATTAAGCAAGTACATTATATGTTTAACTATTAAAAGCTACACAAAATCAAAATTGAGTTGAACGCAAACAAAATCTCAAGCTGGCGTAAATGTTTACCTAAACCAGAGCGAAATATGATATGATTTGATGAAGTATATAATGCCCAAATAAATGTTTCGAAAAGTGCAAGTTTCGGAGATTTTTGTTCGAGGAACCTAGTAGGCGGCCAAAGTGACATTTTGAAACAAAGCTTGTCAGGCCCTGACTTCTGCCTCGCCGCTTCATTAGGTACTCGAATGCCAGATAGGGCATGCCGTCCGAAACAGAAAAAAAATAAGAAAAATTGGTTTATTGCCATAAAACAAAAAAAATAGTTCCTTACACTCGGTCATCGACGGTTTTGTTTGAGTGTTGTTTATTTCGTAGAAAACCTTCAAAAGCCTTAAAAAAAAGACAATTAAGTGTTTTAAACCAATAAAAGGGAAACATCATATTCTCGGAGTGTCGAATTTCAAAAAGACTTATTTGCTGATAGGTAAGTTCAATAAAGGGGAATCCCTAGTATCCCGGTATACAGCTGCTAAAGAATTTATGGATTTGCAAATTATGCATTTTTTATTAGAGAAAAATTTAACATTTTTAAAGTCAGGGTTACCAACATATTAAGTGAAAGGAAATTCTTATATTTAGATATGATTATCGGGTTTTTCTTTTAATTACATAAAATAAAACTAATATTTTTTGTAATAAGTTATTTTAAAATTGCAACTGTTATAAAAAATTATAAGTTTTGAGCAGGATACTAACAACATACTTACTTAATACAAAAGTTCAATTTGTATTATATAGGTTTTTACACTAAGGTGCTAAACCATCTTTGAAGGATAACAATTTTATTTTCGCAAAAAAGGGGGGTAAGATTAAATTTTTAAACTTTGCGCTATTTGATTTTTTAGTAGATTAGTAGAGTTTTATCCGATTAAGTTTTGATAATTTTTCAGCAAGCCTAGATGGCAACACTGAACAATGTGATTTCGGCGATATTTTAAGGCTATCGCCAACGCCTCTCCTCTCTATGAGTCGTGTAGAGTCCGTTTACGTGAGCGGTCGTGGATTCGCTTTCAGCACACGGCTTATCACATATTTTTTGTGAAGAAAAAATATATAAAAAATAAAAAAAAATATTAAAAACACAAAAACGTAACAAAAAAAATTGTAAAAAGTAGCAAAAAATCGAGCAAGTGTTTGAAAAGTAAGTAGAGTGCAGGGGACTGGAATTTGCGGAGGAGAGAGCGAGAGGGCGCGACGCGAGACAAAGCGAATGTAAAAATTTTTTAGTTCAATTCGTAGCGCTTGCAGACGCCCTTTTGGCCAAAATGGCGACTGGAAACGTGAACTTTTTTGTAGAATCTGCATATTTTCGCGAAAGTTTAAGAAATCGCATAATTTTAAGGAGGCAGAAAGCGTGTCTATCTCTGGTCTGTGTGTATGTGTGGAAATTTTCCAACACGAGCGTATAGGTGAGAAGGAAAAAGAGAGGAGCAGCAACAACAAAGCATAACCAACGTTGCCATGTCGACCGACTGTCACATGCGCCAGTGTTGCCACCCAGACACACAGACAGAGAGACGAATAGAAGAGCAAAAGCCACGCCGCTTTTTTTTCTTTCTATTTCACCGCCTGCCTGGCCGAATCCATCCGGTCCGTAAAGATGAAGAAAAACCGAACTTTTTCCGTGAAAAAACAGAAATTAATTATTAAAAATTATAGGTAGACCTGATCACCAAATATGGCTTCTCTATACGTCGGTGATCTCCAACATGATGTCACCGAAGCGGGACTTTTTGAGAAGTTCTCGAGTGCTGGTCCAGTGCTGTCCATTCGTGTCTGCCGCGATGTGATGACCCGTCGCTCGTTGGGCTATGCCTACGTCAACTTCCAGCAGCCAGCCGATGGTGAGTAATCCTCAAAAATATAGTGTAATATAATAGTCGTACTGCCTGGAAAAGTTAGCCCCTCCCGCCCGAAACAAAGAAAACACGTGTGCAGTTTTTGCACTAACACAGGCACACAAACACAACCACATGCCGATGTACAGTGGCTAAAATCGCCATCAAAACTGGCCTCGCTGAAAAGATGACTCTTATAAGTGGACCAGATAAACGGCTTCCAAGTATTTCATAACTCGCTCCACCGTGCTCTGCTTACGTTAATCTCCCCATACGAACACACACCCGTACACCCCCTCGCGTGTGTATACTTATATCAATTCCAGTTCTGCTGTCGGGAAACGGGAAGTGCGGGGGATAGAGGGCAAAACAGCTGGCTTGTGCCACTCAACCGTTCGCCTAGAAATTTCCGCCTCGATTTTGCACAAAATTGCAATTATGATGGAATAAAATGGTTCCATACTGCCCAGACAGCTTATCGCAGCCCCGCCCATTAGTTGCTGCGTCTTCATTGTTTTATTTGTGTGTTTTTTATGTTGTTTCTAAGCGGCGAACTTGCGCACACTCACACTCGCATGCCTACTTACGCATTTGTGTGCGTCCCTTCCATAAACATGTGTTCATTGTTGTTTTGGCCATTTCTTTTTTGGCCTTCATCTATTTTAGGTTAGATTCCAATAACTAAATTTCCTACCTTTGTTTTGCTTTCACTTTCACAAGTCCCTGCTCTCCATTCCATTCATTAACACTTCCAAATTCTTGACATGTCAGTGAACCGCTCATCGGCCTCTCTTTTTTTCGCCCATTAAAGTCTTGTTTTTACAAAAAACGAAAACAAACTTTCACTGCGCATAGTTGCTGCTGCTTCTTCGTTTCCCGTTGTTCGCTTACATTTGTTTATTGAATTAAGCGTACAATGACATAAAAACTGGTGACTGATGATTACGCTGCGTGTGAAAGCCCATCGCATTCCAGCATTCCGCCAAGTTTACTGAACTTTAGCTTTTGAGGTTAGGCTACCAGCTTTATAAACACTGCTTTTTAAGTTGTATTTATGTTTAACATCATACCTTTCTCGCAGCTCCTAACCATTGGTTGCACAAATTTAACCCTTTTGACACGACTAAAATTTAATGCTGCGAAAATAAGCTAAGCAACTTACCATGCTAATGGACTTCACATACCATCCGCAGAAGTAGATGCATTACAGAATATGATTTGATTCTTTAAGTGCTGAATTACTAAATATCACATATAGCTTAAACAAATGTTTAGCAACTTCTACCCATTGGTTGGTCGGAAATTCCATTTTTGACACGATTAAGATTCATAGTTGCAACAAAAACCTTTGCAACTTACCATGTTGATGAGTAACGTATACCATCTGCAGAATTAGAAGCAAGACAATCACAAAATTTTTAATCTAATTAGAAGCAGTAGTATCTTTATATAATTCTTAAGAACAAAATATTTTTTATCTAGGCTCTAAAAGCAACTTCTACCCATTGGTTGTTCAATTACATCCTTTTTGACACGACTAAGATTCACAGTTGCTATAAAAACCTATGCAACTTACCATGCTGATGAGTAACGCATACCATCTGCAGAAGTAGAAGCATAACAATCAATAATTCTATGATATAGCAGTAACTGGTACTGATTGATATAAATTAAAAAACACTTTCAGTGTATCCACAAAACCATAACCTTATTGTGCATTAATTCTCAGATCCATACGCTACTTGCAACTACTACCCATTGGTTGGTCAAAAAACCCTTTTTTGACACGACTAAGATTCATAGTTGCTATAAAAACCTGTGCAACTTACCATGCTGATGGGTAACGCATACCATCTGCAGAAGTAGAAGCATGACAATAACTAATTTTGTAAACTATATTATTATTGAAATTTAAAGTTCTCAAAGAATACACCATCCGCAGAAGTAGTAGCTCAACAGTCAAAAATACCGTCGGTTACCAATAATTTAGCAACTTCTACCCATTGGTTGGTCAAATTTACCCATTTTTGACACGACTAAGATTCATAGTTGCCAAATAAAAGTCCAGACTTGACTTACCATGCACTAGGCTGCTTTCAGCTCATGGCCAGTGCAGAAGTTGAAGAGTCACAATGCCAGCTAAGACCCTTTTGATATAATTAAATATCACTTCCTCTGTGAACCCACAAAGCTATAAGGTATTTGCAACTCCTACCCATTGGTTGGTCAAAAAACCCTTTTTTGACACGACTAAGATTCATAGTTGCTATAAAAACCTGTGCAACTTACCATGCTGATGGGTAACGCATACCATCTGCAGAAGTAGAAGCATGACAATCATTAATTATTGAAATTGTTGATATGATTTAAATTCAACTACCTCAAAACTTTAAACATATTAGGCATTTAATTCTAAGATATAAACGTTACTAGCACCTCCTACTCATCGGTTGGTCAAATACACCCCTTGTATTTGTGGAGAAACCAATTTTCCATAAGTTTTGTATACCATCTGCAGAAGTAGAAGCTCGCTCGACAGCCACAATTACCGTCAGTTACCAATCATTTAGCAACTTCTACCCATTGGTTGGTCAAATTTACCCATTTTTGACACGACTAAGATTCATAGTTGCCAAATAAAAGTCCAGACTTGACTTACCATGCACTAGGCTGCTTTCAGCTCATGGCCAGTGCAGAAGTTGAAGAGTCACAATGCAATCTAAGTCCCTTTTATGATAAGCTTTTAAACCGAAAGCGAACCAATAGTAAGGCTCTACTCTTCTTTCATCCGCAGCTGAGCGTGCTCTGGACACCATGAACTTCGACCTGGTCCGCAACAAGCCCATTCGCATTATGTGGTCCCAGCGCGATCCCTCATTGCGCCGCTCTGGCGTTGGCAACGTGTTCATCAAGAACCTGGACAAGGCCATCGACAACAAGGCTATCTACGACACTTTCTCTGCCTTCGGCAACATCCTGAGCTGCAAGGTTGCCACTGATGAGAAGGGCAACTCCAAGGGCTATGGTTTCGTACACTTCGAAACTGAGGAGGCGGCCAATACGTCCATCGAAAAGGTCAATGGCATGTTGCTCAACGGCAAGAAAGTCTACGTAGGCAAGTTCATTCCGCGCAAGGAGCGCGAGAAGGAGCTGGGCGAGAAGGCCAAGCTGTTCACAAATGTGTACGTGAAGAACTTCACCGAGGAGTTCGACGACGAAAAGCTGAAGGAGTTCTTCGAGCCCTACGGCAAGATCACCAGCTACAAGGTAAAATATTAAAATTTTTGATATCTTGTGGGCACTGTTAACTTACTCTTCTATTTCAGGTCATGTCCAAGGAGGATGGCAAGAGCAAGGGTTTCGGATTCGTTGCCTTTGAGACCACAGAAGCTGCCGAGGCGGCCGTCCAGGCCCTAAATGGTAAGGACATGGGCGAGGGCAAGTCCCTGTACGTGGCCCGTGCCCAGAAGAAGGCTGAGCGCCAGCAGGAGCTGAAACGCAAGTTTGAGGAGCTCAAGAAGAAGCGTCACGAGTCTGTCTTCGGCGTCAATCTGTACGTCAAGAATCTGGACGACACGATCGATGATGACCGCCTGCGCGAGGCATTCTCTCTGTACGGCACCATCACATCGGCCAAGGTAATGACCGATGAAGAGGGTCGGTCCAAGGGCTTCGGTTTTGTGTGTTTCATTTCGCCCAACGAGGCCACCTGCGCCGTGACCGAACTGAACGGCCGCGTCATCGGCAGCAAGCCCTTGTACGTGGCTTTGGCCCAAAGGAAGGAGGAGCGCAAGGCTCACCTCGCCTCCCAGTACATGCGTCACATGACCGGCATGCGCATGCAGCAGCTGGGACAGATCTTCCAGCCCAACATGGGAGGCGGCTTCATTGTGCCGACCTTACCGCCAAATCAGCGGTTCTTGGGTCCCCAGTTCACACCCCAGATGAGAAACACACCACGATGGGCACCACAAGTGCGTCCCGCCGCCACGGTGCAGAGCGTGCAGGCGGGCGCTGCCGCCGCCGCTGCTGGTGGCTTCCAGGGCACAGCCGGAGCGGTGCCAACCCAGTTCCGCTCGGCTGCTGCCGGAGCACGCGGTGCCCAGACCCAGCAGGTGCAGGGCACGCACGCCGCCGCTGCTGCCGCGGCTAACAACATGCGCAACACCGGAGCGCGCGCGATCACCGGCCAGCAGACAGCTGCGCCCATGCAGATTGCCGGAGCACAGATCCCCGGCGGAGCCCAGCAGCGTGCTTCCAACTACAAATACACATCCAACATGCGCAATCCCCCAGTGCAGCAGCAACTGCAGACTCAGCCCATGCCACAGCAGTTGCAAGGAAAGAGTAAGTGTTGAGTTCACGAGCTGTAAGGAGCTGTATCTTTACCATCCGATTCCATTGCAGATTCTGAGAAGCTCATTGCCTCGTTGCTGGCCAACGCCAAGCCGCAGGAGCAGAAACAGATCCTCGGCGAGCGTCTGTATCCGATGATTGAGCGCATGCACCAGGCTCTGGCTGGCAAGATCACCGGCATGTTGCTGGAGATTGAGAACTCGGAGCTGTTGCACATGCTCGAAGATCAGGAGGCCCTTAAGGCCAAGGTTGAGGAGGCTGTGGCCGTGCTTCAGGTGCACCGCGTCTCTGAGCCCGCTAACTAAGCTCGAACAGCTCAAGCGGATGAAAATTTTATAAGAACACTCGACACCCAAAAAGTAGGTCTTACATGGAGATCTAAAAAGATACAACTTAATCTAATCCCCAATTTTTTTTCACTTTCGCAGTTTTCCTCTTAACTTTCAATTCATTAACAACAATTCGCATTCACTGATGCTAGTGCATAGAAAGAACGCCAAGAAGGACACACATTCAACACAGAAGAACGAACCACAAAGGTGGAGCGCAAAAGCTCCGGCTTTTTTTCTTTTCTAATACAAGAAACACCAGCAAAAACAATTTCAATCATTTAATTTCGAACGCATTTACGCAAGTACACGAAGCAAAAAGAAGAAAGTCACGAAAAAGCAATTCTGCAGATCGATTCAAGAATTCTTTTTATACATAAACAAGTTAATTGAAAAAAAAATGGAAAAATGTGAATTGAAAAATATTTTTTTTTTGTCATTGCTTGAACTAAATCAATATTATTTTGTATGCGTATGAAGAAAAAATTAAAAACCATCGCAAAATAAACAGATTAAAGCATAAATGTAGAAAGCTTCTTGCAATAATTGAAATTGTGTTTTAAAGAACGTCGACAAGTTTCTAGACTTACAGATTGAGTTTTTCGTACACTTTTTCCTCCCCACACTTTCAAACAACACCACTCGAAAGCGATATGTAATTTTTTTCAATTCTTTTTTTCTCAAATAAAAACTTTAAGAAAACTTTGTTTAGAAAAAGAAACGCGACAACCATACACTTTTAAAAAAGCAAAGAAAACAAAACAAAAAAATTGCAAAAAAGTTAAAATAAAAACGAAAAAATGTAATGCAAACTGTGCAGAACAGAAGAGAAAGGAAAAAGAAAACCGCAAGAATATGAGAGTCAAGTTTTTGCTACTTTGAAAAAAGAAAGAAAATACAAAAAACCAACAGCAGAGAAAATATGTTGAAAAATGAAAACAAAAATTAAAAAACTAAAAAAAAATCGCAAAACCTATGTAAAAACAGCAAAAAAAAAGAAAATATATATAAACACACACCCACACACACATATTAAACAACAACATTTATGAGAAATACAAAACAAATACAAGAAAAACATGAAGAGCGCTAAAGCGCGAAAAACTTATGAAGCATATTGATGAAAAAGGGCGACGAAACCCCAGGGCAAATAAAAGCTAGCAGGATTTTTATGATCACTATTATCTAAAAGAATGGATGCGAAAAGAAACATACATAAATTTATTACAATCTGCAAATATATATATATTTAATGAGAACTCGTGAAGCGAACGCCGCCGCGATTTTATTTGCGTTCTGACTTTGTTACAAAGAGAATCAAGAATATTACCAGTAAATAATGTTTTTACACCATGCATAATACGATATATTAAAGCAAGCAAAAGTAAAAATCGCCGCGCGGGGCAGTGAAATTCATATTTTTTTATTAAACAAAATAAAAAACCAATCGAAAATCTTTGAAAAAATTGTAAAACACAAAACCATTTATATGCATAAAAAAGCAAAAATATTTAAAAAACGCAAAACAAAGAGAGAAAAACAGAAAAAATAACCAAAACCCGAATTGGAACATTCAAGGGATATTGCGCGAGATTTACTGAAAATTAGAAGCGAACCAAATGGAGCGAAGAAACCTTTTACTTTTCACGAAATATACGCAAGTCAACACACTTCTATATATAGCAGATATATATGTATACTTATATATTCAAGCGATATAAAACATAATTTGTATGATTAACGAAAATAGGATTGTTAAAATTTGATTGCGCATCTTTGAAACAAAACCCAGCAATTAAAACCATTTGAATAAATTGTAATGAACGCTGAGAGAAAGTCCGTAAAACATACCTTTGTACACCCAACAAATTTAATTACAATAAAATTCCACTTCGGCAAAAAAAAGGTTGTTTCATTTTTTGGGGGGTGCATGGGTGATTGATCAATTTTATTTAAAGTGATCAAAAATCAAGGAAAATATTTTCCATATTATTAATATTAAAAAAGTGTTGGTGTCTAAGTAAATCAGGTATTTTCTTAAATAAAAATACAATTTGCATTCAAATTTCAAAACTTTTTCTGTGTTCTCAAAAAGAAAAACAAGAATTCTTGATTATTTTGAGCACAGCTATATGATAGTGTATGTTCCAGCAGATGACCCTTATATAATAATAAAGGCAAGTATTAAGCATAATCGAATAAACTTTATTTAAGTTTAGTAACATTTGTGAATCTATCGAGCATTAACATTATATTGACAAATTACTAAGTCGGAAATTCCAAAGCAGGACTTGCAAGTATACATAAAACACATAAAAATGGCAAATCTTTGATATCTTAAAGTAGAGATTTAAATAGCAAAGGGGGGCTGATAGATGAATAGACTTTTGGCCGAGTGTTGTGTTCCTTTGCGTGGGATAACGACTCCAAGCTAACATATTCATCCCGACTAGGATGTACTCCCACGTAGAGATTGTCCAGGCTTAATCCTCATCGTCGTCATCATCGGCGGGCACGAAGAGATCATTCTCCTCCAGGAAGTTTGCCACATTCTTGCTGATAGTGGCGCCCACGAAGAGACCCGGGATGACGGCACAGAAAATGGCCAGGAGGCCAAATGGCATCTCCTCGGGCTTCGGTTTAATGGCGCCGCTGCGGAAGTACACGCTGGACATGTGGCGCTGCAGGATTCTCAGGTTTCCGGGATTTTCCGTCACCCTGCGTTGCAACTGCTGCAGGGCCAGGTTAATGGGAAATGCCAGACGTGCGACAACCATGGTTACAAGTTTTAAATAAATCTATATTTGATTTTAAACCGAAATTTGTCTTAATTTGTGCGTCGATTTTCAAGATTGTGAGTCAACAGCTGATTCAGCCAGGACCAGTGTTGTTAAACACGCAAGGCGAGAATACACCCACGCGCAGCATTGTTTAAAAACGCAAACATGGCGCCTCTTTTTAAATTTTTACCCCCACAATTTATGTACAAATAAAACAAATTTCACTTGGGTTGCACATTTTACAGCTTGCGGATGTGTGTATATATTTATTTTTTAGAGCGTATACAAATGCTCGGTTCAATTAGAATTAGGGTGGCCACGTATAAATATATATATCAATCAATTGCCCTTAACTAGTAAAATATACCGATGTTGATATTAGATTTTTTGTGTGGGTGTGTTTGGATTTAAGATTGCTGTTTATTAAATGTTTAAAAATTTCCTTTGATTATCGCATTGATTTTACATATGTGGTGGTGGAAATCTATATAAAAAAAAAAAAACAAGAGTTGTGCCCGAAAAAAAACAAACAATGGCAGTTTTACATAAATACGTAGCGCTAGTCATACTCTGCAGTAGGCAAACAATTGTGGATATAAGGGCATAATCACAGCAAAGCAATGCGAACCGAAACTACATATATCGGTGCTAGCCGCTTTTGTTGATTAACAAATACAATACAAGTACAGACGCTTTTTTACAGTTTAAATAATTGGCTAAAATGGAACTACACAAATACCTTGGTACATATGTATAAATATTTATTTTTAATTGATTTGTGAAGCTGTTTTTAGTTTTGCGCACTTCAAAATACTTGAGACTTTTATGAGAAAGGCATAGGAAATTGTTCTGCGGACGATTTATTCTAGTACACGTAGCCTAAGTATAAAAAGAACGCAATTGTTGGATGTACGCTCCTCAAGCGGGGTATGCAGACTCTTTTGGAAAGGGCCGAAAACAAACTTCCGCCTTCCTTAGTTTACCTTAATTCTACGTATGAAATTGCACTAAACACGGAGAGGGATGTGGACATAAATAAAATGATAAGTGGCGTGTGGGCAACACCTGATCATCACTCACTAACTACTTTTTGATTATGTAGGATGGATCGCAGCTATCAGCCATTTATTTTTACCTTTTTACCACCGCAATTGGCTGAAGATAGGGAAAGGCGATTTCGGGAATATGACTTTCTGGTTTCCTCGCCGATAGAGCAGCTGTTTTAAGACCCCACCCCATGGGGTGACAATCTCGAAACACCATTTACTCCGAAGTGATTCACGCTCGGGTTATGAAAAAGTTGCGAGCCTGGGCAGAATGTTGTTGCATCTAACAATAAATACTACAAAATAATACCCCTTTGGGAAGGGGGCTAAATACAAACAAATACAGTACATAACAAAACGTAAATGTAAAATTGCAATTTTCAGAGCGTCACATTTTAATTTTAACAACTGTACCAAAACGCAAAATATTAGCTCAATAATTTTGGTTGCTGATAAATAGATTCCTCTAAAAGGTGAAAATTGCAATTTTATGTGTGGGTGGTTTCCTCTTAAGCATACATACATAAACACGCCGCCCGTTCGAGCGGTATCCTCCGGCTTTTGCTGGAAGGTCCACAAAACAAGAGACGAAATCTGGGCAGGATGGGGGGCTGGTGCCGCCGTGCATGCCTCCTCAATCGAACTCCGCAATCGAGGGAGGCGGCGCATTGCGATTTAAATCGACCCGGACGCCAGGCGCAGCTCCGGTCGATCCGGAAGCTGGGGCTTTGGTCTTTGGCGCGGCTTCCCCATCGCCTGGTCATAAGTCCTGGAAGCGACGCACGTCCTCCCAGTAGTGCGACGGCACTTCGAACATCTTGGCGGGGATGTTGTCGCGGAACTCGAACTTCTGGAAAGTCACCTTGGCGGTGACCGTGTGCAACACAGGTATCTCGATCTTCACCGGAAAGCCCGTCGGCAACTTGAGCGTGACGAACTCGCGCAGCTTGTTGATGTGTTTGAGGGGTGCCACCACCTCCAGAACGTCCAGCAGCATGTCCACGCTGAGGGGAAAGTCCTTGCTCATGGCCACTGTGGCGCGCAGGGTCTTGTTCGACTGTTTGTGGACGGGCGGTCGGCCCAGTTGCGGGCACTTGCCAACCTCGGCTTCGAGGTACTGGCGCCAGGTTACCGTGGTGGCCGGAGGAGCCTGCAGCGAACTGCGACGCGGCAGGTCCGGCAGTGTGATTCCATTCGGCGCTGTCGGTGTGTTGCTCTCGGGCGGAGTGGCCGTGTGCTGGCTGCCGAGACTAGACCGCCGGGTATCCGGCTGCTGATTGCCACCCTTTGTGATTGTCTCGACAATGGCCCTGTTCTTTTGCAGATCCTCGTGCGACAGGTGTTCTCGCCGCTTACGCTGCTTCAGGATCAGGCCCTGGATGGTGTAGATCTCGCACTGATACTGCCCGCCAATCACCTCCTTGCGATTGGCTCGGAATATCCAGCCGCGTTGCGCCCGGGCGAACTGTATCGTCTTGGTTGACATCTGGGTGGCCAGGATATCGGTGGACATAAGCACGTCCACCTCGTCCTCCATGTCGGACTCCTCGTAGCGCAGTCGCTGGAAGCACTCCTGCTCATTGTCCAGCAAGACCAGTGATTCCCTGGGCGGCGCCTCTCCGCGAAACAAGAAGGATATGTCCCCTCGCTCCCATCGCATATCGTTGAAGTCCACAAGCGTGGTGTCCAGCCGGATGGAGGCGCCCGATTTGTACAACCGGCAGATGTCCGAGGGCAGGATGCGGGAGACAAGCGGCAGCCAGGACTGAAAGTCCCATTTGAACTCCATGTAGAAATCCTGCATCTGGCGCAGCGCATTCACTAGCTTTTCGCGGCGACTCTCCATGTGTTCGCGCGACTGCAGCTTGAGCATGCGCAGCACCTGCGTGATTGTCTGACGGTCGCCGTAGCTGATGGCCTCGGACAGCGGGGACCAGCCCTCGTTGTTCTTGATCTTCACAGGGGCGTTTTGGGCGAGTAGCAGGCGCACAGCGTGCTTTCTGCCCAGCATTACGGCCAGGTGAAGTGGCGTGTTTCCGTGCTTGTCCTTGCGGCCCACTTCGTCCTGCGCTGTGCTCAAAAGAAGGCGGCGCTGCAGCGACTTTATGTCGTCCTCGAAAACGCTTTGGTGCATTGGAAAGTCGAGGGACTCAAGCGCGGGATTCACTGTGGGATGTGGCACTGCTGCCTTGGCTGTGGGCGTGGCGGTGGTGGCTGGCGTGGGCGTGGTTGCTTTCGGCAGTGGGTGCTCCGCTGGGGAATCACCGTCACCTTCGCCATCCTCGCCCTCACCGGCCGACTGATACTCGTCCGAATCCTCGCTAGACGTCGACTTGGCATCCGCCTGCGCCTGCTGCTTATGCTTGCCGCACTCGTCCTCTTTTTCGTTGGACATGTCTCGATTTTTCTGCCCCCGTCGCGTCTTCTTTGGAATTAATCAATCTTTTTTTTAGTTTATCTGGGGATGTGTACAAATTACACTCTATTGATTTGGCAAGCTATCGATCCATCGATAGGTCTCAGGTAAGAAAAGGGGTCCATTCCGCATCGAGCAGCCCTGGTTTGGCAGACTTTGAAAGAGGTGGCAGCACTGGTGTTAAATAATTACTTTTATCAGCCTGGGGTGACCTGAATCTCTCTTAAAAACATTAAATGACAATATTTAACGGTTTATAGGTTGTATTTATTTATTTTTAAAGACAAGCTTTTTTGGTTGCCTTTTTGTCCCGTTCAAAAGACTTTGTATTTAATTGGAGGAAGAATTTAAAGGGTTTTTCCGTACAAGGGGAGCACTTGCACGGACGTTCTCTTGTGTGAATTTGCAAGTGTCCCCTAAGATTGGATCTCTGCCTCTCAAAAGTTGTATTTAAGTTTAGATTTAATTGAAAAACGTTTCGAAGAATGAGACCATTTACGCGAGAATTAATCTTTGCTATAATCGTCTTCATTTTTAATTCTTATCTAAGTCTTCGTTAAAGTTATCATCTTCTGAGTGCGTTTGCAAGTGATTTTCCAAATCTGCATCATCATTAAAAGAGTCAGGAGTTCTCAGGAGTTCTCCAGAGTCAGTCCGCAAGTGTTTTTTAGGATTTTAATTTAAGGTATAGGTGTTTTTTCAACGGAAACCTATAAACGATTTTTCTTCTGTCTGCATTTGCAAGTGTTTCTTAAGATTTGAATTTGAGATACAGGTCCAAATAACAATGGAAACATTTTAGTGGTCCTAAGTGCGTTCGCAAATGTTGCTTATGTTTTGAATTTGTTGAAAAAGTCTCTGAGAAGATTGGAAGTTAAGGTACATTTCTTCGGACGATGGGAACACTTCCAATTTATCTCAAATTTATTTAAGAAGGATATGTTATATAATGGATAAAAGTATTTGCTGATCAGTTGTCTAAATGATATCAAATTTCATTACAGATGTGAAAAATCTGTAGCTGTAGGAATTTTGGGGGAATCTAGAAGCAGTTAAGCAGTAGGCTAAGCTTAATCCTTCGAATTTCTGGAACTTGATTTAACTTCGAAAAATATACTTTTTCTCAGATTCGCTATAGGCCTGCAAAGTCAAATCAACCGTTAGTCGAACCGCGCAAATCTGGCAGCGCCGCGCACAGGTGTCAACAACAGCAGGGGTTGGTCGAAGGGGAGTTAGGGGGGCAGGGACACTCTGAGAATGCAAAATGAATTAAACGGAGAGCGAGACGAAAACAAACAGAAACAAGTGTCATAATCCTATCCACAGCACCCGGAGATAATGTCGAGCGATGAACTGTATCGCGTAAAGTACTCTACTTCGCGCTATCAGCGCCACCAGACGCCCTTGAACGTCAGCTCCTTGCACTGGGCTCGCCAGCAGTACGGGCATGAGATGGATCAGCAACTTCGTCGGCGGCTCCTGGCCTCACCCGCCTACGTGGACAGGCTGGAGCAGGAGGTACTGCTCGCCGGCCACGAGGGCTGCGTCAACTGCCTGGAGTGGACCACCGACGGGCTCTGGCTGGCCTCCGGATCCGACGACTATCGCGTGATGATTTGGGATCCGTTCCGGAAGAAGCGCGTCCATGTTATCAGCACCAAGCACCTGGGCAACATGTTCTCGGTGAAGTTCCTTCCCAAAACGAACAACAGCATTGTGGCTACTTGTGCGGCGGACAAATTCATCTACGTCTACGACATCAATCACTCAAACGAGACCCTCTTCGCTTGCAATTGCCACCTGATGCGGGCCAAGCGGCTGGCCACCGCCCAGGACTCGCCCCACATCTTCTGGTCGGCGGGGGAGGACGGCTGCATCCTTCAGCTGGACATGCGGGAGCCACATCGCTGCCGGCCGGAGGAGGGAGGCGGCGTCAAGCTCTTGAGCCTGTGCAACCAAGTGGAGTCCACGGCAGAGGCCAAGTGCTTGGCCATCAATCCAAGGCGGACGGAGTACCTGGCCGTGGGCACCAACGATCCCTTTGCACGGGTGTACGATCGCCGCAAGCTGCCTTCCACCGACGGCAATGGTGGGTAACCAAAATCGGAGCTTCTGCACAGTATTAAAACCTCTAATTTTCTTCAGGTTTATCCGCCTGTGTGTCTTACTATGCTCCCGGACAGATCCTAAAGAACATCAGCCGCAACATTGTCCACGAATCGCGGGCTATCACATACCTTACCTTTAACGGCAATGGCACGGAGCTGCTGGTCAACATGGGCGGTGAACACATCTACCGTTTCGATCTGAACCACGCTGAGCCTCCGGTTTTCTATGAACTGCCCACCTTCACAACGCCGGTCGCCCAGGAGGAGGAGGAGCCGGTGAAGGCGCCACGCAAGAGCCGCACGCTGCCCTCCAGCATAGAGGTCCATAAAAAGGAGGGGAATGAGTTTCTGGAAAACGGAAAGCTGGTAGACGCCATTGATGCGTATTCAGCGGCTCTTGTGAAATACCCGCAGGGAGAGGTTCTGTATCTGAACAGAGCCACAGCGCTGATGCGCCGGGGCTGGTTCGGCGACATATATGCGGCTCTGAGAGATTGCCACGAGGCCCTGCGGCTGGATCCCAGCTATGTGAAGGCCCACTTTCGACTGGCCAGGGCTTTGCTCGAGTTGCATCGTCCGCAGGATGCAGATAAGTGTCTGCAGGCGCTCATTCAACGCTTTCCTGACTTCGCCAACAACTACGGCGTTCTTATGCTGAATAAGGACATCAAGGAGAATCGCAGGCAGTCGCAGAGCACCGAGCCACTCGAGCATCCACCAGTGCCCATGGAGGATGGCTTCCGCTACCTGCGGCTAACGGACGCCGAGTACGATCTGCGTTCCACGGCTAGGGACTATATGCAACGCTATGTGGGCCACTGCAACGTCACGACGGACATCAAGGAGGCCAACTATTTGGGCAGCCACGGCGAGTTCATAGCCGCCGGTTCGGATGACGGCAATCTGTACATTTGGGAGGGAGATACGGGCAAGATACGGTCCGTTTATCGGGCGGACAGTGCCATTGTCAATTGCGTGCAGCCGCATCCGAGCATCTGTATGCTGGCCACCAGTGGCATTGACCACGACATCAAGATCTGGTCGCCTTGCGCCCCCAGCTCCGAGGAGCGACCCAACCTGGTGGCGGATGTGTCTCGCTACGTGCAGGATAATCAGCAGAAGATGCGCACCGATCCATTCGAACTGAATACTCGCAATGCTTACTGTTTCAATAACTAAGAACTGTAGCGTAATGTGAGTCTAGATCTAAATCCACTGCATTGTGCGGCGAGCGAGATCCAATCACGCAATATATCAAATACTAGTGTAATTTAAACTAAGCAAACATATTTTTGTTAATTTGTAAACGAACTACTGTATACAGAGTACGATGCTGATGATGAGTATGTTATGGAAGACTATAAAAATAAATGCGAAGAAATTACAAATCGTCCCGCTTTCAGATTTAAAATCTAATAAAAAGCTTGGGAGGATTTGGACTTTTTTTTGGAATTATTCTGTTTATTTACCGTAGTTGTTTAAATCTATGCTCACATGTATACATATACATACATATAAATATTTTACTTTATGTAATAATATTCAAGTATAGTTTTTACTCAAGTTTTATTTTTCATTCTATCGTTTTTTCTTAATCTTTTGTTTAAGCTAAGTAGAATTGATAGCTTCACATTGAAACATTTTTCTTTTCGTTTGTTATTATTATATGTCCCGTGTATGTTGGAAAATTTGAAAAGAGGCTGCGTAAGTCCACACAAAAAAAAATTAAAGTACAATTTTGCATTTGTTTCTATTTTATTTTTTAAGTATAGATGAAAATGAGTTTGTCTGTTTGGAGGCGTGGCATGTCTGGGGTTGTAGTTAGTGGCTTAAAAACTAACCGAATGTGTTGTAATATTCGCGCCCTTTGCGGCTTTTTATCCTTCTACTTGCACATTTCACACTATATTTATAATTATCTTTATATATTTTCAATGAATCCTTTTTAATTACTTTACAAAAGTGCGCTTTCTTTTTGTTTTGCGTTGTTTAGGGGCTGTCCATATCGTTTCATTTATACAGAGTGGTGTTTATTTTCTTGTAGTTGTTAATAATATATTACAAACTATTTTATGCAAAAATCAAACGAATACACAATTCAAATCAAGTTCTGTGGGGGCGTCGGTAAGTTTTGTTTGCAAATTGGAAGGTCAGATGTGAATGAGTTGGTGTGGGAGTGGGCGGGTGGATTTGGCCACCACCTTTACTTTACAGGCTAATCATTTCAATCTGTCAGCTTTGTGTGGTTGTCTGTTGGTGTTCTTCTTCCTCCTCGTGTACTTTTACATGAATTTGTATACCAAATGTCGTTCTCGTTATGTTTTTTCTTTCTTCTCTTGTTGGAATTTTGTTTTCTTGCATACATATAAGTTTCTTATAGTTGGTTTTTGTTTTTTTTTATGTATTTTTGTTTTGTTTTGTTTATTGTTTAATACCATCAACCCTCCCTCTTTATTGAACTGGGTGTCTCTGCCAGGCCTTTCACTTTGAGGCGATCGGCGGTCTTAAGAAATGCTGGCAGCTGTTCCTGGGACACGTTTACCTCTCCGGCGTACATGAACTCCAGTATAGCCTGTAGGTGGATGTAGGAGACATCTTTCAGGATAATAATCGGGTGCTTCGATGGATTTTCCTGCGGATAAAAACACGTTAGTTAATGGCTTATATGTCAAGTCACAACCTTACCTCCAGCAGCGCTTTGAAGTAGGGACTACAAGCGGAAAGCACCATTTTGTGGGCTTTGCAGGTTTGGCCCTCGCAGGCGAGTGTTACCTGTAAACAATGAGCATTAAGAAATCAGTTAACATCGAAAGACATTTTCCCCAAAAACAGAGCACCCAAAATCATAAAGAAAACGCCAAGCGACCAAGAACAAAGAACCAGGTAAAGGAAAAATGAATATAAAAAAACGTGAGGGCCAGGTAGTCAGACAAAGTGAGCTAAGCCGGTGACTGACCCTCGGCAAGGGGCGGCCTAGAGCTAATCAGGCCAAGAGTAGCATAGCCAACCTCAGTTTGCCCCTGAGAATGGTCAATTACAGTCGAACTTCTCTAGCTAAAAGTGGTTACCCAGATAATACTACTTACTTTTGGTTCCAATACAACTGATTTAAATCTATTTCATTATATACTATGCTAATAATCTAGTTGAGTTTAACTGGTTTCAAATAAATAGACCAGAAAAAAATAAAGCATCGTAAATTAACTAAACTAACTAATTAACTAACTAAATTAATTAAACTAAAAAAAGGTTTCGGACCATATATTCAACTAAAATACTTTGCATTGTCAAATTAAGATAGGTTCGACCATAACTAGACTTTTGAACGGAATTTTCCCATTATCTCTAGAAAGGTTCTTTTAGCTTTTGGATACTTACATCTGTGAAGCTCTTCTCGTCGCGCAAGTGACGGAACGAGGTCACCATATTCGTTTGAAAATCGTTCCATTTTAGAAAGAACTGTTGATCCGACGACATCATGAAGAAGCTTTTGTTGGTGGGGGCGTTGCTTTGCGGATTTAATTCTGGGGGCAGGAGTCTTAATTTGGACTTGTGGCCGAAAGGTTTACCGTTAGCTGGGCTTAATTCGCAGCAGACCACTTAATCCGTGGGGTTTCGATTGGGTTTCTTCGCGGTACTCTGCAATGGAAACAAAAACACACCATTAGTGCCTAGCAAACAAACGAAAACAACTTGGCGAATTAGTAGCGTTGCGAGAGAGCCACTTTGGGCAATTCCAAATTATATTCTCAAAACAAAAAGTGCTTCGGCGCATGTGCAGCGACGGTGTAATGGAAATGGGAATTTGGAATGCACTGTGCGTTAGTGTGTTAGTGAGCTGGAAAATGTCAAAGTGCTGAGCCAGCGCTAAAGCTAAACAACAACAAACAGCTGCCAGCAAAGGTTAAGCAAAGAGGCAAAAATATCAAATCGTCGCTCGCTCTGCCTTTCACTTTTCAAGGCAATTTCTGCATTTCAGTAATTTGCTTTGCTTATTTGAATCCGAGTCTGTGTACAGTGGATCAGAACTCCCTGCAGCTGCCGATGGCAATCTATTTTTAGGCCCTGCATTAAAATTACATTCATTCTGAGGTTTTTGGAACCTCAAAAGAACCAAGATGGCGGCTGCATTTGCACTTCCATCGAGTTATTTTGTTCTTCGCCTGCACCCACTCCATCCCACTGTGCGGACAACATGTGTTTTCCTTCTTGCGGCATAGTGTTGTTGTCGATGCGACTCTCAGATGCGCTACACTGCGGTACGACCGGCTGATGTTTATTTGTGTGGGCGGCGGAGAAGGGCATTCAGAGTTCAACAGAGCTTACACTTTTACATAGTCTCTCTCACTGACACTATTGCGTTTACTTTGGCTAAGCGCTCTCAACTTTCAACTGCCGTTATGATTTCGCAATTACATTACAACAACAGCAACGCTGAGCAGACATCACTGGAAATTTCAGCTGCATAAGTGAGTGTGTGTGACTAAGCAACTATCTCGCTTACTCTTGCGCCCGGGGTTATCAATAGCTTCTTCTAGGCTGAGTGCATTTTGTTAAATCGTCGATGTTGAAAGTTGTCTAATTTCCAAACTATTGATTTTTCCCCTCAGCAAGAAATTGCATTAATCTTTCGTGTCGTTGCTTCTTAAAGACCAGTTTTGGTAACAACAGAATGGAAAGGAGCGAGCGAGTGAGTGAGCGGGCAACAACAACAGTTGGAAACGAGGTCCAACGAAAGTTGCAACACTCTCAAAAATTGAATATTGTTGTTATTGCATTACTCAATCCGTTTTTTGGAAAGAACTCTACACTGGGCGGAAAAGTGTGGGTGTCTGGTCTTTTTCTCCGTAGACAATGGCGGCGGCAACGTTTCGGGGCATGCCGCAGCAGCAACAACAATGGTAGCGACCGAAAATAACTAGCGTTCCTGCTTTTGTCCCGCTTTTATTGCACCGCCTTTGTTTATGCAAATATTATTGTAATATTTGGTTAAAATTAGGTCGCGCTTCGCGTTACTTTTTATTTCGTATACACGCAGCAGCACTCACACATACAGCCGTCGTTCACATACACTTGTGTCTTTTTTCCACACACTTTCCTAATCATTTTATTTTCTGTGAGCTGCTGCGTTTTACTCGGCGTGTACTCTGTACTTTTACCAATCCAATGCGATGCGTAAATTGGTTGCCGCAGGAGCAAAACTATTAATATTTTATTTCTTTGTTGGTTTTTTTTTTGTTTTTTTCTAGATCTTTTTGTTTTAATTTTAATACATACACGCTTTTTTGTCCCGCACTCAACTCACCTCTGCTTTCTCGCTAACGCTGCTTTCTTTTTTTCTTTTTCTCTTTCTCTTTCCTTGATTACCAATGAGTTTGTGCTAGTCGGCCTACAACACTGACGTCGCCTTCTTTGCAACACAGTCGGTTTTAAAGCCGATAGCTTTTGACCGTGTCCGCGAACAGGCTAGAGATGCTATCGATAGTGAACTATCGATATTTTCGATCCAGTCGCAGTTTAACAGCACTGGAATTACAAAATGTTGAATACCTCGCGTTTATATAAAATTATAAATAAAAATGTTTATTCACGAGGCACGAGACTGCAGAGTACGGTCGCCGATGTGGGGCGGAGTGCGCGGCAAAAGGCGTGGCTGCTCGCCAGGGAACGCTACCAAGATCACGATCACGTTCATTACAGTTCCGTCTTGGAGACCAAAATAAAACCATCTTTCTTGATTCCTGAGAATTTGCCGCCTTTTCCAGAGGATTGGATGGATGACTACGAGTTCTACCAGGGCTGTCAAGATGGGGCGGACAAACAGGGCACTCCGGATCCCACGGTTGCCGCCTCAATAGTTCCCTGCAGTGGATGCGGCGCCAACTTGCACTGCTCCAGTCCCTCTCTGCCCGGCTTTATACCCAGTGAAATATTCAGGGGGAGGTCGCATCAGGAACTTCAGACCATCACCTGTAAGCGGTGCCACTTCCTTAACCACTACAACATTGCACTGGACGTCGAGGTGGCTCCATCGACGTATGTGGACACCATATCACGCATTCAGGACAAATTTGCACTGGCCATTGTGCTGGTGGACCTGCTGGACTTTCCCAGCTCCATTTGGCCGGGCATGCAACATGTGCTAGGCGCAAAGCGACCCGTTTTCCTAGTGGGAAACAAGGTGGATTTGCTGCCACGCGACTCCAACATCTACCTTCAGCACATAAAAGATTCCCTGCAGCGCGAATTCATCAAGCACGGCGGCGGCGATGGGCTGAATATAAAGAATGTCAGTCTGATATCCGCCAAAACGGGCTACGGCATCGAGGAGCTAATCACCCAGTTGCACAAGAAGTGGGCTTACAACGGAGACGTCTATCTACTGGGCTGCACCAATGTGGGCAAGAGCTCGCTATTCAACATCCTGCTCAACTCGGACTATTGCCGCCCGGAGGCCAGTGACCTGGTACGCAAGGCCACCACTTGTCCCTGGCCGGGAACCACACTGAAACTGCTGCGATTTCCCATCTTGCGTCCATCCAGTGATAGGGTTTACCAGCGATTCAGGAGATTAGTTTCCGAGCGCAGCCAGAAGGCGGCGATGGAAAAGGTGCGTCGCGCAGTGGCTAGGGAAACGGGAGCTGCTGCAGCTGCCCAACCGGTGGCCTCCGTTGGACGCACCTTCGATAAGCGCGACGATATCAGCGATGCCTTCGCCATGGCCAGTGGCTCAAAGCCCATAACCACGTTGAACGAGCGCCAGAAGGAGTACAAGGAGGCGCGCTGGGTCTACGACACCCCTGGAGTGATGCAGCCCGACCAATTGACTCCCCTGCTTACAGCCGAGGAACTGGTGAAGTTGCAGCCCTCCACGATGATTCGTCCCAGAGCTTTTCGCCTTCGTCCCCAGATGAGCATTTTCCTAGGTGGCCTCGCACGGCTAGATCTATTGGATATAACAAGTTCTAAGGGACAGTTACTGGACTGGATAAAGGTGTTTGTATTCGCCTCTGAGAACCTTCCCGTGCTGATCGCAGAAACCCAGGCGGCTGAAAAGGTGTACAACAGATATCTAGGAACACCTTTCCTGGGAGTCCCTATGGCCATTGAGGATTCTAAGAACCGCCTGCAACGCTGGCCAGGAATGCAGTGCCAAGACGGCGACATTGTGCTGTCAAACGAGGGGATGAATGAGGGCAGGTTAAACTGTGATATTACTCTAAGCTCTGCTGGCTGGATGGGATTGCTCCTACCTGGGCATTCCGAGTGTCGTCTGCGGGCGTGGACGCCGCAGGCTGCTGGCATTTATAAACGTGAACCTGCTTTAATACCACTGGCGGATCGGTTAGTGGGCAAGCACATTAGATATTCCCTAGCTTACAACACCACAAAGCCTTTTGTTTTTAAGAAATAAAAATTTGCAAAATTATTTAAGATTGTATTTATTTTTCAGGGGCCTATTCTGAAGCTAATATTTGGAAATAAAGTTTATTTTAAACTTACAATTACTCGAAACAATAAACTGATAAGGCACGAAGGGGTGTTCATATCAAACAAAATAAGTTTTTTTGTTTTTACTATTTTTTATCTAAAGCAAACTCAATCTAATGTATTTACTAAACCAAACACAAGCTTTTATATGTAATACAAATTCAGTAAGGCTTATCTTTGTTAAAAATATATAAAATGCTTTAGTTCAATTTGTTAAGCAATTAAAAAACACTTTTCCTGTTAAAATGAGAAATTTTAAATTTGCACAATGGCGCCAAGCAGTTGGGTCCTTGCTTTCATCGCTTTGCAACACTGGCTATGCGCTACACCTTTTGCAGCCAGTTCCCAACACTGCTAGAGTATCTACTTTTTCACGGCAACAAATTGACAAAGAATTTCTAAGATAGTTTCTTGATTGCAGGTGCAATTGCTGGTGAGCAAAAGCGACTGAAAAGCAGGCTAGAACCGAGCCGAAACAGGAAGTGAACCATTGGAGAGACCGCGAACCTTGTGCAGTTTGCGTATTGCGACGCATCGAAATTTTGTTGTATGCTGTGAGCCGCGAGGAGGCGGAAATCGGGAGTTGGGAAATCCGCAATCGGGAATCAGGAGTCGGGGGAAATGGAGCAGAACTCGAACGCGGAGACGTTCGCGGAGGCACCTGCTCCGGATGCGGAGTACGGCATTGGCATGGATAACTGCTCCGGATCCGCCTCGGGCAGCGACACCGTGAGTGCCAATCACGAGTTCCAGACCATGAAACCGGGTCCCGGGGTGGTGCACAAGCTGCCGCCGGTGGCCACCAATACCACCACCACAATCGCCGCCACCAGCAATGGACGCTCTCGGACAGAACTGCCGCACAGCGAGCTGGTAAAGATGCTGTACTATCTGGAGGGCGAGCTGCAGGCACGGGATGTCTGCATCGCCGCCCTGAGGAACGAGCGGGTGAAACAGCTTATCGCCCAGCTGCGGACGAAGCGGCTGCAGCCAAACGATCCCTATGCGGCCATATTTCGCGACAAGATCGCTCTGAACGGGAACCTCATCTCCAGGGAGTCCTCCACTCAGGCGGCGCAGGCCGAGATGGAGGTGCGCCAGATCATCGAGCAGCAGATGGAGCAGCAGTACCAAATGGTCAGCAAGCAGAGGGCCACACACGTGCGCATGGTTAACATACTCACCGAATCGCTTGAGAACAACCAGCGGATGCTGCAGGAACTGGAGGAGGAGAAACGAAAGCACGAGCACACAACAGCACAGGGCGATGACATCACCTACGGGCTGGAGATGGAGCGCACCAAGCTGAAGCAGGACCTCGAGGAGGAGCGCACCCAGGTGGCCAAGATGGAGAAGGACCTGAAGAAGCTGCAGGAGACGCTTGAGTACGAGCGCAACCGACAGAAGCAGATTGTGCTGCTGTTGATTGCGGAGCGCAAGAAGATCTTGATGAAGTACATTGAAGAGGGTGCGTATGGTAGCTCATTCGCTACTGATTAAACACTAATCTCATTGATTTGCAGGCAAACGTTCCGAGGACTTGGCCCAAATCCTGGCCGAGGAGAAACAGCGTTCGGACACCATAGCCGAAGGCCTCGAAGAGGAGAGCAAAAAGTCCCTGCGCATGGAGGAGGAGCTGGAGAAGCAAACCCAAGCCATGGAGCTGGAGCGCAAAACCCTTTTTGCCAAACTGGCCAAGGAGGAACTGCGGTTGGTCGAACTCCACTCTTAAAACTAATAACTCAATTAAATCATGTGTGTATTTTCCTAATCCAGGGTCAAGGAGCTGGAGCAGGAACTCAATGCATTGCGCAGCGAGCATGAGGCTCTGAAAAAGCAGCAGCCACTGGGTGGCAGCGGCTCATCGGTGGCCGCCGCCAAGGCGCGACAGTTTAGCGGTGAGTGAGCCAGACGAGACACTTCCACCTCGAAACTGGCTGTTGTAATTATATGGTTGCCCTCTTTATAATTTTCTATATACAAACTTTAACTCTATATATATATTACTTTTTTTTCGAACTCCTCTTGAAGCCGAAATCTTTTGTTAGAAAAAATGTTACGCAATTGCAAGGTGATTTGTTTTTTGTTTTGTGATGTTCCTCGTGCACACCACGTTGCACCAACCCAAAGATCACGCATCCGCACGTCCACCCCGCACGCTCGCACATACCAGTCATTGGAGCACCCTGACAAAAGCCAGAACGTAGCCAATTGACACAAGTGTCGACTGTAGAGTTTTCACGACCATGCTAAAACATTTCCACACAAGCTTGGCCTCGCCAGAAGTCCTTTAATTTGGCTTATTGCTCTTGTGGCTTCTGCCGGGGCCGGCTTGCCTCGGAGATCCGATGATCGAGTGTTAATCGGAGCTGCTTCCAACCGAATACTAATCCCACCTTTTCACGTTTTGCAGACGACGCCTGTGCCACGCCCCCCATGGTGAACATCGCCAAGATCGTGCAACCAACCGCCACGGTAAGCAGCATGCCGGTCTCGGGACCACAGACCGGCATAGCCCGCTCCATAGCGCCGGGCCAGAACATCCGAAGCGCTGGTATTGCAACGGCGCCCACGGGCACGGCCACAGCAGCAGTAGCCCCACTCTCGGCCGTGCTCAACCATACCACCAGCACCACGAACAACACCACCAGCGGCAGCAGTTCGAGCGGCGGCGTTGGAACAGCCAATGCATCGGTTGAGGCGCCTGCTACTGTCACCGTGCCCCTGGTGGCGCCACCGTCACCCTCGCCGGCGAAGATGCAGCCCACTGCCACCATCCAGCGGGCGCCAGGAGGCAAGTATGCAGCTCTAGCTGCGGCAGCTGCCCTCGACCAGACGGCCACACCACCGCATCCTCATCCTGTGCCCATTGCCGTGCCACCAGTCACCGTGCCACCGGCGGGAGCTCGTGGCGCTCCGCCACCCATACCGACCAAGCCGATCGTGCCGCCCAAGCGGGAGCCCTCGCTCTCCCGGCTGGGCTCGATCACGGGCAGCAGTGCCATAGCGGCTGCCACCGCCACCACCACGGCCACCGCGTCGACGAGTGGCACGACGAGCACGGCGAAGCATAATTAGACACCCCTTCTCACTCAGACTCAGACTCACATTAATAACCGATATTGGGCGTAGGATAAGCGAAATACTCAAGCGGCGTTGTCCCTCGATAAACGCGCTAGGCAACAGGATCTTCCATCTCGAACTGCCATAAGAAATCCTTTTTCTGCGGAGGACTATATATTCCTCCTTAAAGAGTAGCCCTTATATTCCTTTGAGGGGCTTAACAACTGATTGTTTTTTGTTTGTTTATAAGTGATCTGATTACTGATCAGCGAACCACTTTGTTTGAAAGCGTTTCACTGACCAGTAAATATAGCTTTAGCTCACTTATAAAATCTCTTGTTTTTAACTTAATCGACTATCAAAAATTTATTTTTAAATTCGTCACATTTTTTTAAAGTTATATTTTTTAAAAGTGGTATTCTTTGTCTTAATATTCATATTTTCAAATACTTTGTCTAGTAATTGGATCTGCTTCGTTCTGCACTTTTACAATCCCTTTTTAATTTTTTTTCCAAAAATCCAACAATTTGTTTTATTTAAACATACTTATTTTTAAGAACAAATTCAAATGTGATTGCCATTTTATACCCTTTCAGTGGATACTATACAATTTATTTGTAAACCAGAACGAATCAAAAAATTCCTTAACAACTCGATATTTCTTAAAAAATTAAGCAATATTTTGTTTATTTATATAGCATCCTTATATGTAAAAAGTATTTGTCAGTTCGGGATCGGAATCTTAATAAGCATAAATGTTCTGACTATTTGAGTATTTTCTGTTGCCTAGTGTGATTGGCCAAGGAATAATGATTTGGCAGGAAAAATGTGTAGGAGAAACGTTTGTTAAGCATTAGAATGATGAACATGCAGTGCGACCCACCCCGGCGGCTTTTCATCTAAAACAAGCCAATCCTTAAGTCTAGTTTAGTTTTTATTGTTTTTACCCAGCGAATGATATATTTTTTAATGCCGTTGGCGGTCCGAGGGCCAAGCCAAGAGACAAACAACTTTAATTGTAATTCCGTACGTAGTAACCGATTCTCATAACGATTAACAACAAGAATATATAGTAATTATATACATACCCACAGATATTTCATATATCCACATAATATATTTATGTGTATAACCCTTGTGCTCTGGGCGTTGTTTACTAGTTCTTAGGTGCGTCGTATACGTGTGTAAACTTCCTTTCTGTGCAGCTATTGTACTTCGTAGTAATTGATTTTAAACTTGTTTTAAGTTTGGCCTAAGCTGTTTTGATTTGCCGCCTAGCCGATTCCAGAGAAAGGTATCCTATAGATTAACCCACGCCGTTTACACTAGTTTAGTTTGCTGGGACACCATTCGTTGGGATCCAGCAGGGTGAAGCTGCTTTTAACGATTGCGTTATCCTTTTTGAAATGCGTACTGTAAACATCCCTCCAGCCCCAGCAGCTTGGATTTCCTTTTAGTCAAAGGGCAGCAGCCAGTCAAGTAGTGTTGTTGGTACAATAAATAGCAAAGAGGCACAAGATATAAGCAAAATGCGTATAAATACAAGTTAGCAATGCATACAATCTATAACAAATTACGATGTATTGGAAAAGCGAAAAATACAAAATAAATTACACTAAAAATGCATTCGAAATCACGCCACTGGCATAGTGTTCTCAATAATCAATGCTCTGGCCAAATTGCGGGCGCAGGCCAGGCGCATAAGGTTCAGGATTTCGTCGACATTCTCAACCCGGTAGTCCTTGAACACAGTCTCTGTGTGGTGCTGTAAATGCCGAGGAGGATTAGTTAAGAATAATATAATAACCAGAGGGAAAAAACATACCTTTCCATATTTGGTCACGTCGCGTTCGATGATTGGCACCAGTTCTGTTTCAATATGATGGAGAATGGCCACAGTTTCCTTGGCGAAAATTTTTGGATCCTTCGACTCCAGCAGAGGCATGGAATCGATGAGCAGCGAAGGCCAGAAACTAAGGAAGGACAATCTTGTTTTAAAGCGTTGAGATTATAAACTTATCAACTTACTAGTCTGGGGTGATTCTGGATTCCAGCAGATTCACCAGAAGCTCTGAGGCAGACAGAAAATCGCGGGTTCGATAGAATTCGTAGAACTCATAGTACTTGGAGAGAAAAACCAAGCGTGGTGAGATGAACATTCGACCTCCCACATTGGCTATGGTGTCCGGGCAGAGCATGTTTCCTGTCCTCGAGTAATGCTACGGAAGGGTCCACCAATTAGCTTGAGTACATATGTAAGCACAACTTTTTAGTAGTCACCTTCAAAATAAAGTCCGCAACCGCCGTAACCACCAGCACGTCTTTGGAGCGAATGGCCCACTCTAGGGCATTGCCGTAGCGCTCTCCATCATAGGATCGCTTTGATAGCACCTTGCAGATCTCCTGTTCCACGCTCGTCAGTCCCCGCTGCCTGGCTAGGTTGATCAACTTGGTGGCCTGCCGCTCACTGCGCAAAGAGATGCGGGGCAAAAGCAGCTCGATAGCAGCCTGACCCTCCTGCTTGCAGCAGTCTAGGTAGTCAATGCCCAACTGCCACAGATTGTGCGATGACATCAGATAGCTGCCATACTCGTAGATCATTGAGTGGCGCAAGGCAGGAAGATCTCTGTGGGGATATAAATGTGCAATATTATCTTTCGAATTATTCAAACTATAAACAAATTAAACCTACATGTTGTTCTGGTCAAAGTAACTCTTCAGCTGACCGCAATGATGGATTAGATCAATCAAGTGCGTGGAAAACCAGTGGGTATCGTTCAGCTTCTGGGCTTCGTATATGAAAAGCCTTATATCGTGATCCATGAGCTGCATTATCATGCGGTTCATGTTGGAGTGTTCCCTTTCCGGTCGGAGTAAATGCCAGCGGTTCAGCCAATTGGCGGCGGCAATCCTCAGCTCGAAGGGTTTGCAGGTGGGCTTCGTGAAGAGCAGGTATCCCGGCAGGTATTCATAGCAGTCCTGGGACTCCTTGATGCCAGCATCCCACTGCACGTTGTCGCCCGTGACCAGTCGCAGGACCTGCTCCAGCTCAGGCTCAGTGGCGAATAGACCAGTCTGGATCTTACGCTCCGTGTCCACATGCCAGTACTCCCACTGCGAATGGAACTTCTGCAGGGCATAGCCTTCTTGGTATACGGGCATGGACTTAAGGATCAGCTCGGCCGCCTTGAAGGCCGGCTGCACAGCCTTCCGATTCTGCGAGAGAATAGCGCGCGTCACATCTATTTCGCCCAGCATGATCAGCGATTTGAGGATGCTCCAGTAGTCATCGGACTCGCTAGCCTCCTCGGCCATCAGCAACAGATCGGTAGCTCGGTCCTCCGCTTGCGGTGAATGGAAGCGCGCCCAGTCCAGCAGTTGTGGCACAACCAGCTGATTGTTCTGAATGTAGAGAATCTCGAACAGATGCCACAGGCACTCCGCTGCGTAGAAAACGATGATGGCGTCGGTGAAGCGGCGCAGTCGGGGCTCGTCTGTTTGCACCTCCGGCGACTTCTTGGCCTGCTCGAGCTTCTCAAGGCAGGCGCGCACGATACTACGATATGCCCTAGATATGTTCACGTACTCAGCTCGAGTGGCCCGCAGACCCAGTTGCTGAAGGGTGGCGAAAGTGGCATTCGCCTCCGCAAGTACACTGCGCAGCACCGGCTCGTCGAACAACGTTGATTCCTGGGCCAGGTAGATGAGTACCGGGTCCTGTCCAGCCGTCTCAGTGGGAGCGTCCCGCGATCTGTGCGTAATTTGCCGGAACGCGCTGAGTGCAATCCTTGAGCCCGGCAAAAAGACGCCGGTGAGTGTGTTGCCACAACGCGTGGCCAGGACATCTCCGAGTTCCTGAAACGATTTATTATGAACTCAACCACTTTGGACATGTGACCGGGGGATACTTACGAAGGCGGGCACGTTGTTATCGTCCATTTTAGATCAGATTGTATATATTTCTAAAAATTACACAAAAAGCGCGTTCCACCGCAACAAGTGTTGAAATGCGCGTAAACATTGGCTTGATTTTATAGTGCTCAAAAATGTCGTGTTTTCCCCAGGGCTGCCAACACAGCCATTTCCCGCTAAATTTAGATTTAAGAAACGACATTTTAAATAATTCGGTTAATTTAACTATGTATTTATCAGCTACAACGAGCTTGTGCCTATACATAACGTCGTAAACAATTAATAACCATTTAAATGGAACCTTGTTAGTCGATTGTTGTAAAACCAATCAAGCTGCAAGTTAATGTGGATCAATACTTGATATTTAAGTATTATCTTTGCACCAGATATCAGCAGTTCAATTTTATTTTAATTAATTATGTATTAAAATATACAAATTTACCAATCTAGAAAAATATTAAAACCGGTATTCCGTTACCAGAAGCAGAAGGGATATAAGGAAATTTGTTCTACTCAGCTTGTTTTCCAGAATTTTAAAAACTCAAGAACTGTATTTTAGCACATGTAAGGTTTTTAGTATTTTAATATATATCCTTACTCCCTTTCCACATTTTAATGTGCCTGATCCCATTCGCACATAATTGCCAATGATCGTTATACATGCCAAATTCTCAGTGACAATCCTCCAAAATTATATTTTTAACAAAATTGCGAATTAGGTTATGCGGTTCAGTCATAAAGCTTTAATGCTATCGAACTACTTATAGACAAAACTGGAGAACAAACATTTATTTTTTTAATTATCCGTCTATTAAATCTATTTAACGGACGATAGATAATAATTACCTAAACCTGACAGCCCTGCCAACGCGCGTGCCTCTTCTTCTTTATTTTCTGCCGCTTCAGAGTTGCCACCTGTTTCCAGGAAAGCTTTTTGAACTGGCGTTTTGTTTGTTTGGGCTTAAATTAATAATTAAATAAATAAATGGAGGACATTTCGGTGGTGACTAAGCTGTGCGACGACAACGTCCACAAACTCCAGGAAAATCTCCGCTCCTTCCAGCGCGAAGTGAGCCGCGTTCGGAAAGTGCTCACGGAAAGATGGGTAAATGTGGACCGCCGAGACAGGAGACTCATCGCCTTACATGACCGTTTAGTGCGCAGTCTCAGCGATGTGAATGCCTGTGTCATCCAGCTGAACCTGAACATAGAGCTTAACCGACCGGACGGACGATTCACGGCCGACGACAAGTCGGATGACTCCTTTGATGACCTCTACCCATCAAATCGTTTGATTCAAAAAGCCATCGAAGGGCTTGGTTTTAATAAACCAGATGAACAGCCGCCCGAGCCGCCTTTCGCAGAAAAAATGCCGGAAAGTTCCATGCAGGTTGAGCCTGCCTCCACCGAAAAGTTGCCGGAAAGTTCTATGCAGCTTGTGGCCGTTGATTTATCGATGGTTCCAGAGCCCATGGTGGAGGCTTTCTTTCCGGACGTTCCACCGCCGCCGCCATTTCCTTCTGTAATTGTTCCAAAGCTACCCATGATAGTCGTCGAGCCGCCAGCACTTCCCTCTGCAATTGTTCCAAAGCTACCAATGATGGAAGACAATGAATCCCCTCTGGCTTCCAAAGAGTCCTTCCAAACGATCAGCCATGATATCTCCAACCAAAAGTCCATGACTGAATTGCAGATTGAAGAGAAAGCAGTGGTCGTCGAGCCTCAAGTATATTCCGCTGTTCCTATAGAAAATCAAGCGACGCCAACAGCCAACCAGGTCGACCAGTCTCCTGAAGTTGTCATCCAGACGACCAACAATGATATCAGTCACGAAATCTCCAAGAAAGACGATGAATTACAGATTGAAAAGCTCTCAGTGGCCAAACAAATGCCATCTAGCTGGCTTATTGAACCCTCTTCGGATCAGGTTACTACTTCGCCACCACCCAAACGATTCCTCATGGCTCCCAAAGGCGGCACCCAGACGACCAGCGATGGCATTTACAAGCAAATCTTGAAGAATACGGCTGCTTTTCCCAAGAACGCCGTGGTCTCAGCCGCCTTGGTGCATGTGAATGTGGCGGGCAACTGCATATTTGTGGCCAAATTTGATGAGAGCTCAAAGCGCATTAAGGAGATGCTTAAGGGACAGGTTCTACTGCAGGAATTAGAGCAACTGCCCGACTACGGTGACATCTTTGCGGTTTACGACAGCAGCGACAATATAATTACTCGCATCACCATCAACAACAGCTCCGAGGGAGGAGGCTATGATGGCTATCTGATTGACTACGGCGAGCACATCCACCTGACCGGTAACGAAATCATATTCGAACTGCCGGACGACATCAGGTGCCTGCCAGCGGAAGCCATTAGATGCAATTTGACCAATTGCGGTGTCGACCAGATGAGTAGTTTCCTCTATCAGATTGTTCAACTTCGTGTGCACGAAAACAATGGCATTGGTCTGGTGGTGGAGTTGATCGATGAGAACAAACCAGACTCAAATGAAAATAAGACCGACATTGAATGCCCTGCTAAACTAAGCGAGGAAGACATGGCCATGTTAAATGAAATTGAAGAGACCACCAGCGATCCTCTGAAGGCAGTGCTGGGCTTTAAACCCACGGACGAGCAACGCATTTGCCGGCACTACGATCCCAAGTTGAATGGCTGCTTCAAGGGTAAGTCAATAAATACTCTCATTAATTAAGATAGAATTTTCTACGATTATCACATTTTTGTATGTTAACAACAAACCATATTTTAAGTTTTATAAAACTAAAATTAACACTAAGGCTACAGTCAAAATGAGATTGGGGTCCCTAAATGCTATTGTAAATCCTCACCTTATTGTACTTTCAAGGTAACACCTGTCGTTTGGTCCATGAACCCTTTGCACCCCATGGCGCAACAAAGGATGTGGAGATAGCTGGAGCTCTTCCGGAAACTGTCTTTGACACCCCAGTGCCTCACAAGGTGGGCAGCAGTGCCCGCATCTTGATCACCTTTGTTAATAGCCCCACCGAGGTTTATGCCCAGTTTGTGGACGGATCTGCTCCGCTGGTGTGGGCCAAAAAGGATGTGCCCGAGGTGAAATGGAGCTTTAAGCGCAGACCCCGCATTCTCGACATTGTGCTTGCTCTCTACAACGATGACTGCTTCTATCGCGCTCAGATTATCGATGAAATGGACAGGGAGTACAAAATCTTCTATGTGGATTACGGCAACACTGAGTTCGTGTCCCTGAGCAGTTTGGCTCCCTGCGAATATGCGGAGAGCTTGAAGCCCCATCAGAGCGTCAGTTGCCAAATAGAGGGAGTCGTAAGGTCGACATTTCTGTCGCACCAGATGACATTTGAGTGCGTCGAGTACCTCAAGAGTAAGCTGCTCAACAAGGAGATGGATGTGAAGCTGGTGAGTCGTCTACCGGATGGCTTTCTAATTCGTTTCCTAGGCATCTATAGCGATGTGCCGCGTCAGCTGGTTAAACGCCGATATGCTCAGCCCAGCAATGGGATTCGACGGAGCCTCGCAGATCTCGATAAGTGTACGGCAGAAGAAGATGCCAGTGATATCTGATATGCTCACTGCTAGTTCTGTTATATTTTTTGTTTTTAAGTCTTTATCTTTAATTTTTTGAAGTGCCTCTTAAAATCTATACTAAAATTGGCGATTGGCCATAACTGAACTGAACCACAGCTAAACTTATTTGTTTTCATAGTCTTAGGATATATATAGGCTTTGTTAAACATATGATTTTGAATCATTCCATTGCGTATCTTAAACTAAACTACTTACCTTAAGCTTGTCCTTTTTCAAACGCGATTTAAATAGAGTTAAGCTCAAAAGTGTAAAATATCTCAAATGACGGATATTTTGTTTATTATGAATATGTTTTTTATGTTTTTCATTGCTGACGATATTCTAGTTTTACTACCTATATTATGAAACCTTTGTTAATTTTTGTTTTGAAGATTTCTTAAGTAAACTCTTCTTGAATCAGTGTTAAACCTTCAGTTAGGCCACGTTGAAAACGAAATAAACTGGCTATGTGCCAACACGTTATCCACATGTCAGGTCGCTTGATTAATGTTCCGTCTTGGGGCTGGTCCAATTATGAGCGCGGAACAGCAATCGGCAAATGACAAACACAAAACTGTCTCGGAACTAAAACAATAATAATAATTGCCTTTAATGTGCAAAAGCAAAAAATCAAAGGACACCGTTGTGGACCTGGCAGCGCGGATCTGTCGGCGGGGTGCTAATAGATTATGCCGCAACGATTAGAGAGGCAATAAATAACACCTGGCCGGGATCCCATGCGTGTTCGCTCCGTATGCGCATATGAGGACAACAATGACGACAGGCGCAGGTCCTCCTTGTGTCCTCCGTTGTCCTGGTGTTGACAATTTAAACGGTTCGGCCAAAAGGGTAATGGGTCTAACCAAGGGTCATTTTGGGGCACAGTTCGCCGGTCATGAACTGCGGATCATAACCAGACCTACATAATTGTCATACTGAAATCAGTTTCGGAAGCATTTCCCCTAAAACACCTGCAACATTCCTCATGCGAGTGGGCCAACCCCCGGGAATAATTAGCCTGGTTAAGTGTCAAAAGGATGGCAGACCGCCCGACATGTGTTCCCAACATAATGATGATGATGACCACCCGCACCAAACCACCCCGAAACTTGGATTTGCAGGAATTTTACTAGACGATTACAATTTCGATGGAGTGTGTGTGTGTGGAGTGTTCGCGCTGCTCGAGGAGGAACTGAACTCAGTAAACGAAATGGTTAACGCAACAAAATGAACAAGAGGGATCCCCCGACCTCAGTAGTTGGATCCACGCTGGGTGCAGTGTCCGCTGGAGATGGATCCGGGCTCCAGGCTGGGGCAGTTGACCTTCTGCAGCTCGGCAATGCGCTGCCATGTCATGTTGAAGTGGCGCACGGAACGCGCATTGGAGAGCTTGGCAATCGGTCCCAGAGTGCGATAGCCGTTGGTAATGAAGCGTATGAATCCCTTGGCAGTAAGATCCAGCAGGGCGGTCTTCACCTGCGACTCCAGATCCCCGCAAGCAAAAGGTCTGACGAGGGAGTAAGTAGATTGCATACAATAATATTCACATGAGTATAGCAATATAAATATAAATAGGTATCTGTGTGTTAAATATGTAAGAATATAGAAAAATAAACTTACAAACATTTAATAAACAAGAAGATAATTAAAAGTCATGACCTCTATAAATCACCTTACTTAAGAATTAAAAATCAAAATCAAATATCCAATTTTGAATGAAATTAATAAATATGGATATTTTTAAAAGGGGTTAAATAGCTTACTATTTAAGAAATGCAAAAATATTTTGGGTTTAGCTTTAATACTTGGGTTTGATCTTTATCTTTATTGAATATCTCCCAGTCTGACTTACTCCTTCTCCAGCATCTCTAGGATGTGCTCCTCGTGGATACCATTGCTGTACTTGGGATGATCCTGGAAGATGCGCACCATATCCAAGATGTACAGGGGCAAGTTGATGTGGTAGCTGTTGAATGGGAGCCGCAAGGTGGTGGGCTCACAGTCCGAGATCGTGCTTTCGTCACACATTCTTTTGGTTTTAAGGGCGATATTGTTTTGCGTTCAAACTCTATGGAGTTCTCAGGTAAATAAAATTGTGGGGCAGACAGGGCGAAGCCTGTGTTTTGAATATATGTACATTTCAAGCTGAGCCCACTTGGTCATGTCCCAGGACATTGGTGCTAATGTCATCCAATTAAAGGTGTCATTAATGGTTTGTCCATCGCGGGTCCCCGAGGTTTGCTCTTCAATTACTGGCCAAACAAACGTCGGAACAATTACATGTTCGGCTAGCTATATTACCTGGTAATTTGTCTAACATATAAATAGCCTGTGTCCAAAGTGCTCCTCCCAATGCATTAGCACGGTCTATTTGGGGTGGGGTCAAAAGAATGGGACTCGGTTCATAGATTTTGGTGGCTTAGTAAAACAACTAATACGAACCGATTACAATACATTCTGAACATATTTTTTGTAACTCTCGCGCTCAACCCTTTGAATGATATTAGACTTCCTTTAGTTTTCAGACATGTCACTCTGGCACGCAATCCATTATTCCTGGCCCAAAACACCATAAACGACATTGGTAACAGTAGCATGACAGTCAAAGGGTTAACTATGGCCCAACTTTTGCCAACAGATAATAAATTAGCGCATACATTATGAAACGTTATAAGGATGCGACTTCCGGTTACGGGGAATGGGAAACGGAAAACGGAAAACGGGCAATGGAAATCCCCGTGGCTCAAACTGCCAATTTGCCTCGGCAAACAGGTGACACTTTCTCAACCCAAAATGGAACGGGTTGAAGAAGACACACGAAGAACATTTACCTATCGATGGTTATACGTGTGGTTTTGTGGGATTTGTAAGGAGCATATCAGGCAACATGCTAGTCCTTCGATTTCTAGAGAGTCATGTTTGATCAAATTGAAGTTGGGCAAACTTTTTGATGTCTTGATGTTGTAGATTGGCTAAATCGGGGCTACCTGACATTGCACTTTTTGGAGTGCAACTAATGGAGTAAAAGGATATGTTGTGGTTGTGGCATACTGAAATCGATTGCGCACTGTAAGAAAATTTTTTGAAATTTCAAAAACATTGGAAATTTTACAAGATTTTTTCTTAACCAAGCGCGCAGAATCGATACAATTCGTGCTAATGAAATATTTGTATTTTATTTTACTGGAACTACTTGTTATCAGGTCAATTTAAATGTAGTTTGACATACAAATTAACCATATGGTTTCTTTTCGCTTTCATAAAAGCTGCGCCATGTCCATATAGATTTCTCAATTTGATTATAATTTCACATAAAAATAAACCAGATGTTGACCAAACAAATCTTATTCTGTGTAAAAATTCCATACATTGTGAAATTTATAACCTTAAGCAAAGAAAATTACAATCTCATCTAGTTTTAAAATGAAACTTTTATAAATACAAAAACATATAAAATCGGAATTCAAGACGCCGATTTCAGTTGGTTTATTTTTCGTGAGTGCAATAACTTTGGGGTTTCCACCACGCCTCTTTCGGACTATTACCACTGCTTACCGTGGAAGTTCCGTCTACAAAATGTCGGTCGATAGCCACTCGTCCACTCTCATTGGTCAGCGCCGGGGAAATCCTTCCCATTTCCGCCCCCACCGCATAACAGTTGGCCAACTCGAAGGGCCAGGAACTGGACTGGGGCTTGTAATCTGGCTAACCAGTTATATGAAGTCCTTGTAACCGGGCAGCACAAATAAATGCCAGGCGGCCCGGGCCAAGTGTCATGTATTTGACGAATAATTACCGTCAACATTGCGTGATTGGTTGAATCAGCCGGCGAAGCAGGGTTGCGGCTGGCTTAGAATTAGCCCCAACTGTGGGGGGTTGTGTGACAAGAACCTATAATTACCGGGCTTAGGCAGGTGGTCGCTGGCAGGACTCGGGCCATAACTCAGTGCGGGATTCAGACACTCGGCGGCCGTTGGCGCGAACGGAAGTCAGCGAAGAGGATGCACTCGCCCGCCCAGTCGCCCATTCTGGATGTCACCGACACCGTAACGCTGCACTCCGAGTTGGACGCCGACCTGGAGTCCAAGGAGGCGCCCTCCTACTCCTTTCCCGTTCCCCAGAGTCTCCGGCTGCCCGGCCTGGGTTTTCCCGGAATGATCGGTGCCAAGAGATCCTCCGAATCGCTCCCCGCCTTCGAGTACATCGCTCCGCCAGGTCACGCCCTCCAGTCCCTGGAGTTTCCGCTCATGGAGCTCAATCGAGTGGGCATGATCGGAGGCGGAATGTTTCCGGGCTTCATGCACCGGCGGGTTCGCGGCGAGAAGCGCCCCATTCCGGAGGCGCAAAAGGACGCCAAGTACTTCGAGAGGCGCAAGCGAAACAACGAGGCTGCCAAGAAGTCCAGGGATGCGCGTAAGATCCGCGAGGATAGGATAGCTTTCCGGGCGGCCCTCCTGGAGCAGGAGAACTCCATCCTGCGGGCCCAGGTCCTGGCGCTCAGGGACGAGCTGCAGACGGTGCGCCAGCTCCTGGGAGCCACGACCGCCGGCGGCATGTTGTCCATGGCCAGGCAGGTGTGAACTACTATTGAAAAGGACACAGGACAGTTGTACATAAAAGTGAAGTGGGTTTCAACGAATTTTTGTTAGTAAATGTTTAAAATAAAGTTCTAAGATTAAATGTTTGCATAAATAGTTAAAGCGTTTTTCGATAAGTTCGCGTTTTTAATATTTTAAATTAGGCAGAAAATTAAGTTTTTAAATTCTCAAACGTTAGTAACGCATATCTCTTACTCTAAACTTTGGTTTTTCTTACTTCTTTGTTAAAATAAGTAATCCATTTATGCGGGTTTTTACTTTTATAAAATCAAAACTATAATGAGAAAATATCCCTGTAGAAGTAAGTAATTATCTTATTTTAGGGTAGAATCATAAAATGTATTTTAATATATAGGTAATCCAGATATATAAACAGAATAGAAACTATCTAAAGTTCTAATATTAAATGTTTGCATAAATAGTTAAGGCGTTTTTCGTTAAGTCCGAAATTGGAATATTTAAAATTAAGAAGAAAATGCAGTTTTTCAATTCCCAAACTTTAGTAACGCTTATCTTTTACTTTAAACTTTGGTTTTTCTTACTTCTTTGTTAAAATCTTATTTTATGGTAGAATCATAAAATGTATTTTAATATATAGGTAATCCAGATATATAAACAAAATTGGAACTATCTAAGCTAGCTGGTGTTGTTAAAATGGTCTTCAAATGTGTACCATTCGCAACAAACATTCAAACAGAGGTTGAATTTATGGTCAAGTCTTTCCAGTTTTTGAAAATGATGTGAAAAATGTGTTTTTTGTAATACCGAAGAATTGAAAAATAGGAATTTATAAACTATTGAAATCGGTTAGGCGAGATCGACTTTATTTGCATTAAAAATTGGGTTAACAAACGCAAATACAAATAGTTAGAAAATATATAACAAGCTAGTAGTCAAGTGGGTGCATTTGCACCTTTCCAGCCGAGTCCAGGATGAGCAGGTTCTGCTCGTGTCCAGAACTTCGAGCACCTGCGATGTCCGTAACTTTGAGGCAACCCTCCGCCGGCTGTCCACTGGGCAACTCCCTGTCCCGGTAGAAATCGTAGGTGCGCACAGTACCATTGGTCAGGGCGGAGAGTCGCCAGCCGTCGCTGGAGAGGATCAGGGCCTGGACGAGGTGCTGGCGCAGTCCACTGCCGCTGAGGAGCAGCTGCTGGTCAAACACTTTCAGTTCGTAGGAACGCCTGGGTCGCTCAATCAGCTCCAGAGCAGTGTTCGGCCGGGGTTCGTAGCTGGGATTGGGATCCACCTGCTGGTCGAACGATCTTCGCTCGTTGAGTATGATGTTCTGAATGGCGCAGGACTTGCCCGTCTCGGGATCGGGCTCAGCAGTGGCCGGCGGATGACCGGTTTTGGGCCTTTGGTGGTTCTTCTGCCGCTGCCTCTGCCGCTGCCTCTGCCGCTGATTGCAGTTGAGGATCATCACGGATCCGTTGGACAGGCCCACGGCCACATAGTTCTCGTTGGATAGGACACACAGTGAGGTGGGGAACAGGAAGCGACTCTCGTTCACAGCGATCCTCGAGAAGCGTTCCGCCTTCAGGCTCCGGGTGCAGCAGAGCACAAAGTTCCGGTTGGTGCACACGTAGATAAGGTCGCTGCCGGTGTCGATGCTGGTGAAGCGCAGTCCCTGCAATCCCTGGCCCTGCAGGGCGGTGGTCAGTGTCTGCGTCTCGTTCAGCTCCCTCAGCAGGTCGTCGCTGTAGATGTTGCCCTGGAACAGGGACTTGGTCTTCTCGTAGGCACTCTGGTGGCTCTTCAGCAGGCGTCGCTCCAGATAGCTCCTCAGGTCGCAGCTGGCGCTCTGCAGGAGCTTCACCCGCGCCCACGGAGAGCTGAACTCGTTCCTGTTGCTGGAGGAGGCTCCCTCAACCAGAGTCCACATGGTCAGCAGGCCAGAGTCGTTTAGCGAGGCGTACTGCAAAGGAATTGCTATTATCAGTTTTTTGTAGGGAGTTCATTTTTTTATGCAAAGCTTAGTCCTAATAATTGATTTATGAAGTAATACGAAAGTAAAAGTCTTTATAATTGAATTATGATGTAAAACGAAAGCTCATATTATAAGATCTGAATCAATTTATGTTGTTAATATAATGATTTAAATCCCTAGTTCCATTTACAAATGCATAAAAATGGGTGGATATCGCATTAAAAAAACTAAAAACGACCACATTCGTTGGCCAAAACCCATTTTTATAAAGTTTTTAAAACCAAAAATGTTATTTTGGAATGCATTAAAAGAAGACCAACCAAGGCATTGCCTGAACTAAGATTATTTTCCTTAGTTTTTATTACAACTCCGCTGCAAAACTTGTTAGCTATTAGTCAATCACATTTTCTTATTGGATATACATATATAAACAAGAGAGAACGCTATAGTCGGGTGCCCCGACTATCAGATACCCGTTACTCAGGTAAAGGGAGTGCGAGGGAGATGGAGATAGAAACTTTGATCACGCATAACTTTTTAACGAATGGTCCGATTTGAAAAATTTCTCCTACATTTCGATAGGTATTGATAAACACAATAAAACTGCATTTTTACTTTTCCGAAATATTTAAATTTTTAAAATCGTATATAAGCGATTGTGGGCGTTAAAGGGGGCGTGGCACCTTTTTGAAACAAACTTGCGCTGCGTAGGAACTCCTAGAATCTGCATGCAAAATGCCAATCTTGTAGCTTTTATAGTTTCCGAGATCTCAGCGTTCATACGGACAGACAGACGGACAGACAGACGGACAGACAGACGGACAGACGGACAGACGGACAGACGGACATGGCTATATCGACTCGGCTAGTGACCCTGATCAAGAATATATATACTTTATAGGGTCGGAAACGCTTCGTTCTAGCTGTTACATACTTTTGCACGAATACAATATACCCTTTTACTCTACGAGTAACGGGTATAAAAATATTAAAGATATTGGATCTTGTATTTTCGGAATAATTATTAATTTTATTTATAAAGGCTGCCTATATAGCTAAAAATTGTGTTATTTATTCGGAAGAAGGAGTTTCAGAAGACCCCAAAATACCAATCTTCTTACCTGAACTTCCTTGTAGGCCGTCTGCACTCCTCCAGCTGCAGCAATTCCTCCACTTTTATTCTGCGCTCTAAAGCTGCGCACATCCACCACGGCGCCCAGATCCATGGCATTCAGCCCCTGCTGCTGCTGCTCCACCATGGGCACCACCGACTGGGTGGCTGCAAAGTGGGTCAGGTGGCCGTCCAACTTGGAGCAGTAGCTGTGTGTCTCGCGCAGATCCCACATGGCCACACTGCCGTCCCTCAGTCCGGCCACCACGATATCCTGAGCCTCGGTGGAGAGTGCCACCCGGCTGACTTCGGCCCAGGTGGAAAGCAGACGCAGGGGCTGGCCGGGATTGGCCAGCGACCACACCATTAGCAGGCTGGCGAAGTCCTCGCTGTAGACGTTGCTGTCCTGCGGACATTCGTGGACGGTCACCACTAGTTGCCCGTTCCCGGAACTGCCAAAGATCCGGCGGACGGGGAGAGCATTAAGAAGTCCAGTCTGGAGAGGAATATTCCGTGGACTACTATCTTGGCCTGCGTTTTTATTGCCCTCCAAGACCCTGCCCATGAGTCGAGCGGCCTTGTGCAGAAACGTATTCAGACGCTCCAGATCCGTGGTTTTGGCCAACCTCCTTTGCTGCAGCTGCTGGGAGCGAGCCTGCTCCACGCGATGCAATTGCTCCAAGCGAGATATGCTTATTTCGTAGTCATCCGTCGACTGGGAACTCGATGGTTGCTCCATCTCCGCGTCGCCACTGCAGCTGAGCACCAACTGGCCACCGTAGTGGGGTGGATGCTGTGTCCAGCTGCTCCGGCTGTGCACCTCCAGCGTCTGGCACTCCCCGTCCATTTGCGGCGACTGCGTCTGGGTGGCCAGCTGGCAGGCATTCAGCTTCCCGTAGCTCTGCATGAATCCCTCGTAGCTCAGGGGCTTCATCTCGAACAGGTGGTAGTTGAGCTGGTCGAAACGCAGCTTGGCCATCAGCTCCTCGCCGCGACGACTGATCACGGGGTGGGACACGAATCCGGAGTAGCCGCCGTAGTACACGTTGGCCTCCCCACTTCCACGGGGCTTTTCCACGCCGGTCGTGCTGATGCCGGAGTCCAGCTGCTCTGAGTTGGCCATCGAGCTGGTATCGAAGCTATCGTACTGGTTCTGCGCGGACTGAGTGCTCAGGGGATTCCTGCGTTGGTGCATGTCATAGTGGCCGGAGTCCAGTTTGCGCTCCTGATCTCTGTCGCGTTGGATCACCGTGATGGGATTCTGTGTGGGCTCCGAGTCCTCTTCCTCCTCCGGCTCCTCTTCCACTTCTGCCTCGGAGGATGAAGGGCCTTCTGGTTCATCTGACTCTTCCTCTCCTGGTGAACTGGCATCCGTTTCAAAATCCGATTCATAGGACTCAAAGTCATCGGAGTAGTGATCGGAATCGGGCTCTGGTTTTTTGGCTTCCTCGAACTTCACTTCAAAGGCCACAGGCTGTTTTACAGGCGCCGATTCCTGGGTCTCCACTTCGCTCCGTTGCTTGGCGGATTCGCGCTTCAGGACCACCACTTCCTCGGGCTCCAAGGTGCGCGTGAAAGTTCTGGCTCGTGCGGGAGCAGCAGGGGCATCTTCTCTGGCAGCAGGAGGGGGTGATATCTGCTCCTCCTTGGCCTGAGCAACAGGTGAATACCGCTTTGAACGAGGAGTGGGCGATTCCTTCTGCTTTGCCTGCCCTCTTCGCTTTTGCGGTGGCGAAGCGACCGTAACACTGTGGTAAGTGTCCAGAACTGCATTGGGTTTGGATTTGGACACGGACTTGGGCTTGGACTGCGAGGGTGTGTTTGTGGTGGTTGCTTGTCTGGCGGTGGCACGCGAAGCTCCTGGGGACGGAGTGGTCCTTTTGCTCAAGGGTAAGGATTCCCTTTCCTTGTTTTTCCCCGTGCTCAATGGCTTTTTGCTGGTCGAAGGCTGTGCTGTTGTTGTGGTTTTCTTGGCAATTTTTTCACCTTCCAAGCTTTCCGGTTGCCTGGGCAGTGACCTTCGTTCCTTCGATTCCCTTGTGGTCGCAGGACCACTTGTTGCCGGCGATTTGGAGACCTTCCTGGGCATTTCCGTTTTGACCTGCAATTTGAATGGATATTTGAAATGATAACGTGCTTTGTTAGTTTCACAGCACTGGCTTTGGGAAATTAACAGCACTGGCATTAATCCAAACAAAAGATTTTTTTCGTGTGTGGCGATCGGTTCGTTTATTAGTTTTAATTGAACTCAGTTACATATTTACTGCATTATTAACATGCTGCCGTGTGCTCTAATTGGCAGTAAAGCTTTTGCTGGAACTAAATCAAGGAATAAACTGTGTGCTAGGTGTTAATGATAAAATGCAGGTTTGTTTGCTTTTTGTGAGAGCGGTGAAGTGAAAATAAGTCTTCAAAAAAAGTGAAATCGCTATCAGCATACTAATCAACTAAAATGTGTAATATATGTGCTTTTGGTTTCTGCCATTTTGATTGCCTTTTTTTGAGCTTACGTTTTTGCTGCTCGTTCGCGTCGCATTTTTGGACATTTTAGTAGCAGTTGCTACTTTGTAAAGTGCCTAATTTTATTGCCAAATAATAGGAGTAAATGTCGAGTGCCACGTAAATTAAATCAATCGTAATGCTGTTCAGTTGTGACATTTTTTCCTGTTTCCTTGGCAACCTAAAGTCCTTGTACATAGCAACAACAAATCGGCCAGCAATAACACAGCTGATTGGTCAGTGCTGCAAAAGGCTGCCGTTTTTAAAATCAACTGGTAGTCAACCTACCGATTGTGATATCGATAACTCTCTATCAAAAGTAACCGTCCTTTAAAAATTCAAAAAGTCATTTTGGTGATATAGCTCTGGTTGAAGCTTTGTTATTCTTAACTTAAGTTTAGCATAATATCACAATAAATAAGATTAGATTCGAGCTCGGTACTAAGACGATTTACGCCACAGTGCGAAAAAGGAGCAGAAGATCAAAATCCAGTAATTATGGCTGAATCTCGTGGCTCCACTCTCGTCATTGCTTTTGTAGTACTGGGTGTTGGCATACCGATCGTAGATGGGCTCCATCACCCGCTTGGCATTATCGCGGTGCAGCTCCTGGAGGCCCAGCAGTCCGTCGGTGGTGTCCCGGAAGAGCACATCGTTCTGCTTGTCGAAGATGCCGAAGAGGGTAAAGGGACGCGTCTCACTCTTGTACTTCCTGCCGAACAACTGATCCATGTCGCGCAGGGAATTGTAGATCTCATGGTAACGCGTCAACGAGGAATTGTGGGTCATCAGGTGGCCGCGGGTGGTCCAATGCAGGTAGCAGTACTTGAAGTTGGAGCGTTTTTCGATGCCTCCATAGGGGCACAGCACGCGGAAGTCCTTGTGGCTGCCAGTCTTTAACCAGTTTGCGGTGAGATTGCCACCCACATACTTGTTGTACACATCCGAACTGAGGAAGGCCACCTCGGCGCCCTCGGAAAGGCAACGCAGGGCGCCCTCGTCGCCCTGGTAGTGCAGCGGGCACTTCCTGCCCTCCTCCGGATGCCACAAACAGGAGTCGCGGTGGAAGAAGGAATGCAGCGAGTGCACCTTGCCCGTGGCATTCACTATCGTCTCCTGGACCGACAAATGGGCAGCTCCCTCGTAGGAGGGCAGGCAGGCTCTGGCTCCCTTGAGATCGTTGAAGCTCTGGAACTTGGCATCCTTGTGCACCAGGGCAATGGTCACATACCGATCATGCATATCCGTGGCGAACTCGTACAGCAGCGGCACTAGATTGTAATCCCGCTGGGCCTTTACCCGCGTTTCCTGATCCACCAGAACCACGTCGGCGGCCTTGAACTTGGTGTCGTCCAGGCACTGCAGCACGTCCGTGGTCCGCACGCACTGGATATTCGGCTGGACACCGTACACCTGCGAGGCCTCCTGCAGCCAGGAGCACTTGATGTGCTGGATGATGGACGTGGTGCATACGACTATCGAACGCGGCGGATTGCACTCCGGGAAGCTGTATGCCGACTGGAAGGCGGGAGCCTGGTCCAGGTAGTCATCAATGGATATCACATTGTCCAGGGGGACGGTAAACACGTGGTACGTCTCGAGGAGGCTCAGCAGAGCGTGCTGCCAGCTGTCCGGCTCGTCGTGACTGAGGCCAGTGACCAAACGCTGGATTTGGGCAGCATGGGTGCGGCGGGCAGCCACCACGGGCCAGGGCTTGGCCACCCACACACATGGTTGGGTGGCGTTGATGGGCTGCAGGTGGCCATCCGGGCAGAGGTAGCTGTACTCCGAGGGGTTCGCCTGCTCCGGAACGCCGGAAAACTAAGTAAGCAAGAATTTAAAACATATTCTCCAGCGAAAGGTATTCAAGACTTACCCCAAAGTGACTGCGCACATCGTCCAGTCGAGCCCAGGCCACGTTGCCACCTCCACTGGTCAGACAGTAGAGAGCACCACGTCGCCCCCAGTGCTTGTCGTTCTTGTCACAGTTGTGGGGATCATAGCACATCTCGCACAGCGAGGGATAGCGACTCTTCAGGACGCGATCCTGCTGGGGATCGGGCACCCAGGGACCGGCCTTGCAGCTGGGACCAAAGAACTTGGCCGAGGAGGCAATCCGATCCTCGGTGACGGTCAACTCGGGATCGCAGGTCTTGGACACCATGGCAGCTTCAAAGTACTGCAAGATTGTGAAATTAGTTAAGAAGACATCGGGAAGATGCTAGGGGGATCACCTACACTGGCCAGCACCTCCGTCCAGTGGTTGCCCAATCCGTAGCCCGGGTGACACAGCTTGGCCCCCCGCAGATCATGGACCGTGTGGATGTTGGCCCCATTGTCCACCACAGCCACTATTTCGTACTCAAAGTGCGACTCGTGCGATCGCAGCTCGCTGGCCACCAGAATCTCCACGCTGGCCCAGCGGGCGGCCACCAGGTCCTCCGAGCTGAGCACTCCGAAGTGGGCAGTGCCCTTGTGGATCCGACGCACGCAGTCCAGCCGGTCCACGCCGATGACGCACTCGATGTTGCTCTTGGCCTCCAGCAGCGGGCAGAACTTGGGGGTTTTCCGATAGTTGCCATGCGATTCGACCACACAAACCCGCACTGTGGGAGGAGGAGCAAGTGAATACATTTAGTTTGGACATCTGCTTAGTATATAATCCGCTAAAAAAAAACCTGTTACCGGACGCGGCATTAATTATGATTATCTTTGTATTTCGGTCTGTTTTAGTGTCTCTCCCGCATGCAGTTTTCGAGAAAAGATAATTATCTTGGGGATATTTATGTTTTTGGAATTAAAAATTCCCCTCAGGTGCGTCAGTTGTCGGGGAAACCTGACCTGAACAGGTTGAATGCATTCGCAGAATTGGCATGAAGTCGCGACAGTTCTGCGATGGACTGCTTTTTGGGCAGTGGAGCACGCGCTCCAAGGTCGGGACTGGTTTTGGTTTTCGATCGGCTTTTTCAGGTGTGATACTGACTCTCCAGCGGGTTTTGATTACACCCGGTCGAGTGAGTGCCCAAGGTCAGCTGCTCTCTCGCAGTGCACTTCGAATTAAAGATCCACGATAGGCGGTTTTTTACGCGACTTTTGATGGCTAATTGCGGGAATTTCAATCAAACATCTTTATTTGATTGATATTTTAATAATCTTACAAAGATATTATGAATTAAGTGAGGATAGGGGTATATGTACAGCAGTACAGCCACAATGTTACTTTTATTCAAATTAACTAATAGTCATTAATATTTAAGAACTTGTATTTGTATTAAACAATCTTGCTGGTGAGGTAATATGCTTATATTTTGAGCTTTGAGAATATTGGAAATATATAGGCATATTTTCGTAGTGTTATTGGATTACTCGAGGTTATACGTTGGTTATATTTAAATTTCTTCTATAACACAACGATTTTTTCCACTAAAATAAAAGTCTTTAACTAACTAACAATTTCCGCGATTTGAATTACCGTGTTGCACTAAATAAAAAAGTATCTTAATCAAGCTTAGAATGTTTCTATTAAGTATAAGCACTCCACAAGCACAATGTACTTTAATTTTCCCAATTTGCTTTGTTTTTATTTTTATTTCCAGACGAACACAGATCCGCCCCCCAATCTTTGATCAACTTACATTTGCCATCATCGGGCGGTTCCACAGCCACGCACATTGATATTGATAAGAACGAGGCGAACAGCCCCACCAAAACCGATGTAAGCCACTGCATTTCTGATGGCGTCAACCGCTCGTTAATCGCTAATTGTCACTCGAGATCGGGATTAATTCAGTTAGGCTGTCGCGTTGAGAACAGCTTGTAGTTTTATATAGAGATGCGAAGTGCAGGCTAGCCAGCTTTCGAGCCCCAAACCTTTCGCAGTGGAAGATCGGCGGCGACTGAGTTCAGCCCTGCCAGATGCCAGCGAGTAAAACTCGATCCGAGCTATCCGTAAGCTCAGGCTGCAGAACGAGATCGCCAGTGAGCAGCGGAATAACAATCAACTACGCACAGCTGGTGACTCAAGCGGGGTTTTTGGATAGCATTCTGATTGATTAGCACCTTTCGAGGAGGGGCGGGGCAATGAGCCCAGGGGATTACCCAGTCTGGAGGCCCAGTCTCTTTGGGCTGCCTCCCCGATCTGCAGTTTATCAATGCGACCTTCACTTAGGCATACCCACCATATGTTCGACCGATTCCTTATCGGCCGACTCGACTTATCAGTCGCCATACAAACTGCAGGCGTTTGAGCAATTTCTTCAGTCTCTGTCCGCAGTTCCCGGCGACCGTATACAACTTGATCTCAGCTAAATCGTTACTGGTGGGTGGTGTTTAATCGCGTGCACTGAAATGTTCAACAGATAATTGAAATTGTTCACAAATAATATATTCCTTCCCGATTCGCAGTGCAATCTTTTTGTATGCAAATGATTTAATCACCTTTCGTCTAGTGAAACATTCCTATGGCTTCCCTGTTTTCACCTAAACCATTGTTCTGTTTGTCACGCACTTTGTTTTTTTTTTAGTAACTCTAGGGATTTCCAAATCTTCAATTTGTGTTTGATTAATGATCGGTTTTGGAAAGTTTTGGCCAGCCATCACTTTTGGGTTTGCAAATTGTAATTTTTTCTGTGTCAAGTTGACGAGTAATTTGGTACCGTAAACCGGTTTTTATCTACAAAGTACATACAATATCGCAAGTTTTATTGAATTTACACAACACGCAATAACTAATTAAGTTGAATCGAGTTGAAGAGGGGACCTACGACATGCCTCAAAGGCAAATTTATTATGGCAGGCCCTAAAATCTTTATCACACCTCCGGACTTAATATGTCCAAGCATTATAATAGTTTTAGGCCGGGAGATAAGATTTAATATGCTTTGACTTATCTCCCTTGAACTTTTATGTTGCAGATTACAGCTTTTCTATTTCGTCTGGCCCGGCGTCTTATCACCGAGCGATTAGATACCATTTAGCAGTCTGTGATTTACATCCGTATCGCTGGCTATTTACAGACTCATCACCAGACGACAGATCCCCACGAACGTCGAACGGCGAACGACGAGGTGCAAAAAGTATGATCTTGTGTGGGTAGGAACACCTTTAGACTGAGATTGCATGGAGACATCTAAACTGTGATACTTTCAAGCCATATTTTACAAACTGGACAATGGTGCGACTCAACAGGCGCCTTCTCCCCATCAAGGCACATTTCTTCTTTTTCATGGCAGGTGAGTTTTATAGCAGATAAATTGGATCCGCAATCAGAAGTGATTTTGCAATAATTGAGTGATTATAATCAATTCTCGGTATTACTTCACATCTTATCAGTGACATTATCGAATATATGTTTAGACAATCTAATGAAATATTAGCAAGCTTTTGCCGAAAATAGCCTTGAACACTATATTTTTAACTTATTTGAATATATTTAAAATTAAGAGCTAATTCAATCAGATTATTTTATTGTTTATATTCTTTTTATTTATCTGATTTATGCACTTTTAGCTATGGGACCCATACTGCCACAACTGCCGGTGATTGGCAAACAAATCGGTGTGCCGCCGGACGTAATGGGATACATAACGGCTGCCTTGCCCATACTCTATGTCCTGGCCAAACCCCTTGTGGGTTTCCTAGTTGATTATTTCACGGTGAGACGAGATAAACTATGCAAATAAATTCAGTTTACAATTAAACTCATCCTTCCTTCACAGAACCTGCGCAAGTTTATCTTCATCACTCTTATCCTGATCATGACACTGGCTTTTGCTGGTTTCTACTTCCTGCCCGACAATGCCCATTTCATCCCACTGGAGGATGGCAGTGCCAAGTGGAATGTGTCGGTGCTGGAAACTCCACGCGATTGCAGCCCCATGATCTACTCCTCCAGCGCATTTTGCCAAACCACTCATCAGGCAAAGTGCTTTCAGGGAAATGAAGAATTTCCCGCCCTGATTGTGGCTCACGAGGCGGGTCTTAATCTCAGCCAGAATCTGCGCCATGACAACGAGAGCCATCACCTGTGCCTCACCCAACCTGCAACCAGTGAATGGACTGATGCATCTTGTGAGGTTCGACCCGTGGACAGTTGCATCTACGGAGCCGGCAAGTTCTGGCTTTTCGTGTGCCTGCTCTGCATCGGGATTGTTGGCTTCAACGTGACCAACTCAATATCCGATGCCTGCTGCTTTGACCTCCTGGGCGATGAGGAGCAGGGAGAGTACGGAGCCCAGCGAGTGTGGGGCACCATTGGCTTTGGAGCCACGGCCCTGCTAGCTGGCATCGTGGTCAACTGGTGGACCACGGATGCGGTGAAAAGTCTGACGCCTGCTCTAATCATCATGTGCGTGTTCAGCTTACTGGATCTGTTCAGTGTGTCCAAGCTGAAGCTGCCGAAACTGGGTGGTTCCGAGTCCATCTGGAGCGATGTGTGGCAACTGGTCCGTAAGCCACCAATCCTGATATTCCTGTTCTTCGCCACCATGGCTGGGATCATCGACTCCTTCATCATCTACTTCATGTTCTGGCACTTGGAGCAGGTGGCCGAGGCCACTGGCTATATGCACCAGATCAAGCTGATCGAGGGTCTGGTGGTGGCCGCCGAGTGCCTGGCCGGCGAGGTGCCCTTCTTCTTCTACAGCGGCAAGATCATCAAGAAGCTGGGCTACGTTCACTGCATGAGCATGTGTTTCTTCTTCTACGCCGTGCGACTGTCACTGATCGCCTGGATCCCCAATCCCTGGTATCTGGTCGGCGTGGAGCTCTTTTTCCAAGGCATCACCTATGCCTTGTGCTACACCTGCATCGTGGCCTACGCCTCGGCGGTGGCTCCGCCGGGAACTTCGTCCACGGTCCAGGGATTGATGGCTGGCATGGATGATGGGCTCGGATTCTCCATTGGCTCGCTGATCGGTGGTCTGATGTTCAAACGTCTGGGAGGACGAGAAAGTTTCAAGTACTTTGCCATCGCTGCCATTTGCACCTGCGTGGCCCACATTGTGGTGCGACCCACCTCCAGAAAACGACAGTTCCTGCCGAAGCAGGGCTACCAGCCGCCCACGGAACAGGAGATTAAGCAGCCGCCAGCTCAGGAAATGCAGGAGATCCGTTAGAGACTAAGATAAGTAGCCTGTACCGACTTTGTTGCATATTTTTGTACGCTTTTTCGGACATTAAAACGCGTTGTCTAAAAGTTGAACGACTTGGAGCTCGGTTGATTGTTCCATTGTTGGCGCACACGCCATTTCGAGTGCGCCAGCCCCTCCAGCTGTCAATAATGGTTATATAATACCTGTGCACAGCACAAAAGAACCCATTGAAAGTGAAACTGGGCCCAGGCAGATGCCTCGCTTAAATGGCGAGTGATTCCCACTCCATATATTAACGAAACTGGCCCGATCGGCCTGTTCCATGCTCGAGAATCGAAAGTCTGTTACGGGTTTGACACTGATCAGCAAAACTGAGGTTCCGGAATTGGAACAGGCTGAAAATTCGAACACATTATAAAATCTCTTGAAACTTTTGATCGCTAGGGTGATTTTATATCTATTTGATTTAAAAATCTAAAGAACTTATAGATTCCATTAATGTCATGCACTTTTTTTTTATTTAGGTATAAAGTTTAGAATATCTTTTGTTAAATTCGCACAATGTGTGCCATCTTTCATTCGATTCAAATGGTAATATTGCTTAAATTGATTTTGCTAAAGAGCATTGCCATTAATTAGCATTCTGAACCTTGTCGCCTAGTGTTCATAATTTATGCTCGAGTGTGGGCCACTCTTCAGAGCTGTCCGAATGAGTGGTTGTAAATATTAGATTGGCCCAGGCCGGAATCCCGCATGGCTATAAAAGCCCAAAATTCCAATTAGAGCGGCGCATTGTTTCCGAAGATGTGGCCCATTTGGCTGCTGCTGTTCCTATCATTATCGCTGGCCAGTGGTCGCCAGGTGGGCAAATGCAGCTTGGCCCGGAGGCTCTATCGGTACGGAGTGCCCTACAACGAGCTGCCCGATTGGCTGTGCCTCGTGGAGGGCGAGAGCTCCTTCGACACCAAGGCGATCAATCCCTCCAACGTTGATGGGTCGGTGGACTGGGGTCTGTTTCAGATCAACGATCGCTACTGGTGCAAGCCGGCGGATGGGCGTCCCTCCAACGATCTCTGTCGTCTGCCCTGCCGGCTGCTGTTGAGCGATGACATCAGGTATTCCATAGCCTGCGCCAAATACATCAGGAAACAGCAGGGATTCTCCGCCTGGGTGGCTTGGAACAACCGCTGTCAGGGCGTCAAGCCCAACGTGAATCACTGCTTCCGGCGACGGTACAGAAACTCGGGTTGAGCAGCCAAATAAATACAGATCAAAAGATTTAAAGGGTTTCAATTATCCAGAATAAAGTAAATAGAAACAGTTGGATATTTCTTACATTTAAAGTTGTTATAAATGTTCTTCTATACCACAAATTATTTTACCTCATCAATACATATGTGGAAATCAATTATTTAAAGTAACTTTTTAAAATTGTAACATGAACATGGCACATTTTATTTTGCAAAACATATTCTTAATTTGAATTTAAAAAAAAACCGTTAGGCTGTTGCCTGTAAAGTAGTTTTACATGTAGAAAAGAGTTGCAGTGGAGACAGGCCCCAAATATTTGCGGGCACCTATCGATATATTCACAGGTGTGAGGACTGCAGCTTTTTTTTGTGTTTTAAGCCCGGCCAAACATCGATATCACCTATATTATGAAAATATCGATGACACTGATGTTTTTTGACCTCAAGTAGATATCGATATTGTTTCCAGCTGTTTGCCCATTTTAAATAAAAAAAAGTTTAGTAGAAAATGCGCGCTTGGAAAACGAAGTAGCGGGAGTATTTAGTGTTCTTCAACTTGCGACCGCGTGGATCTGTGCAGATTGACGGGTAAATTGTAGTGCATCATAAATAAATAAAGAAAACCCAAAAAGCACGGTCGAAGCAAAATACAACAAATAAAAGCAAAAGAAGTGAAGTTGACATTGAAGTCGCTGCTCGCGTGTGTGTAGGTGTGTGAGCTTGTGCTCGTGTGTGCGAAATTCTTTTGTGCTCTATTTTTGTGTGCAAAAAATAATTGCAATATAAGATAAAAAGCAAAATTCAAATGAAAAATGGCATGCTTCGTGGCCGAATAGTTGGTCTGTAAAAAATCAATAAAGCGCTGTAATTGTCCCCGTGTTATTGTTGTTGTTGCTCCTGCCGCGTCTCTCTCGCTCTCTCTCTTTTCCCCCCTCTCTTTCCCACGCGGTGTTGCTTATCTTGTTTACACACACCTATTTGTAGCTTTACTATTTCTATATCGTGTTGGATTCGCATTTGTTAGATACTTCTAATGAAATTAATTGTTCGCATGTTTTTCGGTTCGGCACCACAGGAAGAGGATTTCCAGCTAAATCATTGCCAACAAGGTAAGCACTAAGAACAAATAAACAAAAAAAGCTTAGCAAATAAGGAATTTGACAAGTTCAATAATCGAAAGTGCCTCTATTGTCCTCCCTCTCCCACGCCCGCACATGGCCGTATGCTAATTACAACGGTTCATTGCACTGCTCATCGAGATTTTGATATATTGTTGCTGTCCCCTTTTGACATGTTGTGGCGCATTTCCTTTCCTTAAAAGATAATGCAGCTGCCGCGCGATACCGTTAAACTCGTTTCTGACTCAAAATGCCAATTGTTTTTGTTAACGTTAACGTTAATTTGCCTTATTGGGCCAGCTAGCAATTTGCCTGTCCCGCAGCTCTCTCAAATTTGTTGCAATTAAAAATTGATTTTTCTTTTGCCAAGTCAGCTTGTAAATAACAACAGCAGCAACAAGCAAACATTGGTTTCTGCAACAATGAAAAAGCAATTTTCCGTATCTAAGAAAAAACGTTAAAAACTCTGTCAAGGCATTGTGTCTGTTTTATTGTTGTTGCCATTCGCTTGCCACACGTTTTGCGGCAGGCTATTGTCGTTGTTGCTGTTGTTTCCACTTTATGTTGCAATGCTGGGCATGCCTAATTTTTGTTTTAACAAAAGTTAAGTACTCTGGCTCTTTGAGCTTTTGTCCGTCGTTAACAAACCGTTTTATTTTTTTGGGTTCATTTTCTGGTTTTCTGTTTTTCTGTTTTATTTTTCTTTATTTAAAAGCGCAAGCATCAACAATTGACAAGAAAAAGCAACGGCATTTCTTTCTCCGCATCCCCAGAAAAGGTCTCAAATTATTTTGTAGCGTGTCCGATTGGCTTCAATTGGGTGGCGCTAGGCAATTGCGAAAAATAAACATAGCACACAAGCAAAACCAAAACAAACATAAGTGCTGTAATTACCCGTAGCTATTATTGCAAGAGTTGCATCGGGAATGGTACTCAATAAACAACGAAAATCAGGACTTACTCAAATTGTTTTGAATTGATAAAAGTATACTCCTGCACCTTTCTCTCAAATGAAAGAATGGGTTGTTAAAAAATGGGAAATTGTAAAAAAAAAAATTACTTTCCCATACCGGGAATCGAACCCGGGCCTTCTGGGTGAAAGCCAGATATCCTAGCCACTAGACCATATGGGAGGCTGAATGGCTAGCACCAAAGACTCATTTTGTTGGCAAACGTTTGTGAGGTTTTCATCGTTTTCCTTGTTTGCTAGAATTTTTTCTTTATTGTTTTAAAGTAAAACAAAATATAAAATATAAGAAACGTAATCTAAATTAAAATAAAATTACACAAAAAATTATTTTTAACGGTTTCCCATACCGGGAATTGAACCCGGGCCTTCCGGGTGAGAGCCGGATATCCTAACCACTAGACAATATGGGACTTCTTTAAGCGGCGGGTAAATTCTGTAGTTGGTCTACCTTTCCAAACAGTTCGCATTGTCTTTTGTGGAAAACTTCTATTTTTAATTTCATATTTTAAAAGGAATAAAAATTGTTTTGCTTGTGTTTGGTCTAAGTGGATGGAGGCCAGCATCATTATATAAGTTGGAGGAAAGTAGAACATGTCCCATATGGTCTAGTGGCTAGGATATCTGGCTTTCACCCAGAAGGCCCGGGTTCGATTCCCGGTATGGGAAGTACTTTTTTGTTTGTAATTATATCAATTACCCTGCTTTACGAGCTTCATCAATCAAACTCTTTCTCCCACTTCTCTTCAATTGCATTGCACAAAGGCATCTATTGGACTGGAGTCGAAAATCAGACAACAACTCCACTTATTGACCTGCACTTAGAGTGGTATAACACGAAGCGTGGTTCAAGTGGTGTTTTAATGAGTCTCAGCTGGGTATGATCCGGCTCAATGAACTTCCTCGGCCCCCTGCCAGTGTTTTCGATAGAGAGCTGCAGCTGCAACTCAATTTTCCAAGCGTCGACACCGACACTCGATTGAAAAAACGGCTAATTCATCAAAAGTGTGGCAGAGCCTAGAGCCAAAAACAGTGCACTATTGTTAGTGCCCCACACGCCTTCTTTTCGCTGGTGTCCGCCTCTTTCGCTGCATGCTGCCAGCCGCTTACCACTTTCGAAGTCAATTGAAAAACTCGTGTTGCTTTTTATATGCCATCATCATCATCCGTATGGCTGTATGTTTTATGAGCTTATGTATCGCATCCAGACATTAGAAGCGCGTGTGAGACATACGATTGAGCAAGAAGCGGAGAAAAAGGCAAAGCGTACAAATTACCATTTTTTATAGTTTCTATGTGAGTTTGTATTTTTTTCTTCCTCAAAGAAAGCCAAGCCCCAACAATCGATGGCAGCGTGCGAGAGAAGAAAACGAAAAAAACAGCAACATTTTCGTTTCTGTTAAACGTTAAAGTAACGCCAACGCCGCCTGAGCTTTGTTTTTATTGTTAAACCAGTTGATCAGTTGAGCGACAGCAAGAACGAAAGACGCCAGCTGCTGCTGGCTATATGGTATGGGTATATAGGTATATATCGCCGACTTGCTCACCCGACTTGCCTGCTACGCTGGCTGCATATTAAGCACCCCTGCTGCGCGCCTGCGCGTCCATCGACCGCATTGTTGTGAGTTTCTGAGTTGTCTAAGCTCTGTTTGTTTTGTTTTCAATTCGCATCAGCTAGCCGGGTTACCAGCAGGTAGGAGCCAAGTCAGCTCCGATTGGGCCCGATCGTTCAGATGTGCAAGAGGAGCAGGCTTAATTGAATTGTTTGGGTTGCCTCGACCATTTCCGTTCCGTTTTCAGAGGATGAGATTGATTAACCGCCTAAACCTTTATTGACAAAAGAATAGTTACCAAATGATAAATATATATTGTTGAAGTTCACTAGGAATGTCTGCCCGAGTCCATTCATAGGTTTAAAAATTATTTAACTTTTTTATACCCTTGCAGAGGGTATTATAATTTCAGTCAAAAGTTTGCAACGCAGTGAAGGAGACATTTCCGACCCTATAAAGTATATATATTCTTGATCAGCATCACCAGGAGAGTCGATCTAGCCATGTCCGTCTGTCCGTCCGTCTGTCCGTCTGTCCGTCCGTTTCTACGCAAACTAGTCCCTCAGTTTTAAAGCTATCTGCTTGAAACTTTCCCAAAAGTTGTCTTTCTATTGCAGGTAGTATATAAGTCGGAACGAGCCGGATCGGGCCACTATATCATATAGCTGCCATATAACTGAACGATCGGAAATGCCATAACTTTGGTGTTTTTAAAGTTAGGAAGTTGGGATTTTTTATGGGTCTTATTTTTGGCTAATCAATCCGACCTACCAAATTTCATAAGGATCGGACGACTATATCCTATAGCCGCCATATAACTGATTGATCGGAAATGCAATAGCTTTGGTGTTTGTAATGTTAGGAAATTGTGACTTTTTATGAGTATTAAGAATGCATCATATGAATAATTTTGGAGAATATAATTTATAGAATATTCTGCAAGGGTATATCAACTTCGGCTCCGCCCGAAGTTAGCTTTCCTTTCTTGTTTTCTAAAATATTTGAGCAGCTAAAATAGAGTGTCAACAAAAGTGGTTAACAAATCTACCATCTTTTATTTTAATTAAAATTATTATTTACGGTTAAAGTTGAACAATTGACTTTGTGTACACCACCATCCTCTCTATAACAACGAAAAAACAAAGAAAGTAGTATAAACATAAATTCTATAGAATTCTAGGAAAGTCTCAGTACTTCAAAGTAAAATAAGCTGTAGACAGCGTTTGATTCATTTCCATTGTCTTCGCCAGGGTGAGAGTCATTTACTAAGTGAGGTTAATTTGTTGAAAATGTGACAGATAAAAAGGAAATTCCAATGAACTCGGTAATGGATTTTGAACTTTTAAGTGTGCTTTGTTGTCTATCGCCACCATAAAGGCAATTAACATGCAAACTTTACCAAACTATCAATCCATTAAAAGAGCCTCACGCACTCCCCATTTCTTTGTTCAAGTCTCGACTTTGAGGCCCCGATTATTTCGTGAGGTGCAGTTGTAAGGAAAACGTGTAAATTTCGTTTGACAGTTGACAGTAGGAGAAGAAA